AATTTTGGCATATTAACATGTTAACCTGCAAATGTAGACAAACTATAGGTTCAATTATAGGTTCATTGAATAACATGTAAAACTCTCAACTACGGGTTTAAATATAGTTTCAATTCAATTACGTGTTAAACTCTCAACTACAGTTGAACTATTCAGTTAAATGTAAAACTCTAAACTACGGGTTCAACTATAGGTTCTATTTTCAACTAAACTGACAAACTTTAGGTTCAATTATAGGTTCATTGAATAACATGTAAAACTCTCAACTACGGGTTTAACTATAGGTTCAATCCGATAACATGTAAAACCCTCAACTACGGGTTCAACTATAGGTTCAATTTGATTACATATAAACCCTCAACTACAGGTTCAACTATAGGTTCAATTCAATTACATGTAAAACTCTCAACTACGGGTTCAACTATAGGTTCAATTCAATTATATGTAAAACTCTCAACTACGGGTTCAACTGGGGATTCTATTTTCAACTTAACTGGCAAACTACAGGTTCAATTAAATAACAATTTAGCTTCAAACTACGGGTTCAACTATAGGTTCAATTCAATTACATGTAAAACTCTCAACTACGGGTTCAACTATAGGTTCAATTCAATTATATGTAAAACTCTAAACTACGGGTTCAACTATAGGTTCTATTCAGTAAAATGTAAAACTCTAAACTACGGGTTCAACTATAGGTTCTATTTTCAACTAAACTGACAAACTATAGGTTCAATTATAGGTTCATTAAATAACATGTAAAACTCTCAACTACGGGTTCAACTATAGGTTCTATTCAATTAAATGCAAAACTCTAAACTACGGGTTCAAATATAGGATCTATTTTCAACTAAACTGACAAACTATAGGTTCAATTAAAGGTTCATTGAATAACATGTAAAACTCTCAACTGTGGGTTTAACTATAGTTTCAATTCAATTACATGTTAAACTCTCAACTACGGGTTTGACTATAGGTTCTATTCAATTATATGTAAAAATTTCAACTACGGGTTCAACTATAGGTTAATTGAATAACATGTAAAACTCTCAACTACGGGTTCAACTATAGGTTCTATTTTCAACTAAACTGACAAACTATAGGTTCAATTATAGGTTCATTAAATAACATGTAAAACTCTGAACTACAGGTTTAACTATAGTTTCAATTCAATTACATGTTAAACTCTCAACTACGGATTCAACTATAGGTTCTATTCAATTACATGTAAAAATCTCAACTACGGGTTCAACTATAGGTTCATTGAATAACATGTAAAACTCTCAACTACGGGTTCAACTATAGGTTCTATTTTCAACTAAACTGACAAACTATAGGTTCAATTATAGTATCATTGAATAGCATGTAAAACTCTCAACTACAGGTTTAACTATAGTTTCAATTCAATTACATGTTAAACTCTCAACTACGGATTCAACTATAGGTTCTATTCAATTACATGTAAAAATCTCAACTACGGGTTCAACTATAGGTTCATTGAATAACATGTAAAACTCTCAACTACAGGTTCAACTATAGGTTCTATTCAGTTAAATGTAAAACTCTAAACTACGAGTTCAACTATAGGTTCTATTTTCAACTAAACTGACAAACTATAGGTTCAATTATAGGTTCATTGAATAACATGTAAAACTATCAACTACGGGTTCAACAATAGGTTCTATTCAATTAAATGTAAAACTCTAAACTACGGGTTCAAATATAGGATCTATTTTCAACTAAACTGACAAACTATAGGTTCAAATATACATTCATTGAATAACATGTAAAAATCTCAACTACGGGTTCAACTTTAGGTTCATTGAATAACATGTAAAACTCTCAACTACGGGTTCAACTATAGGTTCTATTTTCAACTAAACTGACAAACTATAGGTTCAATTATAGGTTCATTGAATAACATGTAAAACTCTCAACTACAGGTTTAACTATAGTTTCAATTCAATTACATGTTAAACTCTCAACTACGGATTCAACTATAGGTTCTATTCAATTACATGTAAAAATCTCAACTACGGGTTCAACTATAGGTTCTATTCAATTACATGTAAAAATCTCAACTACGGGTTCAACTATTGGTTCATTGAATAACATGTAAAACTCTCAACTACGGGTTCAACTATAGGTTCTATTCAGTTAAATGTAAAACTCTAAACTACGGGTTCAACTATTCAATTCTATTTTCAACTAAACTGACAAACTATAGGTTCAATTATAGGTTCATTGAATAACATGTAAAACTCTCAACTACGGGTTCAACTATAGGTTCTATTCAATTACATGTAAAAATCTCAACTACGGGTTTAACTATAGGTTCTATTCAGTTAAATGTAAAACTCTAAACTATGGGTTCAACTATAGGTTCTATTTTCAACTAAACTGACAAACTATAGGTTCAATTATAGGTTCATTGAATAACATGTAAAACTCTCAACTACAGGTTCAACTATAGGTTCTATTTTCAACTAAACTGACAAACTATAGGTTCAATTATAGGTTCATTGAATAACATGTAAAACTCTCAACTACAGGTTTAACTATAGTTTCAATTCAATTACATGTTAAACTCTCAACTACGGATTCAACTATAGGTTCTATTCAATTACATGTAAAAATCTCAACTACGGGTTCAACTATAGGTTCTATTCAATTACATGTAAAAATCTCAACTACGGGTTCAACTATTGGTTCATTGAATAACATGTAAAACTCTCAACTACGGGTTCAACTATAGGTTCTATTCAGTTAAATGTAAAACTCTAAACTACGGGTTCAACTATTCAATTCTATTTTCAACTAAACTGACAAACTATAGGTTCAATTATAGGTTCATTGAATAACATGTAAAACTCTCAACTACGGGTTCAACTATAGGTTCTATTCAATTACATGTAAAAATCTCAACTACGGGTTCAACTATTGGTTCATTGAATAACATGTAAAACTCTCAACTACGGGTTCAACTATAGGTTCTATTCAGTTAAATGTAAAACTCTAAACTATGGGTTCAACTATAGGTTCTATTTTCAACTAAACTGACAAACTATAGGTTCAATTATAGGTTCATTGAATAACATGTAAAACTCTCAACTACAGGTTCAACTATAGGTTCTATTTTCAACTAAATTGACAAACTATAGGTTCAATTATAGGTTCATTGAATAACATGTTAAACTCTCAATTATGGGTTTAACTATAGTTTTAATTCAATTACATGTTAAACTCTCAACTACGGATTCAACCATAGGTTCTATTCAATTACATGTAAAAATCTCAATTACGGGTTCAACTATAGGTTCATTGAATAACATGTTAAACTCTCAACTACGGGTTTAACTATAGTTTCAATTCAATTACATGTTAAACTCTCAACTACGGGTTCAACTATAGGTTCTATTCAATTACATTTTAAACTTTCAACTACGGGTTCAACTATAGGTTCAAATTAATTACATGTAAAACTCTCAACTACAGGTTCAACTATAGGTTCAATTACTTGTAAAACTTTCAACTACAGGTTCAATTTTCTACTATATACAGCTTTAACTACAGGTTCATGGATGCAGTTATAGAATATGAAAATATGATTAACTCGAGAAGTTGGTTTCCAAAAGAAAATCTGCCTTTTCATAGTTTATTTGGTTAGGGCTCCTTAATGCTAAAAAACTGTCAGAAATGTAAAATAATAAAAAGAGAATGAAAACAAAAATCTAACCAGGTGAATTAAGGAGCATAAGTAAGTCCCTCTATTTTCTCTAAAATGTACTACATTTCATGTTAATTCTTGTAACCACGATTCCCCATACTTGAACACAGTGGGAAAAACATGGCGGATTCATGTAAAAGCAAGACAAGAGTTACATGATTTTGCCACATTGTTCATGCTCTGCCACAGTTTGCCCTGTGTAAAAGTGGAGTAAAATCAAGAGTGCCATCTCTTGTTTTTACAACAACATGCCACGCCACACATGGGGCAAAATGAAGCGAACTAAAGTGAAGTAAAGTAAGAACATGTGCCCTCTTTCGCCACGCATGTAAAAACATGGGTTTTTTCCTAAGGGAATCTTGTATATGAGATCTGTAGTCACGAAGCTCATTATATACTCCAGGGTGTTTCTCCATTACTATTAGCTCATAAATATTCCATGCTGTCATCCATGTCATAAAAGACTGTATATGTGTTTGTTTATGTTTTTTGGCCAACTTTAATTCACCATTGTCACTACATATTATTTGTTCATTTCCTTGTACATCGATATACTGATTATATAGATTTGTTGGTAACAATTCCGTCATATTGACGTACTCACCATTGACTATCGATTTTGAGATCTTAGGTGGTACTCCAACTTTGCACCCTTCATGTGACACTTGTAAATTAATGTCTCCTGTGTGCACATTTGATGGCAGTGGAGGTTGTTCAGGTAACAATGGCAAGGTTTGAACAGGTTTCGAAATGTTTTGTAACATAAAAGTTCGCATTTCGTCTTGGTCTTTTTGTATCTTTGATGTTACTACTGTTAATTCGGCAATTTGTTTACCCATTTCGAGAATAGCATTCATCCATGGGGGTTGTGTCACTTGTGTATGTTCCACTTCTTCCTTTGTGTGAAAATTCATATTTTCATTTGTTTCTTTAATCGTGCAACTCGGACCGTAAGGCCCTAAATGTCCTTTCGTGGGATTTCCACACATACTACAGCATCGTGCTCTCGCACCTTCTTCTGTTTCGGACATGTTTACAAAGTTCTATAGATGATAAATTGATAAAAATCTCACAAAACTTCAAAATTAAAAATCATTTTTTCAAGACCCCCAGCGAACTTCCGCCCAGAGTGCAATTTTACACTGAACGAATGTTGATCCCCGGGGATATTTCATACATCTCTTACATTAAAATTAATTTATAATATAAATATACATTTATTTGTTTATACAATCTTGTATACGTTAATAATACATGTATTCTATTTTTGCAGGGTTCGTGTAAGGCAGAGTGGAAGTATTGAAGTAGAGGCCAGAAGCAGAGACATTGCCAATGGAACACATAATCCTTGGAGCTTACAATGCCACAAGGAACAACTAGCCAAGATGCGCAAAGCTAAACAGGGTTCTGGTCAACATAGTATCCTTTACTTCAATTCTAAATAGAGATTTACTCTGTGATCTGGCTCCTCCTATTCAACAATTTTTTTATGGAAAAAAGCTTGAATCTTTTGAAATCCTTCATCCATAGTTAAAGTATATTCTTGCATCTTGTATGTTCTGTATTGGAAGAAAGCTGTGTTCCGCATTATGCCTATGCTTTGAATTGATAATTTAACTTGTAGCGTATGTGCTGAGTGCTCTTTGATTAAAATTGCAATTAAAAAGCAAATAAATTCCCCTCATTATAAAAGTAATACACATTCCTTATCTTATGTTCAGAATTCATTTTGTTGGAAAATGTTGTATCGCAGTTTACATATCCATGTATACTGGACCTGAAGATGGGAACAAGGCAACATGGGGATGACGCCAGTGAAGAGAAAAAGCGCAGTCAGATTCTGAAGTGTGAAGCGAGTACCTCATGTGCCATTGGGGTGCGCATATGTGGCATGCAGGTAATAAGTTCATTAAAATCATACATGTATACATGTAAAATTACTGAAAAGGAGAACATTGGTAGGTCCCCTATTATATCCTTCTGTACATATTTCATTTTATAGTCCTTTAACATTCCTGCTTTGAAGTTTGTTTCCTGTTTTTTTCTAGATTTACCAGTGCAATTCAGACACTTATCTTCGACGCAACAAGTACCATGGTCGCAAACTAACTGTTGATGGATTCAAAGAGACACTACGTCAGTTTCTCTACAGTGGGAACACCTTCCTTTCTGAATTGGTTGAACCAATCATCCGTCAGCTCCGGAGAATGCTAGAAATTCTAAAGGAACAGCATACATTCCGCTTCTACTCCAGTTCCCTGCTTATTATATACGATGCTAAAGACATTGTGAAATTCAGGGAAAAAGTCTCAAATGACAGTGAACATGAAAGTGCAAAGACTGGTAAAGGTTCTAGACCAGCAAGTGCTGAAGATGTGGACATGCTGAGTGTTGAATCTATAGAGATAGATCAGCACTCGGAGTCACCTGGGACCTCTACAGGGAGTAGCAATAGTTTAAATATAGGTGCTTCTACACACTCTAATAGAGAGCCACATGTTGATATACGTATGATCGACTTTGCACACACTACACATCAAGGTTTACGGGACAAGAAGCTACATGATGGACCAGATCTTGGTTACATGTTTGGCCTTGAGAATCTCATTCGCATGTTCACAGAGATACGGGACAACCATAAGCCGTAGACTGGGCCTTTACTAACTTTATACATAAATCAATGTATGATATTTTTATTTATTTAGTGGATCAATATATAGAAATGCATCCTTCTTAATGTACACAGCGGGCTATCATTTTCAATTCTTTGGGACATCCTTAGTTATACAGTCCAGAAATGGGAAATGAATAATTTCCTTGATTCTGAAAGTGACTATTGCAAGCTGTACCGCACAAAATATGATATCAAAATGTGGGGAAATGAGGATTTTGGTAGTCACATAATTTATTTACCATAATTATACTATAACATATTTTTATTGCTGTATTATTTCAAGTAATGTAACACACTTAGATTAATGTAGATTCAATGAATATTGTATAAATATTTTATTCTATCTTGGTGAATACCTGTGCATCTCTGTCACAATATTCGACGAAGATGAAGGTTAGTTATTCAATGATTCACGTAAAAAAAAAAAAATTATACAAGAGAAAATCTGTATTTCTAGAGGTACTAGCTGAGTGAAAAAACTTCTCATACAGGCACAATGTTTGGTCTTCTTTACTAATACATGTAAATTGTGTATCCTAAAATACAGGCTAGATTAACATCACATGGGCCAATCAGAACACTAGAGATTCTTCTCTTACTCAATAATGGTTTATTTATGTGTATTAAATGAGGAGTTCTAATTTTCATGATTTTTTTTCTAATTTAAATTGAACTATTTGTGCCTCAAGACTGTACTTTACCGCAACCTTGTGTTGGTAAGGTGAAGAATGTCGGGTTGGTGGTACACTCTACACAATTTTGAAGCAAATCTGAAAGATAACTTTAGCATAAGATACAGTGGAATAGAAAGGTTAATCCTTAATGCAATTAAATACCAATGTACAATTGTTAAAGGATCCTAGACCCAAGTTTTCACATATATTTACTGTTAATACTGTTATATGTAAAAAGAGTAGATGTTTTGCCAAAGAATTAGAGAATGGTAATGGAATGGTTCTTTGATTGAGATGTCGAAATAAGGGGCCAAGAAGTTATGATCTTTGATTCTTGTTTTTATTACTTTATATTTATCTGTAGATATTGTACAGAAGTCTACAATACTATGTGCAATGAAAGGTAAATGTATTCAGTTTTAATAATATATTCATTGATAGATGGCAGTTCATTATGTTTCCTTACTGAGTAGTATTTAGTGTATCAGAGTATGTTGTACATTGTTCTTAGTGTATTTACTTATATTTAACATGAATAACATAACAAAATGTCTCAAATTGTATGCCTTATTGCAATGATTTTCAATGGGTATCATATCTGTGTAAAAATGTATATTTTACAATAAATCCAAGGCTATTTGGTTACATATAAAAAGTGTCTAGTCTTATTAAGATTAACCAAAATTAACTCCTTCCCTGGAGCATTCAACTAATCTGCTAATAGTTCTAATAAAAGAATCCATTTGTAGTTCTTCATAATAGTTCAGAAGTATGAATTTATTGCTTGATGTCCTTTTGTTCATTGTTAATAGAATTTCTCTAATTATTGATGTGCTCTTTGAACAAGTAAGATGATAAACAATAGTTTGAAGTTCCATTATCTATTGGTGAAAATGAGATTGAGGTTCATGCTATGACATAATGTCCTGTAATTATCCCAACGAACGAAATTCGGTAGGGATATAGTGAAGCCGTCCATCCATTTGTTTTTCTGTCTGGAAGATAACTTGAATACTAGTGGATTTGCTTTATAATTGGTGGAAAATATCTTCAAGATGGCTGCCACTTTTGAAATGGCGGGAATATTTGGTGAAAAATTTAAAGTTTTTTCATTTTAAACCAAAATAATGAATATTATTGTTTGGAATTTTGGTAGTAATATTCACAGCATCTATCTATTTTATATACATTCCGAGTCTTTCAGCCTGACCCCCAGGAAAACAGGATTTTTTGTTAATTTAGAGATCTTTCTGAAGTATAGTATTATTAAACTAAAGTGAAAGGGAATTTTTAGTAGGTTGCATAGAAAATTCAAAATGGCCACTTTATGTGGGATTTCGCAATAATTTCCTGATCTCTTCAAAGTATGACTATATTATACTCAAATTGAAGGAATTTTAGAATAGATCACAATTATGGAGTTGTTTTTCTTGCTTCAGAAAATTCAAAATGACTACAGAGCAAGGGTTCACTATTACAGTCTGTTAAACTGCTTCAAAGGCAAGCAGTTGAACCTGAAAAATAAGAAATCTAAAGACTTGTGCAATAATATATAGAAAAATATATTCATATTGCACACAAATGACATTTGTTTATCTTGTATTAAATGCGAATTGGCTTATATTTTGATGCTTCTCTGCCATTTAATTTCTCAAAAAATAACATGGTAGATAGACCTCAAATTACGAGAGGGCACAGGCTTATTGCACTGAACACTAAATAATCTGAAATATACAAATGTCATTCGTAAGTTTAACTGCTTGCCTTTGAAGCAGTTTAACAGACTGTACTTAGAGATCTCTTCAAAGTCACAGTGGAATTATGGTTACATTATACTATTTTAGATTTCAAATATTGTATTGTCTTTATGATTTGTGCCTTTGAAACTCCTCAGTGGTCACCCAAATGCTTGAATTGGAACTTCTGATATATTATTCTATATCTCTAATGTATGATTTTTAATATATGCCAATATCAAATCAAGTGTACGGTATATGGTATATATTACATTGTGACATACATTTATACATATTCATGAATATAGCGTTCGTTGGGATTTGCTACTCCGTGGAGTTGCTGACTTCTAGTTAGGTCTAACTAGAATGTGATTATTCTCTAAACTCTGAAGGCAAGGTCGGAAATCTGTTGTGTTTCGATCATATTTCATTCAATTAGGACAGTTGAATATTGAAACTACATGTAGAACTAAATCAAAATCCTTATTTTTTGATTTAATGATAATGTGAGGGGATAAGTTTGTTAGATCCTGAATTATTCAGTAAGTAATCCTGTCCCTTGAGATCGAACTAATAAGCAAAAACAAAGATCTAAGCCATTAAATAGCGGAAATGATATTCATTCATTTCTTTATTTGATTGAACTTAAAGTTGACATGAAATCTGAATAGAATGTAATTACTCTTGTGTAATACAAGTGAAACCCAATCACTACCACAACTCAATATATCAGGGATTATGTGCGATATTCCAGTAGCTAATGCTGGGTCAGGTTGTTCTCTGAGATGAATTGATTTGTATTCAAAGTCTGATTACCATTTAGAAACACTAGTTTGCTAGGATACGAGCCACTGAGATTATTAAATAATGAGATTTTATGAGACGAGGGTGCTTTTTATGTACAATCTTAAAAACTCCTCCTCCAGAACATGTCTTGATGAATTAAACCTGTTTACCAGGGTCGGTATAAGAAATGGTGAATGTTAAAAAATCCACCAGAACATGTCTCAATGAATTGAGTCTGTTGTGGAGGTCCAGTGTAATAAAAAGCCACGTGTTTATCTATTTGTTATACTAAATTGAGATACTTTCATATGCTTAATTGAAATTGGTATTATCATAATTAATTTAAACTTATATTTTGGAGCATTGCAAATGCTGTTTTCCATCAATAAGTTGTGTACATTTATATTATTCAATAAGGGGTGCTCAATCATATGAAAAACTCAACCAATATACCTACCTAGAAAATTCTCGTACTTTTCGGATGTAAATTATATTTGTGTATAAAAATACAAATGTCAATAGCACCTATGTAAGGTCAAGTATCTTAAACCAATTGATTAAATGTCAGATACATTCATGCAGTTGAGAAAATACTTCCATCTTTCAACAGTTAAACTTTTCTTGTTTACTTCTCAGATGTAAAAAATGCAATGTAAACAATTGAACATTCTTCAAGGTCCAATTTTGCCAAACAAATCTCCATATTATATTGATCCTCCGAAACTCGTACATATTAATATATTTATATAAACAAACACGTATGAATAGTATGAATTTTGGGATTTGTACTTATAGGGTTCAGAATTTAGTACACAAATTGTAAAAATGTTGCTTTTATGGTAGTTCATGGTTGAGGTCATCGTGAGATATCACAGCCTTCTCTCAGTTTCCTTCTAGAACATTCTTGTGCATAGCAGAGATGGTCTGAGTATCAGAATGGGTTGAGGTTGGTTGAATTGATTAATGATTGGGTGATTGAATATTCAAATATCAACAACACTATCCAAAGATACGTAAATGATGGCGTCCATGATGAGATGCTGAGTGATTAGTTGCTCAATTAATGCACACGGACGTCCAAATACTAACATCTTTCATTGAGGAAAGTGTGAGTGGTTTATAATTTCTCAAGTGATTTAATCACAGAAGAATAATGACCCCAAAAAATCAATGCTTCTCTTAACCTATTAGTCCCACTATGTAACCATGGTACCAAAATCAATGAAAAACTCAATATACTCTCATTTAACAAGATTTTGGTCAATCGCCCATGATAATATCAATAAAGTGTATTCATATACTACGGGTCAATAATTCATCAACAACAAGATAATTCTGTAAAAAACACCGCGACCCGCTATGATGATCTCATGAATCGAGGAATTGTTCCTTACACTGCAAAACCTAAATTTGGAAAATGTAGATGAGCTCTTGATAAGATGTAGCGTTCCTCTAACAGAATGTTTTCGAGGATTTCTCCACAGCTATGTAAAGATCTATTAACATATTACAAGTAATTGCAATTCTTGTCCCCCTTCACATCCTTTCTTCTGATCGAGATTATTGTAAAATTATTGTGCAAATAGCAACAAACAATTCTCATAGAATTCCATTAAATGCAATTCATCCATGTTACATATTATTATGTGTAAATAGCGATTAATATCAAAAACACACTTGAGAAATATTTTTTGTATATCTGAGAAATTAAAGGCAGAGCTGAAATACTGATTTGTCATCAAGATAAACAATGACATCTCTTTTCTTAGTGAAATGGAAAGATGTGACGAATATCAGAATGCTATAATTTTTTATACTGAGGGCAATAATACAAGGGTTGTTCAAAAAGTTTTGCACAAATATATCTAATTATGAAAATAATGAACCAATCATCTTGTTCATATTTGATGAGTTTGTGCCCCCATCTTATTTCCTTCATCAAGTTTTCATGTATGTATAATTATTACTTAATATTTTATGGTTGCTATGGTAACCAAGGTGATGGTGGCACGGTCCATATCATTTTTAAAGAGAAAACAAGTAATATATAAAGCACAATATCAGTAAACATGCCCAAATTTACTTACATAAACTATCAACTTTAAGCAATATATACAGGGTGTCCCGAAAGGCAGACATATTCCAGTTTCCTCATAGTATATGTCATTTTAAAGCTTATCCAAAGTTACATTGATTTGCCAAGTATCATGGTTTAACTCCCAAATGGGAAAAAGTTACAGTTATTTAAAAAGTTAGTGTTTTGTCAAAATAAAGTTCAATTTTACACCACATTACTAGTCAATGAGTCCCCCCTTGGCCATGTTAACAGCAGCAATTATTTTCAGATATGACCTTAAAAGCCCTTCAAATAGGGGTGTGGAATTTTATAACCTTCTTAAAACCTGTTAAGGTACTTTAGAAGAGTTTCCTTAGAGTTTCTACCTTCACCGTTCTCTTTTTCCAACTCAATATCCATCCGACCCGAAAAGAATTGCTGCTGTTATAGATAGCCCAGGAGGACACATTGACTGTTGATTTGGTGTAAAATTGAACTTAATTTTGACCAAACACTAAATTTTGAAATGCCTGTAATTTGAGAGTTGAACTATGTTACTTGGCGAATCATTGTAACTTTGGATAAGCTTTGAAATTATATGTGACACATACTATGGCTATATTTCTTTTCAAAAGGTTTGAAATTTGTTTCAAGGAACTTGAACTTTCGCGTAATTTGAATGTTAAACAAAGTACATTTAGAATTCAACATTTTCTAATATTTAGACATTCTTGATCTAAATTTTTATAACAACTCCAACTTTATGATATTTCCAGTAATTATATTTGATGACATGTACAGATAATTGTTTGATTCATTGCTTCTGATAACATCCACTTTGTGTCAGCTTCATCATTATCCTTAACTCCAAGTGCCAATATGGCTTTTATATTTTTAGATGTATCATCTGCATTTACATAAAGTAACCTTTGCTTTATGTTCAAATAAAAATAATGAATCGATCAATAATTAAAAATAATACTTATACTAATAGTAAATGAAGATTATACTCAAAAATATACGTTTCGGCAAAAGAGCTTTTCTAATTTCTCAGTGACAAACTGAAATTTTCCTGGTTTTCTTTAAATGGGAAAAACGTTAGATAGAACAAATTGGAACCGATGCCGGACGAAATATTAGGGCATCAAGGTATTACATACTGATTGAAGGAATACGGTCGTTTAACAGTATGATATTAGGAAAGTCAGATGAATCAAAACAACAGATTTGTGTCTACATGTATGATGTCATTATCATTTATTCGATTGTGATCTGTTCGTTAGAATTATTTTAGTAGAATAAACGTCAGGTTGCTGTATACATGTATATAAAGCAACCTGGAGTTTATTTTTGATACATGTAGGTATTGTATTTACAATTAAAATGTATTGTATGTAATGTGTATTAAAATGTATTGTATGTAAATTGTATGTTGAATTAAAATAACAACAACGTTTTGGCATAATGACACTTTAGATAGAACATAAAGTTAAACCTGTCTCAGTGAACACCTCTCTCTAATGAACACCTGTCTCTAGTAGACAGTGTCTAGACACTACTAGACACTCTTCCTCCGCACATACTCTACTGACCTCTGTATAAATTGAACGTTTTTTCTCGGCAAAGATTTGTTCAATATACACAGGTTTTACTGTAATGAAGTTTGGACATATAGTTAATATTCTATCAATATTTACCAATGTTTACTGTTTCAAATACAATTGTGATAGTAACAACTTAACAAAAGCCCAAAGTGATCTTTGTAAAAAAGTTAAAGATCAAATAGTTATCGTGTAAGTTTTGAAGTACCTTAAGTTGGCAAGTCTATGTCAACAAATGCCTTAATTTTGCATTTTTGTTAGTGTTAAAACTATATGATACTTGAGACCATTGTTAATATACGTAGCTGTGAATTATACACGACTGAGAAGTACTATAACATACCATACTTTGTAATTATGAAACATTGATAGCTTGAGATAAATGGACATAAGGATGGAATGAAACACGGATTTTTTATCTACCCGAAGCATGCTTCATCTCTTTGATAACGCAATCAATTTAATGCAGAGTTTAATTGTAAATGAGGGTGAAAATGAGAGCATTTAGTTGCGTGCTGTAATTAATATCACCGAGGAGGTAGGAGTTAAGGAATTGGCAGTTCTGTGCCCTGTATCGATTGTACAAAGTTAATGCTCGTAACTTACTTGTATCGGAGTGTTTAGCGCTAAGGCAAAGTTTCAGGGAAACAAAGTGATTTGATTACTATGGAATTCCGATGGAAATTATTAAGAGTAAATAATGACAACCCAGCGGGGTATAACAAAGTTTAAAAGTCAGTATAAATGGATGTTAATAAAGAAAATCTAAATGTAACATATCAACAAAAGCTACAGGCTAGCATTTAAGGATTTGAGGTAATTTGAGTATAAAGTTGATTCGTTGCCATGATGATTTCGCATAATTAGGCAATAGAACTCACATCATTCAAATAAAAAAGAAACCAGCGAAGAAACATGTAGGGGAACAAGTGATTTATTTAGGTGTTTATAACTAACAAAATGTCAACCCCGGCTGGTGGAAGTTCCACCGGGGCATCGACACCAAGTTCCGCAGGAAAGAAAGGCGAGAGCGACTCGATGAGTTCTCAGTCCACGACCTCCGTGTCCAGCGTTGGAAGGATCATATCGCTGGCCACAAAGGGAGAATGGAGTGTACTGGACCAGATCCTAAGGGGTCTGGACAAGGGGACGTCAGATATAAACACACCTGACGAGGTAATGTCTTAACTTTTCTGTTTATTTAAGTAATTTGAATTACTAGACGAATTGGACTGCTACTTTTATCAAAAAAAAGAAATGTTGAAATAAACTCTCCTCCATTGCATTGATAAATAACGCGTCCGAAATTAAAAATGTGTACCTAGACCTCACCTAGACATAGAGATCTAGATGATATATGTTCTTTAACAATGTCAAAAACAACTCTTCCATTATCATTCCACGATTCCTTCACGACTGAAGGCATCCACAGTCTCTTCTACCCCCCCCCCCCACAACCTATAGAAGAGAGACTAATAAATCAAATTGACTGAACGAAATTAGATGACATCAGTTGTTTATCATGTGACAACGCCATCTTCAAAAAATTGTTTTAGTTGAAAATGCGATATTTGAAAATAAAAATTCACCACCCCAACAATAACCCAAAAGCAGTTTTTGTTCATTTGTTTAAAATAACAATATTAAATAGTTATATCGTGACATAATTATTGTCCCAGGATGAAAAAAGACCCACTGCAGTTTTTCCTCCATTAGACAATATCTGTGATATTTAATATTAAGTTGCAATTGAACTGACAACTGTATCATTTTCTATTTTATTTTCATCATTAAATATATCTTGAAACTTATTTTTCAGTGGTAAAAATTGCCAGAAATACCATTCTAATTTTAAGTGTTTCTCTTTATCCCAAGCTTGCGCTTATCAAGGAATAGTAGAGACCGTGTATCACAATAAGAAACACGAATGTCATACAGAGCAGAAATCCTAGATTAAATTCCTCTCTACATCTTTAATTCATGATTGAATCACGACCTTCAATATCCGTCAATACTACGCATTCTCCATGGAAACTTAACCAAGTATTTCATTACAAGAACTCTTTACATTGGATATTAATTGAACTATGTTGAATAAGTTGGATAAGCCGTATTTATTCCCACTCTCTTACAATAACAAAAACTACCTCGCTTGAAAAGCGTCACTTGATTATATTCGTTAAATAAGGGCTCGGTCGTGAATTCAAAGATACAATTCTCCATTTATCGCCATGTCAATATTTTCATAGATTCCACTTACACGATTGCCTCAATTAAATCGAATGGCTCTCATAGGATAAGGCGAGAGGGTAAATCGATTTGTGTTTTTTTCGATTGTCTGTTTTGTTACAAAGCTAATATTCCAAAGCATACGGAACGAAAGTCATCCTTGATGCGCTTGCCAGTTAGGACAGGGACTATAAAGGGAACGATTAACAGATCGATGTGTTTTGTTTTCTTTGCTGATATGTTTACTTAAAACACAATGTTAAAACCCCGGCGTTATGTGTATAGACAATTTAGGAATTTACATCTCCGATTTACAAACATCTGACACTTTGCCGAAAGTCTAATTAGTTATTGTTGTCTACTCAGCAAATTATTTTCTAAATATGTACTGGCTTTTTATCATATTTTTAGAGTATTTGTTCTGTTTGTTTCATGAGTGTTGTATGGAGGATGGTTGTTCCTGGAGTTTAAAGTCCCCTCTCTATTGGTTTGTTGTAATATGACCTTATTTTCATTCTCTTTCCTAGTCAGTGTGTGTTTACTCAAAAGGGATCATTTTGGTTCTGATTAGTAATTCAGATCCACTCTTTATCTAATGCTTTTGGGGGTTGAAGGAAACCTTTTCCCAGTCTTTGTGTTCCAAGGGATAATACAGACTTTGGATCCCACAATGAGTCAATTAAGTTCTCATAGAGAGGGGACAGTTTTCTACGAGCAGCAAAATCAGTGTCACCTATCGGGTAAACAGCGGCTAAACTCAGCATCATAGTTTAATTTGTGAAATTTGTAAAGAGTTTTTGTTTTTTCGATATTTTTTGTTATATTTGATTTATTTTCCAGAATGTGAACTCTGTCACGGTTAACTTATTTCTAAAGTGTATTGATTGTACTAATTAGAATTAAACGTGATGGCAATACTCACCTTAGGTTTATAACAAAACACCAATTCAGCTGAAAAAGAAAATCGATTCTGCATCATGAAAAGCAGTGATTTCACAAAAATTACAATAAATTGCAATAAAATATCATTGCTCATTTTCTGTCTTCTATCAGATTTTCTAGAACGGGGATTATAAAGCTCTAGAATGCATTTACTTTATGTCATTTACGATCATTTTATCATTAATAATCAAAGGCTTCATTGGCATGTTTAAGTAGTGTAAGAATGAACGGAACAACCTCTGTTTTACAATTATTAGCAAATGTTCTTAATCTTCTATAAATCTCACCAACTTGAAATATTTATATTTTCCCGATCAGATGGACTTTAGTACAGTTTAAAATCGGACTGCATGACGTCCGTGCATTTTTCTGTTTACTAAATATCAAGAATAAAAAAGCGAAATAAAGACTTTGTAGTCTTGGATCAAAACTCTGGACACCTCTTTCTCCTCCTGCTTTAGGAGAGCCCAGTGTGAATATATGGTTGACTATTCTATACTTTTACGTCTATGTAACTTTAAATACTACATACAAACACATAGTCACAAACAAGGTAAACGTCTGGCTGAACATCCATGTAGCATAGCGACAGACACGTTTTAAAATTATATTATTGTTCTACTTAATTTTAAAAGTATGTTTGATGCGGAACTCGTGACTCGACTCGCATATAGACAATTACATATTTATAGGAAATATCTGTATTTGTGATTTTACGTGATTCAAAGTGATAATGGTCAAATATGCTGAAGGATCGTGTAGGCCTATTTCCAATTAATAATTGATGTGTTCGGATTAATTTAATCACTATAATAAAGCTCAATCAATATAAAATGGGGAAATTCATTTACTTCAAAGAATGCAGTATTGTAATACTTAGAATACGTCTGTTCTTGATAAACATTAGAAATATATGTGGAAATGATGAGCATTTAAATAGGTTTACTTTTATGGCCATGTTATATTTTATGACATTTCGTTTCTAATCTAGATCTGTAATTTCTATTTTCATTTTTTTCTCATCCAACAAGAATGTTATATAATACCCGCTTTAATGCATTGATTGATATTGGTGAGATCGCATCAGGTGTGCATCAAACTCCAATTAAGATTAAACTCTTCAGGTATATAATTCTACTTCTATTATACAATATGCATATTCTTGGTGCAGCGTTGTCAACATGATCCTTCATTTGTATTCTGAAACTTAGTTTCTGCCCTATCTTGCCAAGCTTGAGGTTGCATGGCTATTCCCTATTATAGCAATCCAGCTAGTGATTGCTGCAAACAAGATGTAGCTTTGCTTTAGATAAATAATTAATACTATTGACTCGTGTTTCTATGAAACGTGTCTTATCTGTTCTTCTTTGTACAAAATAGGAAGCATCTACTTCAAGCCCAGTGAACATCAATGTGGCACTGCATCGGGGCCATTGTCGGGGGTTTAGGGCGTTGGTCATGGGGCCGTTTTGGTCGTTTGACGCCGAGGTTATCATAATATTTAATAATTTTACGTTTCGTTTTAACCATGTGTGGCTTAATTTTCATTAATGATTTTTGATATATCTACGATTGTTGAGAATATTACAATTTCAACAGGCCCGTAGCCGAGTCTCAGGGGTTGCGGAGGGAGCGGTCGCTCCAACCCCTAGACTCCCCCTGGCCAGAAATTCTTTCAAAATCATGCAGTTTTTCACCATTCTGAGCACTTTTCGCATGGTTTGTTAAAAACTGTCAAAAAGCCCCCTCCCCGGCAAAAGCTCCCCCTTAGTAAAACCGCTCCCCAGGTAAATCCTGGCTGTGGGCCTGCTGAATTTTAGCGAGAACTTACACCAATAAGTAAGTCATTCTACATTTATACAGAACTACCACCTATAATATACAATAATAGGCCTAATATGATTGCCCAAGAAGAGAGGTCTTATCGTCATTATAGGAGATCTGTTCCCCCCAAAAAAGATCCGCTTCGACGATCAGCTAGATTTTCCAAAACCTTTGATAGAATTGTATAAAACGCAAGCGTAATTTAGCAAAACATTAACATGATAAGTAAGATGTTACCAACTGGTGAGTGTAAATGATTACAAAAGTGTAACCATTTGTTACATATATTTACGCCGGACGCCGACTCCCGAGCATCGTTCCCAAAAAAACTGTACCAAATTAAAAAAATACTTTCATACATATCATCTAATTCTTGTTTCAGGAGACTGGCATGACGCCGTTGATGATAGCAGCCAGGGAGAACAAGTTAGTACTTGTAGAGAGACTACTCGACCTTGGAGCAACAGTGAATGACAAAGCAAAAGTAATCATAATTTATAATGTTTTAACTGTCCCAAGATATGGCATTATTATCTTAGATTTATCTCAATTGTTTTGCTCTCCAATAAAACGGAGGAAATAAAGAAACATAAACATAAACTGAAAAAAATATTTTCGGCAAATTTCATGCGATCACCTTTGACAATCATCGATTGTAAATTTTCACATGATGAAGTCAAGAGTAAATTGGGACATTTTCAGGATACCAATCGCAATTCTTTAATTTGATAAAACCACTCCATATGTGATTTCTCTTTTCATGATTGTAACAGGCAAACGAAAGTATGCATGTCTAAAATAAATGAAGATTTATTTGATCAATTAAAATCTTAACATGGAGAATATCTCGTCAAACATGGCTAAACTACATTGCGGCATTTGGTTTGTGAACTTGTCATTAATAATTATCAACAGTCAATCTTTTTACATTATTACTGTGTTTGCAAATATTGTGTTAACACAGGCTGGTATCGAAAGATTTGTCCGCTGTGACGGAGCATGCTATTTTTCATAAAAACACTAAATATGCTTCACGATTTATTTTTTAACTCATATGTTTCGTTATATCAAAGATAATTACTTACTCCATGCAATGGATATATCATTTGCGTGTAACCTTCAATTCTGTTTGAAGTCCAATAACGCTAGGAGTAAAATCTATTGAAAACGGCGCCAGAGTATCAAACTCTAAAATGTACCATTTCTTTTTTAACTTTTTAATGGCATGATATAGTGACACGATAATATAAACATATGTTTTGAGCATAACTCTGAATGTATTAATGAGATATTAATGCATTGGGTCTTTTTAATTTTTTTATAAAAAATAATATTCATATTTTTTGTCCGCTGTGACGGAGCATTTTCACAGTTCACATTTGCAACTGCTCCGTCACAGCGGACAAAAAAATTAAACATTATTTTTTATAAAAGAATTAAAAAGACCAAATACATCAACATCTCATTTATACCTTCATAGTTATGCTGAAACCATGTGTAAATATTATCGTGTCACTATATCGTGCCATTAGAAAGTTAAACAAGAAATGGTACATTTTGAAGTATGATAGTCCGGCGCCATTTTCAATAGCTTTTCTTCCCAGCGTAATTGGACTTCAAACAGAAGTGAAAGTTACCCGCAAATGATATATCCATTGCATGGAGTAAGTCATTTTGTATGGTATAACGAAACATATGAGTTAAAAATAAATCGTGGAGTATTCTTTGTGTTTTTATGAAAAATAGCATGCTGCGTCACAGCGGACAAATATTTCGATACCAGCCGGGTTAAAGCCTTCGTTCAGTAAGAGCCGTAAGAGGCTGTCGTCTTTTTTGTAGCGATGGCAAAGTCATCATTGATCTTTCCGTTGTCTCATACTATTGAAATAGATGATATTAGTCAAATATGTAAGCCCAGGTGCTAACGGGAAAACACTAAAAATGGTGACAGAAATCATCAAAGAGTACACCAGTTATAAGGACATTTCATTCATATTGAAGAATAAATTTAAAATTGAGTTCAAGGAAAAATGTGTCAGAAAGTGTTCAAGGAATATGATATATGTCATTACTCTTGTGATTGTAAGCATGTAGTCCTATATTTCCGGCATCTTGAACCATGAACAGTGTATAAGTTACCTTGTAGGCTATTTTAATTTTTCAAATAATTTTAAGATATTTCATATAATTCCATAGATGGGAAGAGTTCATTTGCTGATTATATACACCTTGATTCTTGATATGATATATTTCCATCTTGTAACGTTTTCACCTTTTAGGATGGCAGGATGGTGATGCATTTTGCTGCTTCCTATGCTAAAGACGATATAATAAAACTTCTTATTAACAGGAAGACTGAATCAAATATAACAGGAGGGGTGAGTTTATTTATTGTTTTGAGGAAGACTTTCCAGTTTGCAACCCGCCATTCAGAGATAAATGGTTTCGCTATGGCGGGTAACATTCTAACGATATGTAATCAATCGCTAGTCGCTTTATCCAATTGTTTTCAAGTTCGAAAGCTGTTCTTTGTGCGGGAAATCTAAAGAAGATTTATCAAAATATTGACAGTTTTTGAATGTTTGTAAGATCTTCAAATGGTATAAAAGGATAGATACTAAACACGATGTTTTATAGTATCACAGTAATACTGAAGGAGTATTCGACATATAACTTAGTCTTAGGCCAGGGTGCATGTGCATGTGCGGAATTTTGCTGCATTTCCTCAATTTCAAGTCACATGCTATTTTTCAAACAGGAATCACTCCTTACCCACATTGTCTACATCTTCCAGTTTTGCACAAAGAGTGCACTTATGTGCCTAGAAAAGTGGTTGGCTGTTGGCGGTTGGCGATCGGCGTCTGTCGTAACAAAATCTTACGTTCAAATCTGACCATATTTTTTAAGATTTGAACTTCAATGACCTTTTCAAGGTCAAAAAGGTCTTTTTTCAACTTGTTTCAAATTGACCAATTTTCATTCAAAACCAACTACAAGTTATCAGAAGTTCAAATCTGACTTTAGATTTGAGATATGACCTTCAATTACTTTCTTAAGGTCAAAAAAGCTCAAAAAGGTATTTTTTCAACTTGCTTCAAATTGACCAAATTTCTTTTTTTTTCAAAATCATCTACAAGTTCTCAACAGTTCAAATCTGACTATAGATTTGACCTTCAATGACATTCTCAACAGGGGCGGATCTGGGAACCGACAAGGGGGGGGGGGGAATTTCAGGTCAGAGGAAAAGCTTGCGCAAAAACAATTGGGCCCCTAAAACTCAAATGTTGAGGCCCATTTTCTTCAAAATTTTGCCTGAAATGAAAAAATAAGGCCTTAAAAGGACCAGTAATTACCAAAAAGAACCACTTTTTGGGGCCCTAAGGCCTTTTTTGGCCCATCATTTTTTGAGCTAAAAAAACAGTGTTCAAGGTCAACAAAGATTTGACCTTCAATGACATTCTCAAGGTCAAAAAGGTATTTTTCCATCTTGCTTCAAATTGACCAATTTTTCAAAATCATTTACAAGTTCTCAGAAGTTCAAATCTGACTTTAGATTTGAGATTTCAGCTTCAATTACTTTCTCAGGTTCAAATAGGTCTTTTTTCAACTTGCTTAACAACAAATTGACTAATTTATTTTTCAAAATCATCTACAAGTTCTCAGAAATTCAAATCTGACTTAGATTGAACTCATAATATTGTGAGCAACTAGGTGGTGACATTTTGTCATGTTAATGCCTTGCTTATACATTTCACCAAAACTTAGATTTAAAGCAAATTTAGAAAAAAGATTGGCAGAAATATTAGGACCCCCTGACAAATCATGGCTACACCTGAGATGTTTCTCACAATATTTCACAAACATGATCTTAGAAATCAATAAAAAATTGTTTCAGTACAAAAAGCTTGGGTCATGATTTTTCCTCCAAGGATAAATACATTATTGATATTGCCTTGGAGAAAAATATACATAACATTATAACATTGCTCTAACTGATACTAAACATTTATCAGAGAATATCTTTCCTTTTAGCCAAAGGACCAACTACCACTTCATATGGCATGTTCTCGGTCCAATGGTTCTGTAGGAATGGTGCAAATGCTTGTAAAAGCCTCTGGGAAAGAGAGCCGTCTTGCACAAGATAAGGTAAACACGATGCATGTCTGATGAATAATTATTAAATGTAAAAGAATCAGTTGTAAAAACAGTGAAGTTTTTTGGCTAAACTTTAAGGCAAAATGCCAAGTACTCTCAAAAATCGTCCTACAAGGTAAAGTGTGGCTAAAAGATTTTAAAGTGTGTATGGCTGCTGCTATTTGCTATTAATTTGATAAAATTCTGTTCATTTAAGCATGAAAATGTTTGTTTCTATGCATATTTCCTGCATTCCAGGATGGCTTAACCGCTCTGTTCCTTGCAGCAGAGTGTGGAAATACTGCTGTGTGTAGAGAATTGCTGACCAGTCAAGCTGAACAGCAGATCAAAGTACAGCGACAGGTAATAAAAATATGTTGTTATCCGCTAAATGTCATATTAATAATGGTTTAAATGGTCAGCCATACACTTAAGCATTTCTAATTAAATATTCATCAAAGAGAAAGAAATAGGTCTCAGAAATAAATATATTAAAAACATATTAATTTAATAAGTTTATCAAAGTATGTCCCGACTTCAGCTCAGGCCTAAGGAGTTTTTTTAATTAGTTTAGAATGCAGGAATTCATATGGGACAATACCAATGCAGGTGTATCTGGTATTTGGTACCATATTATGTTTACTGCTTACTCTAAGTCTATTGGTGGATAGATCAAATTGAGTGTAGGTTTCCTTCCACCACTTTATCACATATATTATATTAATATAGTAATTTTCCTGCTGATAGTTAACAAATTCCTTGTCATTTATAAATTAATCAAGTTATGGGAAGTTCAAATCTGACTTTCGATTTGAGATTTGACCTTCAATGACCTTCTCAAGGTCAAAAAAGGTCAAAAGGGTCTTTTTCATCTAGTTTCAAATTGACCAATTTTTTTCAAAATCATCTACAAATTATCAGAAGTTCAAATCTGACTTTAGATTTGAGATTTGACCTTCAATGATCTTCTCAAGGTCAAAAAAGGTCAAAAAGGTCTTTTTCAACTTGCTTCAAATTGACCACATTTTTTACAAAATCATATATAAGTTATCAGAAGTTCAAATCTGACTTAAGCTTTGGGATTTGACCTTCAATGACCTTCTCAAGGTCAAATAGGGTCTTTTTCAACTTGCTTCAAATTGACCAATTTCTTTTTTCAAAATCATCTGCAAGTTATCTGAAGTTCACATCTGACTTTAGATTTGAGATTTGACCTTCAATGACCTTTTCAAGGTAAAAAAAGGTCTTTTTTCAACTTGCTTCAAATTGACCAATCTTTTTTTCAAAATCATTTACAAGTTCTCAACAGTTCAAAGCTGACTATAGATTTGACCTTCAATGACATTCTCAAGGTCAAAGATGAATTGACCAATTTTTTTTCGAAATCATCTCAGAAGCTCAAATCTGACTTTAGATTTGAGATTCCACCTTCAATGACCTTCTCAGGGTCAGAAATTTATTTTTTCAAAATCATCTACAAGTTCTAAGAAATTCAAATCTGACTAAGATTGAACTCATAATATTGTGAGCAACAATGTGGTGACATTTTGTCATGTTAATGCCTTGTTTCATTTTTATTTTGCACATAAGATTTAATTTATTGATGAGCTCACTAAATACATACAAAATATATTAAATGACACACTATATGCTTCCATTTTGCAAGAGTCTTAAAATACCCTATACAAAATGACACACTATATGCTTCTATTTTCCAAAAGTCCTTTAAAATACCCTATACAAATTTACACACTATATACCTCTATTTTCCAAGAGTCCTTTAAAATATCCTGTACAAAATTACACACTATATGCTTCCATTTTCCAAGAGTCTTTTAAAATACCCTATACAAAATTACACACTATGTGCTTGTATTTTCCAAGAGTCCTTTAAAATACCCTATTCAAAATTACACACTATACGAGGGGTGATCCAAAAGTCTTGGACGCCCTGCTCTAATTTTGTTGGTTTTTGATAAAATTACTTTAAACTTTCCAATAATAAAGACCAACAACCAAACTACTTTGTGTATTAATTTCATGGAGAAATGATATATTTTGTACAGTTTTCTAGATAGTTTTTAATACAGGGACCCTGCCACCCGGAACGGTATTCGCACATGGCAACTTTCAGCCTTGAATGTTACCGCCATTTCACTTGTTTCACAAGTCTTGACCACTATATTTCTTTGAATTTTGAATGTTAAACCATGTTAGTTTACTTCCTTTGTTACTAGGAAACCATTTAATTGTGTTGTAATTATAATGTCACATATGACAAAGGCCGCACATGTCAAATTCTAAGAAAATGCCATCAGACAAGAAACCCTCATTCTGGTATCATTTTTGCTGCAAGATGGCTGCTGAAATGCAGAACACGAAAAAATCAAAGTGGAACAAAGAATACTTCAAGATATTTTCATAATTATTGACCTTGAGCAGCTACCATATGCACGATACAGTCTATCTATAGCTCCATGTGATTTTCTTCCTTTTCTCCAAGTTGAAAAGATGGTTGAAAGAAAATGTTTTTTACTCATTGAATGAGGTTTAGAGTAGAACTCCAGCAGCATTTGTATCACATAAGCACTGACGGTTTCATAAATGTCTTCCATTCATTGGTAAAGTGGTATGAAAAATGTGTTCAAATTCGCGGAAAATATGTTGAAAAGTAGGTCTTAATATGTGAAGATGAAAATGGCAGATGACACTCAGATTGAAAATCGAAAATTCTCTCATATCATGGCTAGTGTTAGGTTGTGCACCTGCACCTAAAGTATTTGCCATATTATAAGAGTTGTGACGTGATTTGCTATATTCAAATACCGTTCCGGGTGGCAGGGACCCGGTATTAAAAGATATGTAGAAAAGTAGCAAAAATATATTATTTTCTGTTGAAACTTATACATAAAGTTGTTAAGATGATGATATTTATTGTCTGAAAGTTTCATGTAATTATATCAAAAAATAGCAAATTTAGAGCGGGGCGTCCAAGACTTTTGGATCACCCCTCGTATGCTTCTATTTTCAAAAGTCCTTTAAAATACCCTATACAAAATAACACACTGTATGCTTCTAATTTCCAAGAGTCCTTTAAAATACCCTATACAAAATTACACACTATGTGCTTGTATTTTCCAAGAGTCCTTTAAAATACCCTATTTAAAATTACACACTATATGCTTCTATTTTCCAAAAGTCCTTTAAAATACCCTAAATAAAATAACACACTGTATGCTTCTAATTTCCAAGAGTCCTTTAAAATACCCTAAACAAAATTACACACTATATGCTTCTATTTTCCAAAAGTCCTTTAAAATACCCTATACAAAATTACACACTATATGCTTCCATTTTCCAACAGTCTTTTATAATACCCTATACAAAACGCCAGAATGCTTCTATTTCCAAGAATGGTTGTTGAAATCTAATGAGTCGTGTTGACCTTGTTCTAAGTGTTCAAAGCCTGTTTACTCTCTCATTATGCTGTTAGATCACCCAGGCTAGCTATAATTAAATAGTTGTATAATGAGGTTAAAAAATGAAATTGCAATCAATTATATGGTAATTGTTCCACTGTTTCACTTTCCAGTTACAGTTGCATGCTATCAGACAGCTTATTGCTTATTTACTACTGCCTTGTAATTATCCCATCGAACGAAGTTCGGAGGGATATAGGGAACGCCTCCGTCCGTCCGTCTGTACGTACGTCCGTCCGTACGTACGTCCGTCCGTCCGTACGTACGTCCGTCCGTCCGTCTGTCCGTCCGGGCAATAACTCAAATACCGTTGGCCCGATTTTGTTCATATTTTGTACACATATACCCTATGGGGGTAGAAGTTCTGCTCGAAAGCCGATTTTCAAAATGGCCGCTCATTTCAAAATGGCGGCCATTTTAGTGCCGATTTTACAGTAATTTAGGTACAATATGTAAAACTGTAATAGCAATATGTTTTAAGTGTAAAGAAATTATAAAGGACATTAATAAAGCTACAAATGTAGATATTCAAAAAAGCACTTGGCAGCCATCTTGAAAAATGGCGGCCTTTACTCGTTATTTTACGATTTTTGCTGTAACTCGAAAAGTAGTGGAGCGATTTTGTTCATATTTGGTATGTGAATACTATAAGCATGGCACACTGTCCTATGACACTTTTGGTAGAAGGCGGCCATTTTGAAAAAAAAATTGAAAAATGGCCGCCATTTTAACATATTTTACTATAACTCGAAAAGTAGTGGAGCGATTTTGTTCATATTTGGTATGTGAATACTACAAGCATGGCACACTGTCCTATGACACTTTTGGTAGAAGGCGGCCATTTTAACGTATTTTACTATAACTTGAAAAGTAGGGAAGCAATTTTGTTCATATTTGGTATGTGAATACTATAAGCATGGCACACTGTCCTATGACACTTTTGGTAGAAGGCAGCCATTTTGAAAAATGGCCCCCATTTTAACGTATTTTACAATAACTCGAAAAGTAGTGAAGCAATTTTGTTCATATTTGGAATGTGAATACTATAAGCATGTCACATTGTCTAATGACACTTTTGGTAGAAGGTGGCCATTTTGAAAAATGGCTGCCATTTTAACGTATTTTACTATAACTCGAAAAGTAGTTCAGCGATTTTGTTCATATTTGGTATGTTTCATATTTTATATGTGAATACTATAAGCATGGCACATTGTCTAATGACACTTTGGGTAGTAGGCGGCCATTTTGAAAAATGACCACCATTTTTACGTTTTTACTATAACTTGAAAAGTAGTGAAGCGATTTTGTTCATATTTGATATGTGAATACTCACGAGCCTTGCACACTGTCTCATGACACTTGGATAGTAGGCCGCCATTTTAAAAAATGGCTGTAATTTTTACATTTTTTACTTATTTCACAAGTACATGTGTGCGATTTTTCAAAAATTTTATAGGTGGCTACTAAAAGCATATTATTTCTTCTGATGACAACTTGGTAACCATTTTGAAAATGGTGGCCTTTCTGGTGTGTTGTTTTATGATATTTGCTATATATTTCGTTTGTAAAATGCCAGCCATTTCTGTTCGATGGGATTCGCTACGCTTTGGCGTTGCCGTTGTTCTGGTTATATTTCATTAACAAGTGCTACAAAATAGCTGTACATTTAAACCAATTGATGTGAAGACCCCTTTTAAGTGAACACCACATTTTCTGGTTTCAATTTTTCAATGTGAACACCTATCTATGTGAACACATCTAGTTAGAGCAGCATTGATATTTATGGTTGTATTTCAGCTTTTAAATTTGCAATTTGGTTTTCAGGATAATGGTGATCATGTGTTACATATTGCATGTAGGAAAAAAGATATTGAACTTGCTAAGTTGTTCATTGATAGCGGAGCCTCTGTTTCATGTAAAAATGTAAGTATTGATTTGATTCGTAAGATTCTGACATAATACATCCTCTCAAGTACTATATGTAGGTATTTAAAAATCTGGTACTTCAATACTTCAGGTACTTTTAGGGATATTGTTTTTTTTATTGATCCAGTCAAGAATAATGAATTCCTTAATGTCAGAAACCAATTCAGAATATCAGGACATGACACATACAAAAATAAAGCTGTATGGTCCTTTATCAATCATAACATTTTCAATATTTTGTTTTATTGTATCTAACTCTTAGGGGTGTACATATTGTGTGTATATTGTGAATAAAGTTGGAAGAATTTAAAAATTAGATAGAAATGTAAAATTAAGTTAGAAAATGTGAAAAATATTGTTTCACAAGCTCACTAATGTTACTTTATGTTGGTTAATCATTTTGTTCAAATAAATGCTAATATTGTTGTTTATTTATAAATATCCGGAATACAGACAAAAACTATAAATATATTCATAAGTTTATATAATTTTTATACATTACATTGTAATAAGACTGTATATATTATTCCGCTGTATAGATCTGTAATAGCATTACATGACTTTTTTTCATAGTTATGATTGCGCTGAAATTCATGCTCTGGGCAGATTGTGTAAACATAATATCTGCTTGTTGATTGTAATATTTTGATGTTTGCAATGATGTTCTCATAGGGGCATTTCTCAAATTTCAAAAGCAGGCTACGAGCCTGTTGTGTATACATAATATCTGCTTGTAGATTGTAATATTTTGATGTTTGCTCTGATATAGTCTCTTATGGGCATTTCTCAAATTTAAAAAGCTGGCTACGGGCCTGTTGTGTATACATAATATCTGTTTGTAAATTGTAATATTTTGATGTTTGCTCTGATATGGTCTCTTATGGGCATTTCTCAAATTTCTTGTTTAGGATGAAGGTCATACACCACTACACATCAGTGCATGGGAGGGAGATGAACCAATGATGAAATACCTCTACAGTGTCAAAGCTAATCCAAATGTCTATGACAGAGTATGTATCAGTATTTATTCCATCATATTTTAATTCTGTAAAACATTATTTTATATGCATGGGGGGAGGGGGGGGTTAACTGATGCATGTAAAGTGTCTCTCATTGAAATATTATTAAAACATTTTACTTTTCTTGAACCAATAAATATGTTTTATGTTTGTTCCTAGATTTTGTCAAATTCAATTGACTGTGCCAATGAGAATGTTCCAATATTTTATAAAATTTAAATTCCAGCTTGACCGCAGTCCACTGCACATTGCAGCTGAGAGAGGAAACACCAGCATAGTTGAACTGTTGGTTGATAAGTTCAAGGCCAATGTCGCTGCAAGGACAAAAGATGGCAGCACTCTCATGCATATAGCATCAGAGTATGGTCACCCAGACACAGCTATGCTGTTCCAGAAGAAAGGAGTGCCTTTACACATGCCAAATAAGGTAATTTTACTTAAGGTGGCGTCAAGTCTCGGATATGTTATCCCTACTTATGAATACATTGATGTAAGTGAAACACAGTAACTTAATGCAGTTTTTTCAGCTGTAGGTAATAATATATCATACTCTTGAAGTCTGCTCGACAGATAAAAATAAATAATTCATCTTAGAATAATCAAATTACTTCAAAGCTAATGGAGTATTATTATATAACCCACGCAAAGTTTCAGTATTCTACAAACAATTTCTTTGAGCTATACCATGGCACCCTCTTTTTCACCTTGGCCAATATTCAAAGAATCCATGAAAGTTTATTTTTCTGTATGTTCTCTAGAACTTCATTGTTAGAATTTAATTTTGTTTTTCCAGTCAGGAGCTGTTTGTTTGCATGCAGCTGCCAAAAGAGGGCACAACTCAGTAGTGAAATCTCTGCTGCAGAAGGGGGCATGTGTAGATTCAAAGACAAAGGTATATAGCTTACATTTGTACAAGTGAATAGTGTTGTGGACTATGGGAGATATATTAGAGCAGGCATTATTTGACCTAAGCACAGTGTGACCTAAGCACAGTGTGACCTTAGCACAATGTGACCTAAGCAAAATGTGAGCTAAGCACAATGTGAGCTAAGCACAATGTGACCTAAGCACATTGTGACCTAAGCACAGTGTGACCTAAGCACAGTGTAATCTAAGCACGTGTGATCTAAGCACAGTGTGACCTAAGCACAGTGTAACCTAAGCACAATGTTACCTAAGTATGGTGTGACCTAAGCACATTGTGACCTAAGCACAGTGTGATCTAAGCCACAATGTGACCTAAGCACAGTGTAACCTAAGCACGGTGTGACCTAAGCACAGCACAATGTGACCTAAGCACATTGTGACCTAAGCACAGTGTGACCTAAGCACATTGTGACCTAAGCACAGTGTGACCTAAGCACAATGTGACCTAAGCACAGTGTGACCTAAGCACAATGTGACCTAAGGACAGTGTAACCTAAGCACGGTGTGACCTAAGCACAGTGTGACCTAAGCACAGCACAATTTGACCTAAGCACAGCACAATGTGACCTAAGCACAGTGTAACCTAGGCATGGTGTGACCTAAGCGCAATGTGACCTAAGCACAATGTTACCTAAGTATGGTGTGACCTAAGCCCAGTGTGACCTTAGCACGGTGTGACCTTATCCCTGGTCTGTTGGGGTATGTTGGCTAATGACTTATGTATTTTATACTGCATTATTATTCATTTTGGCCAATATACAGTAATGTAAAATTGATAATATCGTATATTTTTTACATATTTTTAGTAATATTATATTTTATTATCCCATCGAACGAAGTTCGGAGGGATATAGGGAACGCCTCCGTCCGTCCGTCCGTCCGTCCGTCCGTCCGTCCGTACGTACGTCCGTCCGTCCGTACGTACGTCCGTCTGTCCGTACGTACATCCGTCCGTCCGTACGTACGTCCGTCCGTCCGTCCGTCCGGGCAATAACTCAAATACCGTTGGCCCGATTTTGTTCATATTTTGTACACATATACCCTATGGGGGTAGAAGTTCTGCTCGAAAGCCGATTTTCAAAATGGCCACTCATTTCAAAATGGCGGCCATTTTAGTGCCGAATTTACAGTAATTTGTAAAACTGTAATAGCAATATGTTTGAGATGTAAAAAAATTATATAGGACATTAATAAAGCTAGAAATGTAGATATTAAAGAAGCACATGGCAGCCATCTTGAAAAATGGCGGCCTTTACTCGTTATTTTACGATTTTTGCTGTAACTTGAAAAGTAGTGGAGCGATTTTGTTCATATTTGGTATGTGAATACTATAAACATTGCACACTGCTTAAAGACACTTTTGGTAGAAGGCGGCCAAAAGATGGCCGCCATTTTGAAAAATGGCCGCCATTTTGAAAAATAGCCACCATTTTAACATATTTTACTATAACTCGAAAAGTAGTGGAGCGATTTTGTTCATATTTGGTCTGGAATACTATAAGCATGACACACTGTCCTATGACACTTTTGGTAGAAGGCGGCCATTTTGAAAAAAATTTTGAAAAATGGCCGCCATTTTAACGTATTTTACTATAACTCGAAAAGTAGTGAAGCGATTTTGTTCATATTTGGTATGTGAATACTATAAGCTTGGCACACTGTCTAATGGCACTTTTGGTAGAAGGTGGCCAATTTGAAAAATGGCCGCCATTTTAACGTATTTTACTATTACTTGAAAAGTAGTAGAGCGATTTTGTTCATATTTGGTATGTGAATTCTATAAGCATGGCACATGGTCTAATGACACTTTTGGTAGAAGGTGGCCATTTTGAAAAATGGCTGCCATTTTTGCTATATACTTTGTTTGTAAAAATGCCATCCATGGCTGTTCGATGGGATTCGCTACGCTTTGGCGTTGCCGTTGTTCTGGTTTATTATAAACATACAGTACATGTATTTTATGCTTCAGGACAACTACACTGCCATCCACATTGCAGTCCAATACTGCAAGCCCCTGGTTGTGCAAACACTGCTTGGGTTTGGGGCGGAGGTAGAAATAAAAGGAGGGAAGGTGAGTTATTCAAAATAATTGGTCAAAATTAAAAATGCATTATTCAAATATTTTGTTACAAAACAACCTACTCAGTCGTTCACTTTGAATCCATGGAATGAAAGAAGCAAAATTGAGGTTTAGGTCCGTGTCTGCTCTTCAACATACAAATGTTTGATTTTTATTTGTAATTGAATTGGATATGGTTGTAGGAGAGGGAGACTCCTTTACACATAGCAGCCCGAGTGAAGGATGGAGACAAGTGTGCAGACATGCTGATAAAGAGTGGAGCAGATGTGAATGCAGTCAAAGAGGTTATTATTTATGTCCATTGATAAGGAACTAAAGTGAATCTCATACAATGTACTGAGGACCCGGCCTTCTAGTCAGGAAACGATAAGAGAAAACTCTACATTAGGAGATGTATTATTTAAATAACTAAAATATATACAGCTCTATGTGTAATTTTTGGGATTTTATTTTCTTCCTATTTCTATTGACATTTCATTGATGAGTTATTTTGACTTTTATCTTTACTTTGTGATTAATACTGATAATAAAGTGCTGTTTATTTTTAGGATGGGGAGACTGCCCTCCATATAGGTTGTAGAGAGGGCAATCTAAGAATGGTACAAACCTTGCTTGAAGAGGCGGCAGACTTAACATGGCAGTCAAAGGTATGACCACTTCCCGGGGACCACTTTTATGTTTCTACAAAATGTTTTTACTAAAGAGATTTTCTGTATAAATATTTTTCAAAATATATATCAGAAGAGATTTATATCAGATGACTGAGTTTAATGATCCATATTTTGATTGGTCAAAATAATCTTCTTGAGAGTTTTGATAATTATCTTGGAAAATTTTAGATATAGTATCTTTTAGAGGAATATTTATTCACATGCAATGTCTCTTGAGAGGCTTATGTCACATGAATCATCAGGAATCATCAGGAATCATCAGAGAGAATCCCATATATCCATGGAGACTTGGAAAGAGAGGGAACAATACTAATAATCAAAAATCATTCAAAGATAATGTTGCCTGTGGAATTGTCTGCTCTTTGGAAAAGGTCAATTGTCAATAATTGCCCAAAGGGGAATAAGCCCACTCACTTTTGTGTTAAGGACATAAGTTTTTGTTTGTATGGAACATTCACCTTGGGTATTTAGCTAGAGGTATCTCAAGAAATAAACACATTTAAGGACCCATCTTTGTTCTTAAAAATCATTAGACTACTTACTGTTAAATATTCCCTCCAGTTTTTTTACAACAAGGATATATTTCCCATTCTTCTAATGATACTGTATATGTAAAATTACAGACAGAATAATCAATGCTTTCAATGTGAATAAACCCCTACTTTCTATAAGGGCTTATTGTAGAAGTTTTGCAGTTATGTTCAAAACATAATCACTAATCAGTAGTTTTTATGATTTTTAACATCTTAATCAACACTGAATTTTAATTATACCTGTAACAAATCATTTTCAAACATCATAACCCTCTATTTGATGTAGGAGAATTACAAAGACAGAAGATCAATTTTTACTTGAAGTAACAGTGTCATGATTGATCTGATAATAGTATTTGAGATCATTGTCATGTTTACATAGAATCTGTTTTACAGGAAGTTTACATATGCTTTTATCAGGGGGTTTCAAAGGAAACCCCATGAGCCCATGCTTTTATGTATTTAGCCATTTTTACTTCACACAACTTCAAAAAATTCCAAGTTTTGTATCTGTCCTGTAAAAGGTTATTTGGTGTTGATTTCTCGAAAAAGAAAAACAATATCCTTGACACTTGCAAAGATAAATCTCATATTCATTTTGTTTATATGTTTAGTCTGGTGAGACGCCACTGCATGTCGCTGTACGCTACTGCCACCTGGAGGTAGCTAAGGAACTACTCAGTCATATGATCCAGTTTAAATCAAAGATTGATGCCATCATGCTAGTCAACCAACAAAATTCTGTAAGTCCTAATGATAACAGATTTGTTGCCTCAAACTGAAAATAATAATATTGATGAAAACTCTACATTATACTGTCCTTAACAACTTAACAAGTTAAAAATCAAAATGAAATTCATTAAGGAAGGCAGACGCCATAGAGTGACAAATATATGTAACAAGCTGTAACATACCTGTACACATAGTTACTAAATATTTACGTAATGTTATTGTGTCATGCTGTTCCTTTAAGCTATATGATAGAAAAATACGCATCATCACATATGACAAATCATATTTATTAGAAACTCATAACCTTTTATAACTCATAACTTTTATTGTAGGAAGGAGAGACAGCAGTTCACTTTGCTGCAGAGCTCATTAAGACGATGGTACACAAAGAGTATGAAGATACAGACCTTATCAAACTCATGCTGGAGTATGAGGGGGATGTCAATATGTCCACTAAACTTGTAAGTACAACTGTACCTGAAAGTTTCTCTGCTGTTAAGCCTCCCATACAGCTCATTAATTTTGAATTTACCGGTAATTTGTAAAATTGTTTGATTGCATATATCTAATTTTGTAATAAGGTCTCCAGTTTGAATGAATCTCATTTTCTAGCATTGCAATACAAGTTTATGTATTGATTAATTAACTGTAAACTTTTTTTTGCTGAATTATTATTACAACTAGATTTTCACATTTTTAGGATGTGATAAATTGAAAGAAAACATCTGCATGTGTTTTGTAAGTTACTTAAATGTGATCATTTTTATTATAGACCCAGGAGACCCCCATTCATTACTGTGCCAGGGCAGGGAATGAGGATATTCTAATGGAAATAGTGAAGAACATCCAACCTCAGAAGCTTGTGGCAGCTGTTAATAAACAAGCAAAGGTAACAAACATATCTACATTCAAACATTTAACTGGCCTCCTATATGAGTTTCTGTCCTATGACTGGATATAGAAACTATACCTTGGCGAAGCTGGTGATATATATCCCAATGTATCTCCTGATGTGTATTTCCCACTCAAATGTTCCCACATAATGAGTGTTTGTTTTTTATTTAGTTAAAGTCCCCGTCTAAAGTTTGAAAATATTTTTTTATCATTCATTTACTATTTGTCAGAACTTAAAAAGTGATTTTAGAGATTTTTGAACAAAAAAAAATTTTTGAAAAAAAAGTTGTGAGCATTTAATTTCTCAAATATTCAAATTTCCCGCCATTTTTCAAAAAAAGTTGAAATTTCTTAATCATCAAACATTTCTTAATGCATTTCAAAAAAGATTATTTTTTTAACACCAATGCAAAGATTGAACAAAAGACACACTATTTCAATAATAAAATGTCATATTTAATGGGCCACTTCAATGTTTTAGCTTATCAAAAATATTTTGAAACATTAGTGATGTCACTAAGGTAACAAAAACTTTTTGAAAAAATTGAATTTTTTTTTTCAATGTCAATCTTTTCTAAATATGCTAGACTTTCATAAAAAACCAATGTTGATTGTCTAACCAGGTTAAAAGGAAGAATAAATCATGTTTTAGATATCATTGTACAATTGGTTTCTATGAGAACTAAAATTTTGAAATACATTTTTCTCAGAACCATTTTCATGCACTGATAAGTTCATTTCTCGCTTGTTTATCAACCGATTTTCTTAATTTTTTCGGCAAAAAACATGGGAGGATGAATGCTATGAATTGGTATGAATTGTGGCTAATTAGAAGATATGAGTGACCTCGTAAAGTTGGTTTTAAATAAATTCACAAATTTTGGAACAAAAAGTCTATCAAAAACCACTTTTTGAAATTAAAAAAAAAAGTTTCACATATCACACTTTGATAACATTGGGTAAGACTACAATATAAGCCAAAGTGGTTTAAACTTTACATGGGGCCTTTAAAAGTCACTCGTCTAGTCATAGGATCAAAATGTTATGTGGTGTTCGGTCTTTGATATTGGGTATTTTCCTCTTAAATGATCTTATACTTCAGACTTTCCAGGCTATCAGCAAGCTATCTTTATATCCCTCAGGAAATACCTCATATCTCCTCCTATAATATAACCCTAATATATAACAACTTTGTATCCCTACCTGTTCATTTATAGACAAAAGATATTTCATCCAATCCTATTTCTATCCCACGAAATGAAGTTCGAGTAGGGATATAGAGAAGCCATACATTCATTCTTCTGTGCGCTCAAATACCAGTTGATTTGAAGTCGAAGTACACTGCTGATCTAGATGTCTAGTTCTTCTTACATGTCTAACAACAAAACACTTCATTGCAGAATGGCTGGTCACCTCTGCTTGTAGCCAGTGAAGAGGGACATTTAGAAATAGTGAAGATCTTACTGCAAAATCATGCCAGGGTTGATGTTTTTGACGAGGTTAGTAATTTATAACAATCAGTTGACTCATGTAGAAGATGTAGAGTAAAAGCTAACAGTATATTTTTTTCATCTGAAATAAGTGTACTGGTCAAAATCATTTAGTTTGTACTATGGTTCGAAATTATATTCCCTTAACAAGAGGGCAAGGTGAAAATTTTAGTACAGTACATTTAAGTTGAGCATATTACAAATTGTGCTCATAGGAATATTCCTTGCCAAACCATCTCTTTCCACATATGGTAGCTATAACCATATATATGCTTGCCATGTTTAGCAAGACACGCAAAAATGTTTTGATATGGTCAAATTTGATCACTTAGAAATGTGATGCTCAATTCCTGAAAGCTGCCATCTTTTAAAATTTCACAAAGGAAGTGATGTCATCAACTCTCAACTTTGCATATAGCATTAGGTGAGGAGCTATTAAGAATTACAAAACCAGCTAAATATTCTTTTTCAACTTTGTATCTTATTTAATCCTTCTGAAAATCTCTTCTTTTATTCTAAGTTGACAAGCCCTGAAAATATTTTTGCACAGAAAGTAATGATCACTTGTCTAGAAGTGATTTTGTGCTACTTTCCTATACTGTTATGGGCAAGGTTATAGATGTTGAGAGTTGATGACATCACTTCCTGCAAGAAATCTTAAAAGATGGCAGCTCACTGGAAATAAGCCCTAGATTTTTAAAAGATCAATATTGACCATATTAAAACATTTTCCCATGTTTTGCTAAATATGGAAACTATACATATGATTATAGCTACCATATCAAGAGAGAAAGGGTCTGGCAAGGAATATTCCTTTCATACACTCATAGTCTCGTACATTCCAAAGAAATAAGAATATAGCACATTTGTACTTCTTCAGCATGGTAAAGCAGCTCTGCATCTAGCTGCAGAAAATGGACATGATGAGGTGGCTGATGTACTCCTACTGGCCAAGGCATTTGTCAATGCTAAATCAAAGCTGGGTATATCTCCACTCCACCTTGCAGCACAGAATGGCTTTAACAAACTCATAAAGCTTTTCATTGAGAAACACGGAGCTGTTATAGATGCTTTGTCGCTGGTAAGTTCTCAGCTCTTGTCCTATGTTTGTGTATTCTCCCAAGCAGCTCTCAAGTTTACATAGTCTGCACTGACTCCACTGTGCTGGTTAAGTTTTGGTTAACATTCTTTACAGGGAGTTTTCAATATAATGACTCCCCTTTCAACACCAGTTAATAGGTAATGGTAATAGGTCAATTGGGCACCTTTTGTAGCAATGTGTAACAAATTTAAAAATCCTCTATAGAGACAATTGAATAAGCTTTCATATGGTATATGATATATAGGGGTGTGTTATCTACTATTGGTGTGTTATCTACTATCTATTGGAAATTTGGCAGTGGAGGGAGATATTAGGAAACACCCTGCATAGAATAAAAATAATTGAACATTGACATGTTTTTCACTCAAAATAAAGTTTCTTAAATATTATGTTAACAAAGTAAGAGCCCTAGTGGAAGAACAAGGTAGTTGTCATTTGCTTTCTAAATTTTGACAACTAGTGTTTGGTTTCAGGCAAAGAAGACACCATTACACATGGGTGCACAGAATGGTCAAATAGAAGTCTGCAGTTCTCTCATTAAGATGAAGGCTGATGCTAATGCTACGGATGTGGTGAGTTAACATTGTGGGACAAATAATGATAATTCTGGTAGAATTCAAGGAGGATTGGCTCTCAAGATCGAAACTCAATATTTTCCAACAATGAACATGTCGAAATAACATTATTTCTCGTCTAGCGAGAGAAGTCAGTGATGTAATTAATTCATAAAATAGTGATCATATTTACAGCATGGACAGACACCACTCCATCTTGCTGGGGAGAATGATCACTCTGATGTTGTGAAACTCTTCCTGAAACACAAACCAGAGCTGGTAACCATGGCAAACACTGTAAGTAAAACATCACTTAATCAACTTACATCATTTTGTTTTGATGATAAAGTTATTTGGAATCCATGAATGGTTTTATCTCATTTTTGATTAGATATGACTTTATGCTCTTTATTTTGTTTCCAATTTTTGTGAGAAATTTATTTTGACATGTAATTTAATTTTTCTCTTTTCCGCATAGAATGATATTTCTTGAATTGATGATAGGGTTACAGAGGGAAAACTAATTGTCTTCATTTTTTATTTTAATTATGTATGCATGTTCTTTATTCATTATTCCCATTAAAAATATATTTTGTATTTATGACTGATTTATTTTCATTTAAATACAGGATGAAGTAAGTAGAGTATGATGCCCTGTTTGGGATGAACCTCTGTAGTCCTAAAATAGACATTAATCACAACATTAATCACAATATTAATCACAACATTAATCACAACTAGGTCACAGTAAAAATTTGAAGAGCCAATCACAACTAACCCTCTATCTCTTTCTCTTTATTCACAGAACCCAGTCCTTGTTTCACCAGTTCTGAAAAATAATATTATAATGAACTAACTGATATAATTAAGACCTCAATTATGATTTATGTGGCAATATAGGACCTCTGATTTTTCTGACTGTTAAAATCTGAGATTAGAAAAATACTGAATAGTTTCTTAATCTCAGATATGAAAGAATATATATGAAAATATAATATAAGAAAGCTCTTTGAATTCAAATGTCACATCTCATGCTGTAACCTTCTATGCAACTTTTCTGTTTATTGTTACATCACATATTGTATTAGAATTAGCATTAATGCTTAATGAGTGAGTTAATTAACATGATGTCCTGATAAAACAAATTGTAGATGAACTTTTTTTTGTGGAAAGTATAACAAGTCCAAGCAGGTTTTATTGAACCTTATTCTTCATTTTGAATAAAAAGAAATATTTCCCCCAGAATGGTGTGAAATACACTTGCATTACAGCAACCAATTGCAGTATAGGTGAAGCAAAATCAGTCTAATTTGAATCCCTCCTGGACTATTCAAAAGTGGTCAGATTGGCAGATGTTCACAATTCAACATGAAAGTCTATGGCAGATTGAAAAATAGGACCAAAAAGGGATAACATTGAGAGGTGTTCAGAATAGGGGTGTTCAGATGCCCAGGGTTTACCGTACATATATGATTAATATTCCAGAATGGTATGACATGCGCCCACATTGCAGCCATCAAGGGTAGTATATCTGTACTGAAGGAACTAATGCGATTCAATAAGATTGTTGTTACTACAGCAAGAAATAGGGTAAGATCTTTTCCTCTAAGGTGTATTTGTGAAGTGTAACCACTTACCATGTAACAGTAACTGACTTGAATCCATAAACTAAAAACAAAATCCATAATGTATCAATTGAATGTTTCAGATATTATTTTAGTTTACACTTTGGAAAGGAATAAAAAATATATGTTTATTGTTAACTGTCTCAGAAATGTAAAACAAGAGCTGGTCTATTTTGAATTAATTTTCATTTGATGTATAGTTTTTTAAAAAATAAATGAAAACATTTCTCAGCTCTTAGTTTTAATGAATGATTTTTTCCAGACGAACAATTCCACTGCCCTCCATCTGGCCGCTGCAGGAGGTCATCAGATAGTAGTAAAATGTCTGCTAGAGGCTGGGGCATCTGCAACTGATGAAAATGCTGTAAGTACCAGATTTATTATCAAAATGTAGGAATACAATGGATGAAACATAAAAGGTTATTGTTATGGACGAGGTTAATATATGGTGCATCCACAAAGTTGGCACAAACACAATTAATTATGTGTCAAGAGAGGGGTAAAAGTCTATTATGCTTTGTTAGCAAATATCAATTTTAAAGGAAGCTACTTTTGTAATTTGTAGAAAAAAATATTCAGATAATGGGATTGCATTTATGAAAAGGTCTGGAAACAAATCCTTAATGGAATGAATCAGCCCACAATGCATTGCGTCCAGTGCTTAAATCCTTTAGTAATTTGACCTACTTTTGCAATTTGACCTATATTTGCAGTGACCACAAAAATATTATGAAAAATGATGAAACCCAAAAGAAGTTTTCATAAAGTATACCTTCATGCATACCAAATAATTGGTGTATGAAGGAATTATCATACAGAATAACCACATGACTCTTCTGAATGGTACCATTTTTGTGTTTTAGGATGGTATGACTGCTATTCACCTAGCAGCAAAGCATGGTCATGTTAACATTCTAGAGGCTCTAAAGGGACATGTCTCCTGGACCATGACAAGTTCAAAGGTAATAGATTTTCTAGATTTCACATCACAGTTTATTTGTTGACTATTAACAACATTATTATAAACTCAGGCATGCATAGGCAGCATACCAATAACATCATAGCTTATAACTCAAACTCAAATAAGGCTCTCTAGCAAGTAACAGTTGCTGATGCTGAAAATGAAGTTCTGTTTGACACCTCTGGTGTATTTTATGTTTCAGACGGGTATGACATGTCTACATGTAGCAGCACACTTTGGCCAGATAGAGTTTGTGAGGGAGCTACTTACAAAGGTTCCCGCTACAATCAGCAGTGAACCTCCAGACCCTGGTGAAGGCATGGTCGGATCAACAGAGGTGAGTAGCAGTAAATGAAAACATTTCTAAAATAAAAAAGAAAGAAACGGCCACCAAATTAAGTAGAAGTACACTAAACAAGTTAAAAAATAAATTTCACATGATTATTATGTGTATTGTGTTATTTATGAAAATATGATGTCCTATTTTGGACCATGACTTTAGTTTGTGCAAATGCTATATGTACTCATTTTCTAAATTCATGAACATACACCTCTACAAAATACAAGAAGCTTAATCGTTCTGCCATTGACAAAGATTGTCCAAGATTCATTGTTTTATTCTCACTTCAGTTTGGCTTGACCCCACTCCATCTTGCAGCCCAGTCAGGACAGGAGGCTTTGGTTCGTCTGCTTCTCAACTCTCCAGGGGTTCAGGCAGATGCTCAGACTGCAGTACAGGTATGACTGAAATACTCAAACAGACATTTTTCACTTCATAGAAAATGTGTGCTGGGTGCTTTTTATTTCTAAAGCTTGAATATAATATTTTAGCAGCTGTGACAGTAGCTTGCCGTAAACATGAATGCATGAGGTGACAATCCCTGGTGACAATACTACTGCTTATACTATAGTCCAATCTTTATTAAAAGTATACTCCAGCATATAATTGATTAAGCCTGTAGTGAACAAAGAAGTCAGGAAAGTTATTTGCTATTATTTACCAAAATAATTGAGAACACAATTGAAAATTGGTATGTATGTAGTACATATAATTGCAAGTCTGTAGATATCAATAATGTATAAGTTGCATCATTAGGATTAGCCTCTTATGCTATCCATATTTCAGGGTGCAATACCTCTCCACAATGCCTGTCAGAGTGGACATACAAATGTGGTCAGTCTACTACTCAGTAAATCCACCAACCAGTTGCACCTCAAGGACAAACGAGGCAGGACAGGACTCCACCTGGCTGCAGCTAATGGCCATTTGGATCTGGTGTCTCTCTTACTTGGCCAGGGGGCTGATATTAACAGCTGTGATAAAGTATGAACACCTGAATATATCTCTGAAAGTTTTATTATAGGAACATTCTCTTCTAAGATGTTACCTGTGCTTTTTAAGATGCTAATTGAAATAAGATTCAATTTGAATTAAAAAATGACATGTGCATGTATCATATTTACCAGAGTAATCAGTAGTCTATTAAATGATAAATGAAAATGTAGTTATACCCTGCAAACCCCAACTCAATCCAATTTTGAACATTCATTATAGGTACATATACATGACATTGTATACTTATGCTATATGGTCTTATATTTCAGAATCAATGGACAGCCCTTCACTTTGCTGCCAAGGCAGGCTTCCTGAGTGTTGTTAAACTGCTTATAGAGAGTGGTGCATCTCCTAATTATGAATCCAAAGATGGCAAGGTTGCTGTCAACTTTGCAGCATCAGCCAACCATAGTGATGTAGTGAGCTTCCTTATGAAGAAAGATCACAATACTGAGCGCTTGATGCAAGATAATAAGGTGATGATTCTTCATAAGCTCATTGGGCAACTTTGGTGACAAACCATTTATAAACCATAGAAGTATGATATTTCACATTTAAAGAAGACATGTACTGCATGGTTGATTGCTTGATCATATTGTTCCTAGACCTGTACTTTAAAATGATATGTCCATTGAAATGCAATTTTATGTACGTAAATTTTGCTATTCCTAAAATGTAATTTGTGCATTATATGAAAGTCCAAATAAATGATTTTACCCCAAAAATCTGTACATGTTCAGTGTTGTTTATTCTTGATGATTCACTCAAAAATAGGATTCAGATGGCGACTATTTCTCTTTTGTGGTTTTCAGTTTGTGTTTGATCTGATGGTCCTCAGCAAGATGAATGACAATCGCAGCATCCGAGAGTTCATCCTCCTCTCACCTGCACCAGCAGATACAGCAGCAAAGATGGCTAAAAACTTCATTATATTGTCCTTCAAGGAGAAGGAACGTTCCAAGGATCTGACTCTGGCCAGTGAATACTGTGAATCAATGGCTGTGGATATAATGTCAATAGCTGCTAGTGGCAACTCTGCAGGAATGCTATTGAAAGCTCTCGATAGTAAAGGAACACCATTTTTGGATGTTTTAATAGAATGTGAACAAAAACATGTGATGTCTCAACCATCAGTACAAAAATATTTATCTGATGTATGGGTGGGGAACCTGCGCTGGGCATCTTGGAAACGAATTATGCTGTTCATGGCATTTCTCTTCCTCCCTCCAGTATGGATTGCGTTTTCTCTACCATTGCGCCATCGGTTTAACAAAATCCCTATTATAAAGTTCATGGCGTATCTAGTCTCTCATATATATTTAATATTACTTTACTTCCTGACAATTGTCTACCCTCTACGACCAATCTGGGAATCTGAGAGTCTCATACCAACCTGGTATGAATGGCTGTTATTAGCATGGCTCTCTGGGATGCTGGTATCTGAGTTGACAAACCCTGGAGACCGAGCTGGACTTGGTTGGATCAAGGTTATCATCGTCGCCATAAGTGCTATGGCTGTTACAATCCACATCATCGGATTTGCCTTCTCAGGCGAAGACAGACTTGTGTGTTTATATGTCAGGAATCAATTCTTTGGATTCGCTTTATTACTCTGCTTTGTGACTGTACTAGACTTCTTATCATTCCATCATCTGTTTGGACCATGGGCAATTATCATCAGAGACCTCATGAAAGACTTAACCAGATTCATGGTGATCCTTTCAATATTTATTCTTGGATTTACCCTCCATCTAGCAGCAATATACCAACCAGTTTTTGCTGAGCCCACTTATAATGTGACACTGGGAGATGGTACAGGAGGAGGAGGTGCCCAAGTTGACAGCCCTCTCGACACTTTAGAGCTACTTTTCTTCGCTCTATTTGGCCTCGTAGAGCCAGAAAACCTACCACCAATAAACAGGAGCCCAGTATGGTCAATTACATTAGTCAAAGCTGTATTTGGAATTTACCTTATCGTTACACTGATTGTGTTGATCAATCTGCTCATAGCTATGATGTCAGACACGTATCAACGAATTCAGGCACAGTCAGACACTGAGTGGAAGTTTGGGAGGGCTAAGTTGATTAGAAATATGAATAAGACATCTGCAACCCCATCACCATTGAATCTCTTCACCAAGCTGTTCCAGTATATCAGGATCTTCTACAAACACAGAGGTGAGTTCAGTTAATGTAACCCATCTATCATTTTGTGGACAAAGTTAGTTGATTATTAAATAGCCTAGGTTATATGACATGTATGATGCCAATGAGAACATGACCGAAGAGAGATATGAACTCACTCGAAAAGATACAGTTACAAGTTTTGCCTGTTTCTACTGTTTCTATCTTTGTGTTCACTTATTCATTCAATCCCTTTGTGTTCACTTATTCATTCAATCCCTTTGTGTTCACTTATTCATGTCTAGATAGATTACATTACTTAACAAATACTGTTTAGACTGACTTCAATTTTTTTCAAAATCATCTACAAGTTCTCAGAAGTTCAAATCTGACTTTAGTTTTGACATTCAATGACATTTTCATGGTCAAAAAGATTTGACCCTTTCAAAGTAACAAAAAGGTCTTTTTCAACTTGCTTCAAATTGACTAATCTTTTTTTCAAAATCATCTACAATTTAGCAGAAGTTCAAATCTGACTTTTGATTTGAGATTTGACCTTCGATGACCTTCTCAAGGTCAAAAAAGGTCAAAAAGGTTGTTTTTCAACTTGCTTCAAAGTGACCATTTTTTTTCAAAATCATCTACAAGTTCTCAAAAGTTCAAATCTGACTATAGTTTTGACATTCAATGACATTCTCAAGGTCAAAAAGGATTTGACCTTCAATGACCTTTTCAAGGTCAAGAAAGGTCTATTTTCAACTTGCTTCAAATTGACCAATCTTTTTGGCTCACACAGTGAGCCTTTGGGATCGACCAGGCGTCCGTCCGTCGGTCCGTCCGTCCGTTGGTCCGTCCATCCGTCCGTCAACATTGGCCGCACAAATTAAAACTGCTATTCGGATTGAGTCCTACCCACAGTCATTTTATGCATATCCATAATGCCTATTTGACCTATCATCGCCATTTCCCAAGTTCGCCCGGTTTCCAAGAAATTGCTGATTTTGACGTCAAAAGGTCAACTTTTCTGTAAATACTAGACACTTTGTTGAAGTAGAACTTTCAAATAACTTGCAGTAGTTGCTGTATATGCAACTTATGTCCTCTGAAGATTTCAAAGCTCTTGGAATTACAGTTTTTGGTGTTTACTCTATAAAATTTGACAAAAAGTAGGACTTCATCATTTTCAGGAAACTTTCTTCTGTATAAAGTCAATGGCAGGTTTTGTGATTGACATGTTTCTCAGAGTTTTCCTTATACTTGATCATTTCTTGCAATGAATTACATCATATCTATATTTAAGCATTCCCTACATATTGCTTAATATATGTCAGCATCAAATTTTTACCATTTTTGAGATATTTGACATCAAAAAACAGTAAAAATAAGTTATTTTTCAAATTGCTTCAATTTGACCAAATTCTTTTTGAAAATCATCTACAAGTTACCAGGAGTTCAAATCTGACATTAGTTTTAGGATTTGACCTTTCCTTGACCTTCAGTGACCTTTGAAAGGTCAAAAAAGTTGATTTTTTAAATTGATTTTTGGATTTAAATTTTGGTCAGCTTAATCACAAAAGACCTTACTGAGCTCTAAATAAGTATAATTTTCAAGGTCAAAGGTCATCAAACTAGGTCACACAACTGTGTGCTGTCTAAGTTTCTCAAAGTTCGAGACTACAAATCCAAATCAATATTTTTGTTTGAAAGTCAGGATATACATTCCTCTGAAGGTTCCAAACTGTGTGAGCACAGGACCGTGGGTCCTATTTTTTTCAAAATCATCTACAAGTTATCAGAAGTTCAAATCTGACTATAGATTTGACATTCAATGTCGTACTCAAGGTCAAAAAAGATTTGACCTTCGATGACCTTCTCAAGGTCAAAAAGTTCTTTCCATCTTGCTTCAAATTGACCAATTTTTTTCAAAACGATCTCAGAAATTCAAATCTAGATTTGAGATTTCACATTCAATGACATTCTTATGTTCAAAAAGGTCTTTTTTCAACTAGCTTCAAATTGACCAATTGATTTTTTCTTTATCATCTACAAGTTCTCAGAAATTCAAATCTGACTTAAGATTGAACTCATTATATTGTGAGCAACTAGGTGGTGACATTTTACATCTTATGTTTTTTTGTATTGCAGGTAAATTGTTTAGTGGACATGCAAGTGAGTACATGGCTGAGGAAGAAGACATGGACACATTCTCAGACAACAAATCGGTTGACATACATGCTGCACACTCTGGGGCTAATTGGTTGAGGAATGTTGTACGAAGGGCCACCCAGGTTGCCCCTGAAGGTACTAATCTAATACAGTATTTATATACTATTCACACATAGCAAGGCAAGGTTGTCCAATTCCAGTCAATCAGAACATTTCATATTCCGCCATTTCATAAAATTGCATTGCATTGTATAACCAATAACCCGCCCAAGGTCATTTTAGATTTTAATGAAGCTAATGAAACCGATGAGCTGATCAATTTTATAGTTGAGTAAAAATCTATAAATAGTCCCAAAGGGAATAACAAGCCATGTGCTTATGCAGGTCAACTGGTAAGTGTTGAATGGTTGTCAAGGTGACAAGTTGACCCTTGCAAAAAGTTTCTTTGAAAATATATTATTAAGTCATTTTGCATCTTTTAAGTGATATTGTATAAAATATTTTGCAATGTGTGAAAAGAATTGAAGCCCAAGTAGACTCAATGCATTGTGACTGATTTATTCTACTCAAGTGCTATGCATCGATTCTTCAATTCTTCCAAAGTTTGACTGGCACATATAGTGTCAATCTTTACAGAGAGTTTTTCAATGACTTGTAATGTGATCGCCTGCACTAGTTTCAGTATGTTTAGCTTGCTGTTAACCACAGAACATTTCTCAAAATTTTATGCAATTTTGTTGATTTTTGACATTTTTGAATTCAAAATTTTCTTGGTTTTACATTTTGCCTATGTATGATATGACTATTTTTCCCAACTTTGACCTGGAAATGTGACTTGTTTCTTTCAGGTGGATTTTTAAGAATTCAAGAAAATGGTGGCAATCGGAGTCCATTGCGTATAGATGAGGTTATTAATTGGGAGAATGTTGTCACAAAATATCTTGTCATGAATGGCTTCATTGACCCAGAAGATTCACAACTGAAAGAGGATGGGGAGAATTTTGATGAAACAATGAAAGACTTCAATGATAAATCAAAAGAAAATGGAATGAAATAAGTTATATGAAATAATTATTGTAAATCATAATTAGGATACAGACTGATTCCAAAAATGAATATCAAAAATGCTAATATTTTGATGCACTGTATCACTTATAAATACTACATACATGTAATATACAGTAAAATCTGTGTAATTGGAACACCTTTGTTACCTCTAAAAAGTGTTCCACTTTACAGGTTTTACTGTATAATTACTGTATTTATGAATCTCTCAAGGATATTATATACTTTTAACTTTATCAATCTTTATTCTTCATTTTATGGATGAAGAAATCATATGAAGCACAGTTTAGTCTTGAAGTATTGAAACTAAAATATGTATGTTAATCTTAGAATCCAATCTATAAATAATGTTTTCATCTTTGATTTGGCATCATTTATTTGGTTTCTTCTTGGGTTTTGGAATTTTGCTGTTATTTAATTTGGCATTTTTGGTCACCTTGACAGAATTTTATAAAATTGCCAAATTAGACAAATTAAAATACTTGCCAAATTAAACATGGGTTCAGTAAATTATATATTCAGTATTCATAATAATTGCAATTTTGTTTAGTCCTGTGTATTATTTCTGTTTTTATATGTATGTACCTGTATCGCTTAAATATACACATATATCCGTCCAAATTGATTTTTGAATTCTATATAAATGTATACTGAATGTATAAGGGTATGTTATTAACACTGATTGTCTGACACACAGATACGTCCAATTTAAATGTTTTATTTTCCGTCCAGTTGAAATTAGTATGTACAGTAAAACCTGTATCAGTGGAACACCCTTGGTTCATCTAAACAGTGTTCTACCACTTTGGAGGTGTTTCATTCATAGAGGCTCAATTACAATTAACTCAATGGGGATGGAAAAGTGTACCACTTACATTGGTATTCCACTTGGCAGGTTTCACTGAACTTGTATAGTGCCTCATGCTAAATATGGGATATGACTTTATGTAGCCCTTAGACCAGACAATGCTCCAATATTTACAGGGTGAGATATGCATTAGGATACAAGAAAGGGCAAGTGTATAATGAAATATAAGTACTTGTGCAAACCATTATATGTACATGTATATATTTAGATTCTAATTTAACAAGATGCAATCAATGTTCAAAATATGTATAACATTAATTACAAATTTAATTGACATTTATTGATGGGATGTACATAGAGATTATCCTATATGAGGTTCAGGATATTGGGATTATCCTGAGGCCAATATAATATATCTGCCCGAGGGCCGTAGGTCCCGAGGGAAGATATATTATATTGGCCAAGGGATAATCCCAATATCCTGAACCGACTATAGGATGATCTGTTTATCCCATACCAATCACATTGTTCAATTGTTGCAACCAATCGTGGAATTATTTTAAAATATTCATGTCCAGTTTTTTATTCTTGTCTGTAGCCGGATTTTCCTGTTCAAATATTTGATTATTAACGGGGCATACTGCTCCTTCCCTTCTCTAAAGCATCAAACAGATCGCGATCGATTGTTTGCGTTTTTCTCCATTGTCGTTTACAGTATGCGAACGTTACAAAAAAAGAACCAATACGGGAACAGCGATTATGACGTAGCGGGCAGATATTCTATATCTGCCCGCTCGGAGCGGGACGTAAAGCTATATCTGCCCGCTGATGAAAATATAAGTTTTTACAAACCGGCTTTATGTACCCGTAACACGTCCAAGTATGGGATAAACATATTTATCCTATGACAAGTGAGGTTTCAGGTACATAACACAGGATATAGAATTGATATCTCGAGGGAATGGGACACATATATCTCCCACTCCAATGTTCCTGGGAATACATTTTTGTTCAGTGTCTAGAAACAGTCAATTTGTTAGAATATCTTGCTATATAGCAAAACTGTCGAAATGGATGTTGAAGACAGTAGAATTTTTTACCAAAATGTTGATTGATTTCTCAAAAATGAGAACGCTTTAAAGAAAACAAACCTGGATATGAGTGTCCTGAAAACCTCACTTGTCATAGGATAAATTATTTATGTGATGCTCAGTTTTGAATATGGGGTATATCTCTCTGGAAATATGATATCTTACCTTGGACCCCACAAGCCCTTGGTAAGATATCTATATTACCCTCAGGATATATCCTATATCCAAAACCTCCCATAACATATATTTCATTTTAGTTCTGTAAATCAGAGACATATTGTAAATAAATATCATATCTGTGGGAAAATCATATATTTTAAATTTTATGAATTTGTAATGTCTCGTTTATACATTTTCAGGCCGTCCAATTTGATTTTGTAGAACTGTATAAAATTATGGCAGTATGTCAATTTGCAAGGTTAAACCGTTTTGAATAAATATATGTTTAATCTATACAGTGCAATAAAATATTCAATGATATTAACAATTTCTCATGTTATATGCAAAGACAAGTCAGTGCCAAATAATGTTGGAATGAGTATTTGAGAATAAAAATCTGAAAATTAGATAATAATGTTCCAGATTAACCCAATCCTCTTCAAGGAGCATATTGGCGCCCAGGGACACAACTTTATATTTTCCAACAATGAAAATGTTAGAACTTTTTGTTATGTAATAAGACCGAAATTTGCGATTCAAAATTTGATGTGAAAATCATGACATCCTTAAAGATTAGATTCACTGTCGGAAAATATCGAGATTGCATTCTGGGAGCCAATCCTCCTTTAATTCTCTTCAAGGGGATGGATGTAGAGAAATAGTATTGTTGAGAGCTCAAAATGTAATATTAAACATTCATCATTCACCATAAGTGGTGCTTTCTTTTAAAATCGTAGGCTGGCAGAAACCTCTGGCTGACAGACTGTAATGTAGTCGAATTTAACCCTATCCCAGATTACTATTATGTTTGTCAGTAATATTGACCTAGTTCCAAAGGTGTTTACACCGTCTTTATCTTGTGGACTTTGTTATTCCAAATTATAAAATGATGTCAGAAGTTTAAAACCAAGGGCAAAGTGTACTAGACAAATGTAAAAATAGATTACTTGAAGTAGCCCAATTGGGGATTCCCCATTCGTATCACATTTGATCATTTCATTCAGTAGTGCATTTTATCATGGGATTTCTATAAGGCCCATATGGTTGATGAGTGACCACTTTGTATTCCATACTGTACATGGTCTGTCCATGATATTATATGATTTTGAGAGATATCATTTTTATCAACCAGTTGATATTTATATCACCACCCGAAAACTAATATTGACTTTGAGTTAATAAATAAATATTGTGACATAAAGAATAATTGGATGGTAATAATAGATCACCATGTGAGCTAAAAAGCATATATTGGATTTGTCCAATTACTCAGATGCGAGTAGGTAGTTACCAGTTTCGCCACCAGGTGGCTGATTCAAGGGAAATAACATGGCAGGGTATTACAAAATTCCCTTAAACTTGAATAGTTATCAGTTTTAGTGGTTCACTTTTCATATTACCCTTATGTATCTCATAGTTATACAAATTAAAATATGTCCAGTAAAAGAAAATATTATCTGCCCAACACAAGAAAAGATATTTCCATTTTTTGTGATTTTACAACATGGGGGCTATGGGGAATCTCCCCGACCTAGAAGTCACATTTTCAAAGAAAATTAAATTTTCAAAGTTGATAAACTCTTTTCAAAACCATATTTCTAGATGTAATTTTACATGTACATTCCAAATATGACATCAGTTTGACTGAATTTTGAATTTTTAATGACTTAAATCAAGATTATTTCTACTCGCATCTAGGATATTGCATGACAATTGCCAGAACTAATAAGAAATGGAAAATATCTCATGTTTATTTAGGAGTTTGATGGTGTTCAACTTAACACAGGTTCAATTGACATTAAGTTAATGGGTTTTAAAATGGATAAAAGTGTTCCACTTGCAAGGTGTTCCACAGAGATGTTCCACATAGCTAGTTTTACTCTACATACTTCATGTTGTCAATCTCGTTTTATATATTTATCAAGTTTGTCAAAAGATGTCAGGAATGATTTGGATTGGATGTTTTTATTAGTCAATAACTGGGGAACTGAATTATTTGCTCTAGCCAGTTCATTAACTTCACATTGTGGGATCCACAGCCTTTACTATCCTTTTGGAATAGTTTCTCTCAAAAGCGTTAGGTAAAGAGGGACTCTGATAAATCAGAATGTTAACCGATTGAAGCTAAGATACTGTATAATTAAGTTCAATGCAGTGGTAAAGTGGTAAAATAAATAAAATTATGGAATAGTCTCATTGCAAGCCCCTCTGACCCCTTCCCACTCTTTGACTACACAGATATAAATACTTTTTACATAAAGGAGGTGTGTTGGGAGGTGTGTAGGGGGAGGGGGGAGGGGGCATAATGACTTATAGCTAGACTCGACTTAAAGAATTGGATTGAGGAAGATGTTTATAAAAGATAACTTTATAAAATGAAAGAGAAAGAATCAAACAATTGTGAAAATTGTAATATATCAATGTAATTAGTAAATTAAGAAAGGGAACCATCCAAATTTAGAATTTCTGTTTGATTATGAACTGATAAGAAAAATGGTTATGTTATTTGTAATTTGTTTTATATGGAAATAAAGAAATACGGAAGTTAGAAATGTCTATATTAATTGTTAGAGGTGAAAAGGAGAATGCAGAAATGTCTAAATTCAACTAAAATTGACCAACAAATCAAAGGATTATCCAATAGGTGCTTTCTCCCGGGTGATTTCTCTGTTCTGTATTGCCGGGAACTCTCATCACCCATGGAGTACCTTACCCCCATGAATGTGGGCTCGGTTTGCGGGGGTTTGCTTTTTTTAATTTTTGATTTTGATAAGGCATACTATCACTAAATGTCAAAAATAAGAAAAAGACAAAACACCCCCACATTCATGGGGGTATGAGCACCTGTGAATCATCCTGATATAAAGTCTATATCCAGCATGATTTTCAATGCCTCATTCCCGTTACTTTTCTAACTTTTAAAGTTTTTAAAAATTTACCATCAGATGTTTCTGAAGTAAACTCTTTTTGTTGTGAGATTCTAAACCGATATAGCGAAAAACGCATAATAATAGTCACTCAATACCGGCCGGCATGACCTGAAAGTCCGACAACCAGTTATCACATTTTCATTAATTTGAAACTTTTTTATTTTTTTGGGATGATTGCAAAGAGATTTACTGTTAGACACCGTAGTAAAATTGTTCAAAGATAAGGTTTCAGATATGCAAATTTGAGAGGGGGTGTGTGTTTATCCCGATATAAGGACAAGGATTGATCCATGGCATGCCCCTTGCGTCAGCTTCAGTTTCCAGACCATGGTAGTAACACAGCTCGAGCACGTGAACATTTGGCCTTGAACAGGACCTGATCACATGCACAAATGGATTTGATTGGCTCAATCCAGGCACACACTACAATTTGATTGGATAATTCAACCCCGCCCTCTCCTTGAATCATATTTTGTACACATTAGAATTATGTGACAGAGTAATATTCAATTTTCATCTCAGCAAAACAGTTTTGTAACGATTCAATCGGACTATTGAAGATATAGATGATACAGAAAGAGACAAAGGGAACGTACAACTAAGCCGAGTCGAGAAAATCTATTTATTCGTATTTGTAGTGGAGAAATCGACTCGAAAGAAAGCGAAAGTATCTGGTAAGTCATGCTTACATATCAGCTGTTCAATGGGAAAATTGCAAAATCAAAATCAAAAATCAATTTTGAATGCGCTGTAATTGCAGATTTACATTAATTTATCCTTAATAGATTATCAAAAGTCTTCGGAATACTATAATGGATCAATAAAACCATTTATGTAGGCCAGAACATAGAATATATTGTTTGTTTTCATCATGCTCATGGCATGTGAACTGTGGCTGACTTAGTACTGGTAGATTACTACACCTGATCATGCTAGGGAAGCATGGTAGCCTTGATGATGGGATGTGTGGCCATGGGTGGGTCTTGAATACCATTGAAACAGCCAATGAATGCATGATCATTGATTATGAATCGTTGTTATGTATTTCAGACATAATGTTGACAACTGGTAGAGAGGATGATTATCATGATGGAGAGGCATGTAGTGCAGATTCGGCTACTTCAAGGACTTTAGTTGAGTGCGACGCAATCAATACATTGCTTTCAATACGTGGTCCATCATCACCAAACTTAGATGTTGCACCCATGACACCTCAGTCGCAAGGAAGTTCATCACCGAGTAGAAGCGAATCTGACAGTGAATCAAACGACACTTGGTTAACCGCACCTTCAGAACGAACAGAGCTTCGACCAGAAGGGAATATGTCGCTACCCCCACGCAAAAGACCAATGATGCGGGATATGGCCTGCTCCAGTCTACCGTTCAAGAAACGTTCTAAGCTTGCCCAGGTTTGTTTTTTATTTTCCTTCTTTAGCCATTAAAATGTAATTTTAGTTCACTCACTGTTGTTTATTGTTGTTAAATAGGTTGATGTCTCGGTCATGTCACTCTGATACAGAACCAGTTATGGATAAAGCCTTTAGTTTACGTCACTTTAACTAGTTTACATCCTGTTTTTTGATACAATAGAGGTTACAATAAATAAATGAAAATGAACTTATCCTGTTAAAATTATATTATAGTTTTTTGTAAAATATTTTGGCATTGTTAAAGTATGAATTGCCTTGATAGTCCTTTATGATAGGTAAATTCATAAATGTAATTATTTATTTTCAGTTGCTAATGGGTAAAAGAATGCCGCCATATGATGACATGTCACTGCCTCATTTGATTGGTGCTACTGAGGCAAGAGCAATGCCAGAAACACCAGTTGAAAACTTCAGTATCTCTTACTCCACACCCCCACCCACTCCAGACTACATGACCAAAGAATCGATGAACTTCAATAACAGTAATTCCAACGAATCTTTTCTGACCATGCCGATCTCAAGAACATCGTCTCCTATTTGCACGAGCCATGTACCATACAGTCAACCTCATTCAAACCAGTTTGCACCAAGAATGATGACATCATCTCCTGTTTCATCGACCCCGCCATTGACTCCAACTTCAACTTATCAAAACATTGCCATAAAGTCTGATGTACCCCAACAATTAGAGAACAATGCATTCAATATTAACAAGGTATCCATCAATAGTGAGCAGAGAATGCCAATAAATGGACTACCAGTAATGTATGCAGATGTTCAGGGTACACTGATACCCATAAGCAATGCGCCTATTGTGCAGGTCATTGTTGTGAACAATAATACTAATGGAGGGGACAATAAACTTTGCCGTATTGCCCCAGCACCCCTAGTAACAACCCCCATTCCTGAAAAGATCTCCACCGATAATCTCACAATGCGTCAGCGAAGTCATGTCTGCAGTTTCCCAAACTGCAACAAAACATACTTCAAAAGTTCTCATCTGAAGGCCCATATCAGAACTCATACAGGTAAGGAATTATTCAAAACTATGAACTAATGTAAATGATAAGTGAATTAGGTGCAAACTATGTAAAAGGTGGGTGTACTGTTCATGGCCTCAGCCTGGTCAATATCATGTACATGGGATTTAACAACACATCTGCCCATTACGTGTGTACATTCACGTGTCCTTTTTGTGGCAGTGATATAAACAGTGTAGTGATTGATTGTACATCTAGTAGTCACATGATAATTCAGTTATCCAATCACCTACCTGATTAAAGTTCATATAAGCCATTTATCATATTTGTTCCATTCATACAGCGAGTGATCACTGAATGCACATTCAATCAGTGATATGTTAACACAATATTATAACATGATATGCACTTATGATAAATATCAGGTACTTTGTGTAAATAAATACTTATGAAATGTCTATTGTATCTTCAGGGGAGAAACCATTTGTCTGCCAGTGGGAGAACTGTGAAAGGAAGTTTGCTAGATCCGATGAACTCTCGAGACATAAACGTACCCATACAGGCGAGAAAAAATTTGTCTGCACAACATGTGATCGGCGGTTTATGAGGAGTGATCACTTAGCAAAACATAGCAAACGCCATACAAATAACAAACTGGACAATGATATCAAATTAGTCACAAAAACAGTATAGACAGTAAAAGTGCTATAATTATTTGATGTCAGGGAGTTCCCAAAGAACTGAAAAAAGCTTATGTAGCCATGATAATCATTGAATAAACACAATGCAGCTACTATGCTAGAAGTTAAAGAGAAACTATTTAAGAATACTCTGTGCAATTTTGCCATTCATTCCACATGATGGGGCATCGAAATCCAAATCAAAATACATCATTCATGCATATATCCATGGACAAAAAATCTTCAACTTTTCAATTCATATTAATACATAACGTAGTCAGCTATACAATTCATCCTTGCCTTACACACCATGTCGCCATTCCTTTCTAGTGCAAAATTACACAGGCAGAACCATGTAATATTTTAGTGGTTAGAGTGCCTTTGTTTCGTTATTAATTAATTTTTTAAGTATTTACATGTTCAAATAGAATCCTTGTGAAATAGGAATGGGTTCATGGATGGAATGTACATTTTTAAGTTGCCCCATAAATTTGTGAATTGTTTTTGAAGAGATTATATATAATGTATTGTTTCAAGTGTGTTTATTCACATTCGTCTTTATCATTTTATTTATATGTATTATAGTTTTTTAATTTATTAAAAATATATCAAATATATTTAAATTAAATCCGAGACACATGTATCTTGTTTATTTATTGTAAACGAACTTGACACGAGAATCATCAGAAATAGCCAGGTACCTTTTGATAAAATTGGAAAGTTTTCAAGTTTGATAAACACACCCCCAAAGCCAATAGACTCTATATTTAAGCATTAACCAATTTAATTTCATACTCCCTCAGATAGATGAGTGATCCTCTGAATAGTTTAATGAGTGGACTTATATGAAAAATCAAAGGTTAACTACTTCATTACCAAGTTAAGGTGAATCTCACATGAGTTATATATTATTCTATTTTCCAAGTGACTGTGACCTTAAAAGTACCGGTACCTCAAAATACTTGAAAATGTGACTGATATCTTTAATTGAACTGTTGGCCTGACATAGACAAAAACCTGGAGAAATACTGTTTATTTTAATCAATTAAATTGAGATAAATTATCAAGGAGCTAGGTTGCCTTGGGTATGAGCATTGGCTGGCTAATACATGATTTACTGCATGTATCTAACATTCCATAAGCATCTTTAATATGGAACATGCCTATGGAGCATGTTCATCACAATACATCCAGGATCTAGGGATGAAGCTAAGATATTTTTAGATAGCTAACCACATCATTGGCTGTCTGCAAATCATTTCTCATTTCTTCATGACTAAAGATGGACCTATTGCATGAATTAAACAATGCAAAGTATTTATTAATCCTTATGATATACTCTAGTCTTGAATTGATTCTTATGTACTCTAATGAATAATAGATCTATTATAGCACACAAATCAAGATATTTCCAAGGTTAACACACCCCTAACATGCTATTCAACAGAAATCAATGATTGGTTGGTTGTTTTTAAAGTCTAGCAACATATTTAACCATGTTGATGCCATGCAAGTAGATCCTGATCCTTACTGCTGACCTAGTATAGCTATTTGCTGCAGTGCTCTCCAGTCTATAGTAGCAGGCAACTCCCACGCAGTGTCTCGGTATAGACACTGTGGGGGGCAGATGAAGAAAAAAAAAATTTGGTGAAAATAGTTCCCCTTTTCATCGTATGTGGTCAATTTTCACACAACTTATAAAATATGTACTGTATTCATGAATGTTCCCCAATCATTATTCTGTCAAAATATCTCAAAATTATTGAAATATGAGAAGAAATCACCACGGAAGGAATTCTGAGTAAAAGTTGTGTTGATAATAGTTTACTGCACGTGTTGTTTATTAGTTAATACGCGCAATTCAACCAATGAAATTGTCTAAATTTTACAATCACACGACCTGAGCATGGGACTAGAACCAATCACGTCAGTTGTTTATTACGACGTTACCATGCTTACGATGAGATACCTGCCCGCCGCAGTGATATATCACTGCACGGGAGTCTGTAGTAGCAGGATTATAGATCAAAAATAGAAAAAAAATTGTTCCTGCTTTTGTCTTTTGGTCTTTAATTTTTAGGGAGTAACATAACATCCATATTGTTCACAACCACGAACACGAAATCTCAGAAAATGACTTATGTCTTATCAAATGAAGTTATTTCAGATTTTATCATTCTCACATGTTTTCATCACTAAGTCAGAGTGACCAAGTGTGAATAAGTGAAGTAAGTTCCTGAATCCTGATGTAGTCATGCTGACAGCTAATGGTGATTGGTTACTGTATCTGTATGTTTACCAGAGAAGGTAAATTCAATGTAACATCTATTTTTCTGATGACAAAAAATCTCTGTATTTTGGTATCCTCTTATGAACTTATGAGTATTTTGAAAATAGAAAATAGGCACAATAAGGGTTACACTTGGATCAAGTTAATGTCAGATTCTACCTTTAATAGGGAGTTAAGCTTGCAATGTTTTTCACAACCTAAATGTGAACAAAAAATATTTAAGCGATGCATTTGTATGGGCAATTAGTCATACGTATAGGTTGGCGTTTTGATTTTATATGCAAGCTTAAACTCCCTATTATCACATGAAAAAACTTTGAACATTGGCAATATTGAGAGAGTTTAAAAATGTTTTCTAAAAGGATGATTTTCCCAAGCCAAACTTCAAGCAACATACTGTACTTCAAAACTACATAACACAACACATCATCTTAAAAGTTATTGTTTATCTGTAACAAAAATCAATAGAAACCAAAATAACTCAAAGGGTGAACTATTGAACAAGGAAGTCATTTTTAGATGCCCCCTCAGTCATATGACGCATAACCAGGTAGGAGGTAATTCAGGTGTCTGAAGGGCTGACTAATTCAAACTGTTGACAATTCAATGTGTCACCATCCCACATCATTTTTTCTTGAAGAACTATCAATTAGATGAAGGGGGACCTTGATAATTAAGAATGACCATCCAAAATCATGCTTTGGACTATAAAGATTTAATGGCAAAACACAAATTGTTATCCCAAAATAAAGCAATGACATCTATCTATCTGTGAAATAGTGATTCTTTTTTCTTCAGAAAAAGTTGAGATAAAAATCACTGAATGCAAGATTGGAAAAAAGATATGCATCAAAATTCGAAAATGACAATTATTGTCAAAATATTTAATTGATTTTAATTGTCTAGAAAAATGTCAAATGTCTAAATGTTAGGAAATAATCTATATGTGCTGTGGAAGGTGTTCACAATGAGGTACACATATTAACATGGGTGTTCACATATTAACATGGGTGTTCACATATTAACATGGGTGTTGAAGAGAGATCCGTAATGTACTTATGAAGTTTTTTACATTTTAAAGTGTTCACTTTTTATATACTGCATTTCTACCTTGGTGCCCACTTGTTTGGTCTTTTTGATAAAAAAGACACCATGAGGTATTTCCTAAAAGTCTCTCTTCAAATTTCAGATATTTCTTGCAGAGTCTGTATGTCTCTTCTGCAAGAACATTTCAATTTTGAATTGGATTCAGAAAAACTGGATAACTTTTGTTTAATATTGCACAGATACAGGCAAATATGAAATTGAATGATCACACGACATATTAAATTTTGACCAACATTTTGAAAATTGCTAAAATCAATGGCACCAAAAGTAGAAGCACTGTATATTTGGTATTTTCATACAGACAGGCAAATTCATTTTACAATTGAAGATATTTATTTTTCTTCACAATATTGAGACCATACAGGTACAATTTGAAAGCAGGTAAAAAATACCAACACATGAGAAAGCTTGACAATAATACAATATCTCACTTAATATTGTCTATTAAAGGGACAATTTAACATAGAGAGCCCATTTTCATAATTATATTACATATATTTCAGCTGATAAAAAACACCATATTTTGTCAAATATTTCACATACATGTATTGGTTTGTTAAGTGAAAATGTAATGGATTTTTTCAGGCCCCTATGATAAGATTGTACCAATAATAGTTCACAAAACGATATGCTTAATTCTCCAGTCATGGTTTAAATTCAAGCAGTCAAAACATTTCTTTCTGCAATATGAAAATATTTATATACACTTTATATAATTCCTCATCATTATAATATATGTAATCATTTTCATCGAACATTTAAATCACTATTGGCAGTGGTTTTAGCACACGGGTAATAAACACATTCTCAAGAATTCCTATGAGCAGTGGGAAAGCTCAGCTCGATCATTGCAATGGAGAATGGAGTAAAAATGAGTTGTCTCACGATTAGTGATATAATATGTCTCACAATCTTCACTTTATATGCATACTAAAACTATACAGCTACAAGCTAATATAACAAGGTACTATACATATTTTCAGTGTATTATACACTTTTCACAGTAAACAATCAAGCAAATAATAACAAAACATCAATTTTGGCATTTTTAACAATACACAAATTAACTCATAAAATTCTGAAAATTCAACAAATCAATCAACTTCTCGAAATTGCTTACAAACTGTGAACATATGAGAAAATAATATAATACTGAAGTATGTAACATTCAAAACAACTGAAAAGTTATATGTGACTATTTCATTGCAAACAAACACATTGTGATAGTCATAAGGTAATGGTAAGAGGCAGATATTAGATCTTGGCAGGGGACAGTGACACTCACATTTTTATGCCCTAATCCTACCAAGTAAGACCACATATTTTCAAACAAAACATATCTAAGATAACCGTTGAACACAGAGGTAAAAACACAGCATATTTTTTGAAACACAAACATATGCTTAGTTCCAAAAAGATCTGAATTCTGCCCCTGGGGAGTTCAACACCATGGGTATTGGAATTCAAAGCACCAAGGTCGCGCAGATGCATTTTAAATTTCCTTGGCATATCATACCAAAGAATTAATTCATATATGCAACTAAAATATTTCTTTTTAAATGATGATCAGGTTTGCAATTTCATTTATAAAATGTACCCTTGCAATATACGTGTCCTTTCAGAAAAGCACCAAGCCAAATAATGACATCAATGAAAACAAGACATTTGACAATAATGGGAATGATGCGAGGTGTTAAGAAATAAGAACACAGCATAAGCAAAACAAACACAGGATATGCTCGATTAATACATAATAATATATATATCCTGGTATCAAAATATTCATAATCTGCGCTTTTCACTTCATTATTATTTTACATCAATTATGTAGGTGCTAAACATCTAAAACCAACATTTCAGTGTCCTAGTTTGACCGATCACTCTGTCAATAAGTGCAATTCTACTGGTTCCTACGCAAACTACATTATACAAGTCACACCTTAAATGAACATCTGAACTTGTGCTGTTTGTCACATGTAAAATATCATGAAATTAATTCATGATCATGGCACTTGGAATTTTAATTGACATTACTTTGGTGCATGTTACAAATAGGGCGAGTCATGGGGAGTTCACATCTACATGGCAAAACCGAGTGATTGACACGAAGCATTGTGCAACATTACCTTCTTGTTTCATCTCCGAAAATCATGAATAATTGAAATATGTCAAGATGATATTAGAGATTTTGCTCATACGTGAAGGAATAACTTATGTTTATGCGTATAGCTATACGTTATAAGTACATGAATAAGTATCGCAAAAATACGTACTTATATAGATATTTAGAGGTTATGTCACTATGACGTGAAATATGCCTGAGTTCTCCCAATATAGGCCGACCTTGGGAGGCTCTATATTTGGGCAAGAACGAAGGCATATTTCACGTCATAGTGACATAACTGATGTATTACATGCCTTTTTTCCCATGGTTACTTTGTATCAATGACGTGACGTCATGATATTATCATGGTTATTAAAGAAATCTAATATCAAAACGAGGTAAGCGGGCTATATCGGGGTAATCGGGCAATATCGGTGGATATAGCTCGCTAACTTTCCCATTGACTTCCATACAAATGCTTCGCTAGGTATGTAATACAAATGTATATTGCATAAATGCGGTTGTGAAATCTCTAATGTGCCACACAATATTCAATCAGACGTCTGTTGCAAAATCGCAAATGCCACACCCTTGACATATAATCAGGTCAGTAGTAGTTCTACTACATACACAATGGTTTTCAAAATTAAGTAAATTCTAAATGAAATTACTTCTGATGATGAAATAAGATGGGAGCTGTTTAAACCAATGGCTTTCAAAATTGAGTAAATTCTAGAGAAATCTAAAATTTCCTGAGAACTAAATCAACTTGTGGCAAAGTTTCAACGAGGCATCAACATGCAAAATGTTACCACTTGCCATTTGTTACAGATGCTGAACTCTGAACGCCATCAGTTGGACAGTCACAAAAAAGTTGAAGACTGTAACAATAAGTCAACATTTGTGATGAAGCTATAAAAGACCACCATCCCTCTTAATGAACACTCACTGGCTTTAAATCATTATTAAAACAGCAATTCCCAATGAGCTTGGCAAAGTAGACTTAGCCCTGTTTTTTTTGTTTTTATGGTTTGGATTCTGTTTTCATTTTTAGAAAATAGAAGTCTATTTGAAAATTTAGTTCTAAAGATGTTTATTTATACTCTCAAATTCAAAACATGGCATTGATAGGTTAAAGTAATAAACATCCCTACTTTAGTGCTTTTTAATTGAAACTGTTTTAAGTGCACAGTGAGGGTGAAATTGAAATTTCATTCAGGAAGAAAGAATCAAAATTGAATGTATGAATCCAAAGGTAATGCATATTTTGCTTCCAATGGTGAACCATAATCAAACAAGCATGTTCAGTGTTAGAAAATTGTAGAATGACACATAAAAAACAGATTTATAAACCTTATCGATTTTGGTCAACATTTATGGGAGTTCCATGCACTTAAGAGGTGATATTTTTGCACTCAGTCTAGTGGACATATATGTGTAAACTACTATGTGTACTGACAGTGATGCCATCTATCATCTATAAATCCATATAATATCACAATTATAATATTTAGTTGTATAAAAAGCTATATTTCATGGAATTCATAGTAAAACCTGAATATGCTCGTTTATCATTTACAGAACTTTGATTTAGTTTATTAAGATATTCAATGAGGCCTTCTTTAGGTTCCCATTAAGACAGTGCTTTAAGTGACACATCAGGAGCCTGTATTCTTAACTAATGCTAGCCATTATTGTTGGTTCTCTATACAGTGCTTAAAGCGCCACATCAGGGACCTAGTGCTTAAAGTGACACATCAGGGGCCTGAGCACTAAACTAATGTTAGCGTTTATTGTTGGTTCTCTATACAGTGCTTAAAGCGACACATCAGGGACCTAGTGCTTAAAGTGACACATCAGGGGCCTGCGCACTAAACTAATGTTAGCGTTTATTGTTGGTTCTCTATACAGTGCTTAAAGCGCCACATCAGGGACCTAGTGCTTAAAGCGACACATCAGGGGCCTAGTGCTTAAAGTGACACATCAAGGGCCTGTATTCTTAACTAATGCTAGCCATTATTGTTGGTTCTCTATACAGTGCTTAAAGCGCCACATCAGGGACCTAGTGCTTAAAGCGACACATCAGGGGCCTGCGCACTAAACTAATGTTAGCGTGCTGAACACAATAGTAGACTAGCAGGAGTTTAGTGCTGCTGGGAATGATATTCAAAAGTAGATAAATTTAGAAAGCAAGAGTACATATAATCTAATTACATAAACCACTGCAATAGACCAATGTAGGATAATCATACTTGTTAAATCTCAGACACTCAACCTCACCCATTAGCTTATGTTGATAGATGCTGCATACTTGAGAAATGTTATTCAAAAAGGACATTACAGGCTGTCAGCATTGTGCATTTGGCAAAATTAAGCATTCTAGTTAATATTTTCTACCATCTCATTTATAATATCAATGTTAGCAGACCTTAACTATATGAGACCCAAGTATTGAAATAAATAGCTATCCTACATTGATTTTTTGCAGCAGAGCATTATTGTTATCTTATTCAAACGATAATACAGTAAAACTTCTAGCTTGTACCCCCATATAAGGTGAACAGTCTTAAACAATTTTTACATTGTTCCAAGAGTGTTCACTTTTGGGAGATTTTATTATAAACGGAGCATAATTTATTTTACTTTTGCACAACACTCCCATGGCCTAGATGTAGGTTAGTAGTACAAAAAGCTATGCTACATTCAGGTATAGAACTGTATTATTAAGGCTGACTATCCAATGTGGGCAATCTAAGGATAATAGCCTTCATCGCTGCAGAAGCTACGAGTCCAAAGTGGGCAATCTAAGGATAATAGCCTTCATAGCTGCAGAAGCTACAAGTGAGGCGTATGGGGCCCATTCTTTGCCCTTAGTGCCATCAGAATAGTCCGCTATGCCTCTGATGAACATAAAACTATCCTTCCTATTTCCGACAATAGATTCCATCACTTGATCGAATTCATCATCGTATGCCATGAGATTCTGCCTTGCAGCAAAGTCCAGTCTTATGGCATCATCTTTCACTATTGGTTTTCCAGCTCCAAATGTTCCCAGACGAACTGTTGGTGCATTAGGGCGATATTCGGCATCATCAGGGATTGGAGGATGTCCAACCTCAATGACATCACTACCTCCGATATTCATGTAGAGTCTGTCTGACTCTGGAAGGGGGCGCGAGAAATCAGCTTCCTGGACTTGTAAGTATTCCTGACCCTCCTGTACAAATTTTTCCCAGGGAGAATTACTGAGGTTGGCGGCATTTTCTTCCAGCATGGTTTGCATCAATTTCAATGCGATATCCGAGGGAGGGGACCAGCTCTTCAAGGTGTATGTGATCTCCTGAGTTTCCTCATTCATGTTCAGCTTGTCGCAATAGATGTAACAGCTGCCCTTGTGATTTGGAGCAGAACAAACGACATCACCAAGCCTCACATGCTTGTAGAAATCGGTGTAATGGGGAACCCCACCTCCTACACCAACCAGGAAGACATGTTCCACCTCAGAGAAACTACCTGTAAATACACAGAAACATCTCATTTTATCAAAGGTTAAAATGCACAACAATTCATCTTTAGATGAAAAATCTCAAAAAGTTGAGATATCGAAACTTGAAACATGTTAATAAATAATTATGATGAGAGAATGTGATATTAATGTGATATTAATTTGATTTATGTAGTATGTAGTATGCAGGGTTTTAAGACTCACAATATTCACACATAAACTAATGGGACAGGTGAGAAGAACAACCAACTGGAGAAAATTAGTGAACTGCTACCTATTCAAGTCCTGCCTCCTATTGAAAAGATATCGGCCTCAATTATGTTACTGTGTTTATCTCACCAACAATAAAGTGTTAAATTCCAAACACTGCTCTGTCTGGTCCACTAAACAATGGCCTCACTAATTAGTAATTAAATAAATCAGGCCAAGCCAATTGAAATAAGAGTTCACATTGGATTCCATGACATCATCATTACAAATATACTTATTTATAAAGATTAATCTTCATGATTAAAACTGCAATAATATTATGGTCTTTTTGAATCCCTGATATTTAGATTAATTTCAAACATTCATTGCAGTCATTGTGAAAAACATAAAATTGCAACCTTAAGGCCTATACTGAAATCCTGTGTTGGAAATGATTACTCAACTATTTATCCACAAGCTATTATGGTGTATTTTTGAACAAATTAACTAATATATGCAACTTTGGGCCAATTAATGCCGATCCTCATTTGTATCAAGTGCTATAAAAGAAGATCCTTGGTCTTAAATTTTTATCAGAGTTCAAGTCGACTCAAAAAGCAATCAACATGTTTGGAACAGCCATCTTTATTGCAGGAATTGCCGCAGCTCTGGCAGAGGGATATGGATGTAAGTACAGTTAGAACTATTTCATATATCGATAAAATGCATTCTCTGTTGTCTTTATATGGCCATGGGGCGGTTCTGAATTCTGCTTTAAAATGCTGCAGCATTTACAAACACATGTATAAAAAATATATAATTTTTGTCTTGACATTAATGGAACTACAGTGAATGTATAAGATATCACAAAATCTATGAATGGCACTTAGAACAAGTATCATGAATTCTTGAATGATAATGATTGTTTTTGTAACTACTCCAGCCCGATGCTTCGACTGCAACTATGCCCCATCAGGCTACAGCTACCACGTGAACTACTGGAAGCGTGTCTCCTCCAACGCTGGTTATGAGGGATGCGCTCTGACTGACAAAGATGATGCTGAAAGCCTTGACAAATGGCACTGCTCTTCTGGAACATGCTTCATCCGTAGGGACAAAAATGGACGTAAGTATCCCCGACCCACATCTCTATGAAATGTTTAGGTTTCATATTTTTGAACAAGGAGAATGACTTGATTTTACAAAGTGTGGAAATAGCTTTTGAAAGGTAAATCACTGATATTATTATGAAGGTTTTATGAAATTCAAAATCAGAGATTTTTCACTCAATCCCCTATTCATTCCAGTTGTATACCGTGGGTGTGCCAACCCAGAGAACCTCCCCCTTGGTGTATCTGCCTACAGACAGTGTGCCTACCAGGGAGAGTCCTTCTACTTCTTCTGCAAGGGAGATTTGTGCAATGCTGGACAGCTGGGAGAAGAGGGAGTCTGCGGCTACAAACCTGCATACTATGGACACTACAGTGAGTTTAGAAAATAATACCGAATCTTATTAGCAAAAGCAAGAAGTAAAGAATAAACAAGGATCACAGGGTTGAATATTTTGGGAAATATCTTATATATATAAAGTGTTCAGAATAGAATTGAACTCATTTTAAAAAACCTAACTATACAAGAACAAGAGCTAACATATATTTCATTGATGATGATGATGATGATGAGCAAAGACACACGTGTACTGTATGGAATAACTTGATTAGAATGTTATTGTTAAACAGTAGAATCAAAACTCAATTTCATTATACTGTGATTGCAATCAAATAATGGATAAATAACGGACAATAATTTCAGACCCCTGTGACGGCAAGTGCGCCTACAACCCCAGTGGTCTCTTTGCTGACCGTTACAACTACAATGGCTTCATCCAGTGTGGATGTGACAACAAGAATGGAGAGACATGTAGCTGCTGCAAGCCTTTCTACATGAGATGCCCATACGGTAAGACATTCACCTCTTTCAGGTTACTTATGTATGAAAAGCCCGCCTGAGACATAACTCCGTGTGTTGTACATGTTAAAATTACAAGAGCTAGCCTTTAGTCTGTTATTTGAAATTATATCCCTCTGTTCAACCAATCCTAACATTTATTATCATTAATATGCTTGTTCTAGGTACTGCCTTTGATGATTCTACTAAGGTCTGCAGCAAGGCAGCCTATAATCCCCACTATGTACCAGCACCATACCACCCTGCTCCACATGCCCATGTACACCATGCTCCAGTTTACGGACATTATTAAATAAATATGTCAAAGAAATTGGAATGAAAATAAAATATGAAGTTTAGAGCTATTAAAACATGGTTATGTTATGTCTTGAATAAATGAACTGAATGAAATACTCAGAAATGTAGATTCATAAAATTAAGAACAGTGTCTCAAAAATATTACGAAAAATTATTATAGAAATCTAATTGTCTTTTTAATACATTGTCATATGTTACATTGAAAGAGATGTGAAATACAGAATTGAATTTGATTATATTTTAAAAAAATCAGGCCCTAAAAATCCAGACTTGGCTAGCATCAATTTAAACATGTCTGAACTCTCACACTTTGCCTTGAAACACCATCTGTCCCTTTAGAATTTCCCAGACAAACACAAAATATGGAAAAAATATTGATGTTTCTTGTATCTAGATTTCATCAAAATCAACATTAGACAAAACTTCTTACTTAGTTGAAAAAACATATATGATTTTGTTATCAATCATAACCAGGAAGATGAACATTCACAGGACAAAAAATAAACAATGTGAATTTAACCTACCTAACAATCGTGTGGTAGTGTTGCCAGAGGAGATCTGTGCTGCCCTCTGGCGACCAATCTGGGGAAGTTTTGTGGAGACAACCTTGTGGGGCCCAATGAAACCAATAGTATACACATTGGATTCACCTGAAAATGAAGAAACAATCAACTTTAAGCCATGAATGAATTCATTTCCTCTACAAACAGGCAACTCTTGTTGTTAAGACTGCAAATTTTGGGGTCAGCAAGTGTTCCACTAACAGAGATGTTCCACTTTACAGGTTTTACTGTATATGAATGTAATGAAATCTTACCTTCAGTTTTGTATTTGACGAATGTGGTTTTGTCCTCAATCATGGAATCGACAGCCAGTTTCTCATAGTAGTCTGAGGTTATGATGGCAATGGTGGGCTTGTCTTCCTTCTTGTGATAAACAGGCATGTTGTTCACAACTTGCACCTCTGCAAAATACAACAAGTAATATCATTAAAGACTAAGATCATTATCGTCATTTTCATGAAAAGTTTTTTTCAATAATAGCAAACACTAATTTATTAAACAAATAATGAGTAGTATAACTGATTTACCCAAGTTAAAGACAAGAAATATGTGATCAAATAAAATAAGGAAAATGTGAGACAGAATTCAATTCAAGTTAAGTGTTTTAAAATTTTGAAACAATGGTTCAATAACAATTGCTAAACCACGACTAGGTACGTTTGGTTGTATCAGGTTTATGATCTACTTCATGAAGATTTTGTGCATTTGTAAAGTTCAAATGTTGACCCTTGTGCTTTCTTATTATAAAAAACAAACAATGATTGAATATTGGGTGCTGCTTGAATATTAGGAATTTCACCTCTCTTGTATCATACAAGCCAAAGATTTACTCACTTGCAGCTTCATCCTTGACTTTCCTGACCCAAGCTCCATTCTCTCTCTCTGTTATAAGTCCCTTCTCTTGGAGTACAAGCAGCTGTTGGTGAATAAATGTCTCCTCAACTGAACCAGTGATCCTACAAGATATGCAATAGCATCAGCTATGTATACTATACAGTGTGACATATAAGTAATGAGAGGATGGTCTCATTTTAAGTCAAACTATCCAAAATGATCACTAATACAAGTAACATGTGAGTGTCAACATTGATAACAGTGGTTTGTGGTTAAGAATAAACACACCATGGACCAATGAAAACATTAAAAACTTGACACACCAAAACAGAATATAACAAGTAAAAGAAAAGATGATTCATTGCTCAGTTATATTCTAAAATTATCTAATATATGCATTCACATTTCATCTTTGTGTAGAATCATAACAATTTTCAGTCATCGACGTGCTGCTAATAGATACACACCCAGAGACTAAAATGACTACATGAACATAGTTTTTGTTGTTTCATTAAAAGACAGAGGAAGAATAAAGTTTGAATGACAAACTAAGGGACAAAAGAAGACATACTTGCATATCTACAATGGTAAGAAATATTATCAGGACACCTGTAAAGACTAAATTATTAGCAGGAACTTGTAGAATAGTTGGATGATGGCTAGTTCACACAAGACAAACAATCAACAGTTTAACTCCATGTGTAAACTAGACAACAGCAACGCCAAAGCGTAGCAAATCCCATTGAACAGCCATGGCTGGCATTTTTACAAACAAAGTATGTAGCAAAAATGGCAGCCATTTTTCAAAATGTCCACCTTCTATCAAAAGTGTCATTAGACAGTGCGCCTTCTCCATGCTTATAGTATTCACATACCAAATATGAACAAAATCGCTCTGCTACTTTTTGAGTTATAGTAAGACGTTAAAATGGCGGTCATTTTTCAAAATGGCCGCCTTCTACCAAAAGTGTCATTCACATACCAAATATGAACAAAATCACTCTACTACTTTTCGAGTTATAGTAAAATACATTAAAATGGCGGCCAGTTTGAAAAATGGCCGCCTTCTACCAAAAGTGTAATCAGACAGTGTGCCATGCTTATAGTATTCACATACAAAATCTGAACAAAATCGCTCCATTACTTTTCGAGTTACAGCAAAAATTGTAAAATAGCGAGTAAAGGCCGCCATTTTTCAAGATGGCTGCCATGTGCTTCTTTAAGATCTACATTTCTAGCTTTATTAATGTCCTGTATATTTTTTTTACATTTAAAACATATTGGTATTACAGTCTTACATATTGTACCTAAATTACCGTAAAATCAGCACTAAAATGGCCGCCATTTTTGAATGAGCTGCCATTTTGAAAATCGGCTTTCGAGCAGAACTTCTACTCCCATAGGGTATATGTTTACAAAATATGAACAAAATTAGGCCAACAGTATTTGAGTTATTGCCCGGATGGATGGACGGACAGACGAAGGCATTCCCTATATCCCTCCAAACTTCATTCGATGGGATAATAAACACAATGGTGTACTAAGTAATCCATGATTCAGTCAGACACATAGCTTGGATGCATCTTAGGTTTATATGGTGTGTAGTAGTGATCACCTTTTCAAGGTACAAGTTCCTGGTATGTATCTCAGTCTGTTCAGGTACCCTCCTTATGAACAAGAAATAGGCCAAAACCAACAAGTTTCATTCAGAAAGTGTGATCCCAATGCAATCTGTATTCTATATCGCTAGTTAACATTACTTATAATAGTCTATAGAAGACTACACGGTATAATTACTGAACATCTGTAATGAATGAAGCAATTGTGCAATAAACAATTACAAAATACAACTAAACGACACAATATTCATGTGCAGGACATTAAAATCATGTCACACTTAAAATGTTAAAACATACACGGTGGACTGGACTAAAATGTTAAAACTGGGATAAACAGACTACAATATTATGACATCAATACAGGGTGACGTGGGATAGTGGACGGAGTATTTCAGTTTGAAGGTTAATTTGGAAATTTAAGTTGAACAGATTGTGCTTTAGTCACTTCAAAGTAAAGGACATAACTTGGAAAAAAGAAAAACATGTAAATCTTAATTTACAAATATTTGTATAAACATTTAAAGCTAATATCATACTTTCACCTAGCTTCATCTAATGGTTATGTTTATCTGAAGTCTATTGTTTGATAACAGAGAACTTTTGTTAATATGATCAGGGAAAAAAGAATTAAAAAATAACCCACTATCTAAGGATCTATTTCTTGGAGCTCTAATGGAAGAAAAGACACCATCCGAGAAAAACAGATAAAATCATTAAAAAAATAACAAAAAGAGTATTTAATCTGAAGAAAACAGATTAAATCAATACAAAAAATAAACATTTTTTGAGTGTTAGGAAATGAAATCAAACATGCCTTAAAATATATTTAGTAGGCTAACACCAATATGTAGAGCAAACTGCAATCTATATACATGAAATGAACATGTATTTGATTGTCAAAAAATTACTTCAGTGCAGTAACATACACCTATAACATACCTGACTAGATTGTGACTGGAAAAACAGCAACATTAAATAAATATTTCTGCATACTGTATGTTCATATAATGTTAAGTTATCTAAACCATGGAACAAGTTGAATATTTAAGAATTGTCTTCTGAAATTCAAATTGGTTTAAGACTTCTGTCATGTGTATTGACAACCATGCATTTAATATGAACACTGAAAAAACTCCCACTTCTTCCTGTGTAACATGACTCACTCCCATATCTGTAGCCAATGAGGTTTAGGTAATTTGAGCGAACTTGGCCAATTTTTTTTTCAAAATTTCAAAATCATGCAGTTTTCACCATTCTGAGCATTTTTTCAAGTGATCTTTGGCCAAAATGGTGAAATGTGAACTCCCTGGATTTCTTTGAAAAGTGAACCCCCTTCGGTAAAAGCTGGCTATGGGCCTGCCAGTGCCTCCCTCTCAAAAACATCTTTCTTTTGTGGAAATAAATGTCAAGAAGGGGATTATAAGAGTGGTTTTGAATCCAGCTTGTTCAAATGACTATTTTGGAGCAGTTGCATTTTTCTGATCAAAAATTTTAAAAGTAGCCTGAGGTCTCGATTTATTCTTCACTAAAAATTCATTGGAGTAAGCATGGCACCCATGATGTATTAAACAAAAGACTGCAAAGACTGTATGTTTGAGAAATATATGTTTGAGAAATATACCCCTTTACTTGAAATGACCAGCTTCAATATGCACCTTTGGACACGAGACAAGACTACTAAGGCACTCAAAATTGTAATTTGTTGAATTTCACTGTAAATGTACTCACTTAACAAGGTCCTCCATATGTAATATATTTGGATATGCAGACTCTAAGATTTGTAGAAGGTTCTCTTGCATGATCACCTCTTTGGGTCTTGTATCCACTTTTTTTCCTGCAGTAAGAGATTTTCAGTTATACAATATGTCATATCAAGATTTTTCATTTAATAATACATCCAAAACGAAGAAATGCTCAGTTTTATTTTAAAACACATTTTAGGGTCAGTATAGTTATATTATTCGAAATATTTGAAAACAAAAATTCTCAAAATAGATGGATATACAATACTCTATAAAAGTTTCTTTTTTTTGTTGAGTAATTCTGTAATTTAATTGAGTAGTACTTCTTAGTTCTAAAGCTCAATCTTTATCATCCATACAACATTGCCCATTTAACAATATATAAGTAGACATCTTACAAGTGATATTGCGATTGAAAATTCATAATCTTAATTAAATCAAAACATCAAAAAATAGCAAAACACTTATCATTGTATCAACAATCAATTACTGACAACAAAAGCAACTGTTAATAAATTATAAATTAATACAAAATTTAATAAAAAAAACTAGAATATTAGTCACTTTTGTCTATATGTATACATATGATTACTAGATGGTCGGAGGCAAAGAATCTGGAATTCGGGGAGGTTATTGAATTCTGAAATTATATAAAAGTAAGAATCAAATAGATATGAACTTTAAATATTCTATATTCATATGATAAAATATAAATATAATGACAAAAGGAGGAAATAAACCACAGTTCATAACTGAGCTCAAAATATCCTCTTCAAAACAACTCCTTCATATTTTAAATTTTTTTTTCAATTATTGATTATCACACATTGAAGTGATCCTTCATTGAACAAATCATCATATTTAATACACCTTTCTCCATCTTGGTGTGTCATAACAAGTCATTGTATTGTTCAACTATGCCAGAGACTAAAACTTTATTATTTGAAAAGCTTTTACAAAACAGTGTTTTGTTTCTTTGTGATATGGTCAAAATGATTTTCAACCAATCAAATCAGCAACGATGATGGGCATCACAAATTTAAACCAATCAAATGGATGGAGGAGTTTCATTTTTATGTTGAGATAGGGCAGAGTTATGATTGGGGTTTTCTCCCCTCTTTGTACAGACATTGCAAGTCATGCATGAAAGTTAATCACAAAATTGATCATGAATTTTTTGATATGTTTTAATCATGAAAAAAACTGTAGACTGAAGATTATAACACTAACACAAATCACACAAATTAATGTTTTCAAAATATTACAAATTATAGAAAACAGATTACTGAAGAAATATTGCATGGGTAACCAAAACAGTTTAATTTAGGGAGTTTCTCCTTCATAATTCACAGATCAGTGCAAAAAAGAAGGCAATTTCTGACATATTCATGCATTCAGCAGCAACATGCTACCTTTGTGTTGGGTTTACTTACCACGTTAATAATATAGTTTGAAAAAAATAGAACACATATAATTTGTACATAATGATGTTGCAGAACTTTCTCAGTGGAGTTATCATTAAAGTTGAGATAAGTGGCCTAAAGCTGAACCTGTAACCCGACATATTTCTCTTGTCAGTGAGTCCACAATAGGTCAATGGTTATATCAGGTCCCATCTAGGCTGTCATTACTCGATATAATTTGATCCATGACCTAATTTTGATGTTGCCTGAACAAACCCCAAACCTACCTCTAAAATGTTGAGCCATAGAAATGTGATGATGAGAAAACAGCAAACAATGCATTGAAGAATGACCGTGTCTCAAGAAATGGATCTTGATAGATAGTTTTAGGTATGAAATGGGTCTTTACAGATAGTTTTGGGTATGATGAAGCAAACTATGAATGACCCAGATAAAGCAATATCTCCTGTATATAGATAGTTTTAGGTACATTCATACAGTACATATACACACCCGGTGATCGTGAAAATTGGACGGAGGGGGGAGCAGGCAATTTCCGCTAGAAAATTCAACAAATCTGGTAAAATTATTTTTTCAAGACAGAGTTTACGATTGAATTGCAAATTGGATAAGCGCACGGTATGATAAAATATGTTAGGTATTCTAGGATTATTTTTCAACCGATACTCTTTTAAGATATAAGATCTATTAAAAAAGGCGCAACGCAACCAACGTGCAAAAGTCAAAGTTTTTGCTATAAATCAAGCAACAATGGACTACACGACCTGTAATAAATACTTGTAAGTGATGTTATCATAACTAAATTAATGTCATTGCTGAATTTATAAAATAAGTTTCCATACGTAAAATAAAAAATAATAATTATTTTTAATTTCACATATGGAAACTTATTTTATAAATTCAGCAATGACATTAATTTAGTTATGATAACATCACTTACAAGTATTTATTACAGGTCGTCCAGGCCATTGTTGCTTGATTTATAGCAAAAACGTTGATTTGTGCCTGTTGATGGCCTCGCGCCTTTTTTAATAGATCTCACACCTTAGATACGTATCGTTTCAGAAAAAATCCCAGAAAACCTAACATATTCTACTATACCATGCGCCTATCCATTAAGCAATTCAATAGTAAACTTTTTCTTGAAAAAATAAATCTTCCAGATTTGTTGAATTTCCTAGCAGAAATTGCCTGCTCCCCCTCCGTCCCATATTCGCGATCACCGGGTGTGATATATAAGCAGTTTTTTTACATTGAATGGAATAGGCCAATGACTTAATAGTGAACATAAGGGAATAGTGAAAATGTCTGCTTCTTGCTATAGCATCCTTAACATCTAAAATGGGTGTTGCAAAGTAAAGATAGTAGTACACCATCTTTCCCCCATGTGTTTATTATATATAGGGGCCTAAGAGAAATAAGTCATGAGCTTACCTGGACTGGGTGGAGGTTCATCACTACTGGCTAGAGGGGTCAGCTCACAATCAACCTTCTTTATCTGAGTGTATTTGGCATCCTGCAGCTGTTTCATTACCTTCTTGATGAATCCGACGTAATCTAAAACGTGGTAAAATATTTTATTGTTTATATCCTGTCTGATAATAAAACATTTGGTATGAAGGTTCATAATGGTTTTAGTTACATATGTATTGATTCCCTCATAAAGACTATTAGACTATGCCCCTTAGGCATCAGCATATAAAATTTAAATCAAACCTGTTAACTAATATTTGAGTTATCAAAGATTGCATAAAATAATGGAGGTCATTTTAAAATGAGGGGCCTCTTTTAAAAGGCTTTCCTGCTGAGCAGAATTGCCCACAAAACATTAACCTATAAAATTTGAACCAAATTCTAAAACTTGTATTGAAATTATCAAAATTCACATTTTTCGTGAAAATGGTGGCCATTTTGAAATTCAGTGGCCATCTTGAAAATTTAAAATTTGAACTTAAATAAGAAATATGGTGGGCATTTTGAATTGAGTGGCCACATTAAAAATTGCTTCTCAACGCTAGAGTAGAGGTCCTATGCCCATATGACATCAGCCTCCAAAATTTGAACCAAATCTGTCCAATAATATGATCTGGAAAAATGAATGGGTGGATGAACGAATGTACATTGCGCTATCACCCCACTCACCTCTGGGAAACTTATCAGGCTTTACCAGTTCTTTGAAGAATTCATAAGCCCCGGTTACTTTATCTAAATAGTCAGTGCCCTCTTGAAACCAGAATTTTAATGCTCGGTTTTCCTACAAATAAAGAATAAAGAAAAAACAATTAAAATGCTTGATATAGCAATATAATAGCCATAAAACAAACACTTTTTTAGTTTTATGAATAGGATTTCAGCCTGAATAACTAAATACTTTATCCTACTTCATCCTTCTGAAAAAGGTTCCTAACATTACACTATAATCTATTGAATATTTTAGGTGATTTTGGTAAACTAACATAAATCCTGGTTAGAGCATGGGCAATTCATGAATGGCAACTTACAGGGACATGACTGCCAGTTTTAGCATCAACCAGGAAACATTTGAACTCTAGTTGTAGATCTTGCTTTCGTGCCTCACCACTCTCTGAAATAACATACGCTTAATTATAAACATGGACTGATTAATTGTGCAACATTATACCAGAGCAGATCTAGATGTTCCTTTGATTGTGGACTTTCCCAATTCCCACACTCTTTCTCATTTTTGGGTAAAAATAATAAAATAAAAAACGTCAATATATTTTGAGAAAACTCGCATAAAGCTATTATACATTTTAATAAATTCATATTCATAAGGTGGGATCGAAATAATTATGTTATAAAAAAAGTTTCTTGTAAGCTATAAGGGATCTGAATTTGAAGTTTGAACTTGTGGACAATCCTCCATAGCAGACAAGAAACTTTAACATTATTTTCTTAACTCAGAGGAACACATACATTTTAGAGTATTGTATGTTACAGCCATTTTCAATAGCTTTTGCTCCTTGTGTTATTGGACTTCAAACTGACATAGACTATTTTCTTTAATATAATGACACACCCCCAAAAATAACATGATCCCCATAGCAGACAAATTTTGCAATCCCACCCTATGATACTGTAGGAGGAAAGACAAGGTTTGGTGAAGCTTATTAACTGGGATTCTATTTTATGTACTCACCATCTTGTTTTTTATTGATGACAAGCCCACTGTGTTCGCCACCAGCTTGATGTGCAACTTTTGTCTCATCCAGGGAGAATTTGGGAACTTTTTCTATTTTTATACATGATGTGTTTCCCTTTTTGGTAGGGGTCATAACAATTTTTTCTGAAAAACAAAATAATTTATGCCATACTTAGATATGTTTAAGGTACATGTATATATGAAGCAGTTTTGTAAGATGTTTTAAGAATGTAGCTTCACGTCCCAGTGAGCAGACAAATACATGTAACTGTATATTGAACATGACAGACATGACATCAATAATATTGACATGACATAAAAAATAGTGACATGACATAAAAAATAGTGACATGACATAAAGATACTGCAATGCAATTTTCAAGATTTATTGTAATATATGTCAGCAGGAAAATCCATGGTACATTCAGATATAGCACAGAGGGAATGCATTTATGAATATAGATATGCATCACAAATATTGATTTTTGGATTATTTCTAATACTGAGATTATCTAAGATATATCTGACCTCCAGTTATTGATATCAAGTTGCAACTAATCTCTAGATAAGACATACTGTGACTGCATTTGTGATGGCATGTATATGGTTAACAAATTGATAAAAAACAAATTTAAAATAAATGTAAAATACATGTCTAAAGTGTATCTTGCTGGGACCAACTAAAAGAGTCAGGTTATAATAACATCAGAGCCACCGTGACATTCCCTCCAAAAAACTGAAACTACAGAGATAATCTAATTAAGTGGTATCTGTTCATATCAGCTGGTTATGCTATATGTAAGGAGAGGCAATTAGAGCTTGTGCTTGGTAAATAGACCAAGGCTAAATGCTCTACTCATAGACAGATGCTATTCTTGATACTTTATCAGGGTGAAGATATTCACTGGATTAATATTATACTGCCCTATTTATAAATTCAGCACGCTAGTTAAATAGAAACTCAAGGGGAATATAACACAACCAATACAATTTCAACATAAATTGTTTTCTATGCCAAATACACAATGTTGTTCATTGTTTCTGAGAATATGCTACAAGTGCAACAGGCATTAACATTACAAAATGTGACCACCTGGTTGCACATATTCCAAATGGTTATAAAAGTGAAACAACTCTAACAGATATCAACTGCTGAATGCCAGCATCCAGTCATAAAAAATGAAGATTCAAACAATTTTTAGAGATAAAAAGTGATGACCATACTAATAGAAATTCAAATGCCTAGTGTGTCAGAGCCAATCAGCTTAGAGCATTTCAGTGCATTAATTGATGGTATATGGTCAACTGAGAAGAAAGATTATTTTACAGTGGATTATGGTTTTATAATGAACTGAACAGTGCCATTTTTAGTAAAAGAGTGGCATCATCAAAGTGCATTATGGTTTCATAAAGAACTGAACAATGTCATTTTTATAAAGGAGTGATAGTTAGTGATATATATTTGAATTGCAACTATGAAGAGCCCAGTATCATTCTTTATTGGATTTAATTGCATTCATGCATTTACTAACCCATTCTGACAATGTACTCTGGCTCTGCCCTCATCCATTATGTGTATGGGTTAGTACATGCACTCATGCTTTTAAATTTCCAATGAAGAATGATACAGGATTCTTTATTCCTTAAATATAATTTGACATGTCTAGCCCTAGCCGATGAGAACTATATATTTAACATTCTTTAATTAAAACAATCCATTTTCAATCTTCATTATCTTCTCGCTCAGACATAACTATTTGTATTGCCCTTGGAAGACTTTCCCCATGGAGATTTTTGATAAATTGATAACTATAACTTTCATTATATTTTGTATTAGCATGGGCTAAAGCTTCCTAGAGATTCTACATAATACAGATTAGTTTATTATGCTCACTCTGATCATGAAACAGAACAATATATTCATTTAACGTGGTCTGTAAAAATCCAATACAAATGAGCGTTGTACAATACATGTAGGTAGGCTAAAGAAATCTCCCTGTTCTAAAGAGTGATAGGCTTATATATGTCTAAAGAAGGGTAAAAGCTCAACTGTTTGCCTCTATACATGTACTACACAGTACATCCATGCAGTGTCTGTTCGCTCCCTAACAGAATTGTTTATGAAAAACAGAGTACATATATATCATGGTGACCATGGAAAATCTTCAAAGATACTTTTGCTACCTACTCCATGGCTATCCCAGAAAACAGTATTCCAGTCATCAAGAAAATGGAACAATGTAAAATGTCAACTACCAATAGACGTTGCCTCATTTTTGGTACATATATTGATTCTGCCTATTTAGATCAGACAAACACACTATCATGTACAAGAAATAAAAGTTCCTTTGATTTCTTTTCTTCAAACTTGTTATACTTGATTGTTACGTAAGTGGATCTAATTTTATAACCATATAGCATATGTTCAAACTCTGGGATAAGTGTTAGCACTGAATGTTTAGACAACCCACTCAAGAACAAGATCTAGATCTCATGAACTATAGACATTCGGGTACATAACATAGACCTCCAACCTGTTCCTACATTTTCAAGTTTCATTGAGTGGTAATATCACCATAAGTCTAGCCATAGTGAACTAAAGCTTTGGTTATCACTAATACATTTCACATCGTTAGATTTACTATAAGGAATTTATGTTATGATTGAGGATAGCTGATTTTTTATGCTTTTACGTTTTAAGCTGATTTTGTTAATTTGGGGTAGATGGGATGGGGCAGGGCTAGAGACTGAGCCCCTTTAAATATATATTGAGGAAATAATTATACCATAGTAATTTTTCACACACAATGAAACTTCTAATTATGGCAATTATGTAGCTGAGAGCTAACAGCAGACAAGGCAAAGTGCCATATTGCAATAATTCAGCCATAAATGCTCCATTTCTCAAAAGTGGTACTAAATCACTAGAACTTTTTCTGAATTTCACACTAACATAAATCCCAGTAGGGACAGGAGGAATCAATATTAGGAAATGTTCGCCCCACTGCTGGAATTTGATAGAAAATTTACAAATACATGTAAAAAATCATGTATTTGGGTACAGCGTTTTTTTGTCTGGTACAGGGTCTAGGGAATTATAATTTACAATGAGGAAATAGTCAGGTCATTTGAACTTAGTATTCAAACATCTTTTATGAAATACTTGAATTCATTGCGGTTCAAAGATGTTGACCTTAAAGAGAAAAACAAGTGAATCCCTCAAAAACAAACTCAAAGTTTCTACAACACCTTGGATCATATTACAAGTTTCTACCATTGGTTTCTAGTTCTATAAATTATTCACAACACAATAAGATTAACTCTGTTGGTTTTATTTTAGCTATCTGTAACCACACAGGGCAGGGTACACAGTCTCAAGTTACTGTTGGTCATGAAGACTCATACATTCCTTTTATTCCTGTTACAATAATCATTTATGATATCTATGTGAATTAGTTCTTGTAAATAAAGTGGTTAAGTGGCCTCCCTTTAATACAGTCTTAGTTCCTGTTTTGAATATGGAAAAAATGAAACATACCATAAAATCTTTTAGCACATGATGAGATTGAAAACAAATTATCAGATGAGACCCAGGATCTGGATATTTAAAGATAAAATGTCCCCTGTAGATACATATATGTTATAAATAAATTGAATAAGTACATACCGTCTTGCATCTTGACTGTTCAGCTGCCTTTTCTGAAACAAATCAATATAATTAAGAATCAAAAGGAATCAACTATAAATATTAGACAGAGTTTAAACATTTTATTTTGCAGTTATTCTGTAGTTATTCATTCATGGTGATTTTCTATCTTTCTTTTGTAAAATCGTTTGATGGTTAAGCTTTTTGACATATTAATCAAAACCATGAATATTGAGATGTCATAATTTGGCATCTGGCCTTAATCCATCTGACGGGAATTTTGAAACAGCAAGTCCAACTTGAAATATTTGGAGGACAGAAACACTCTGAAAATCCAAATATCATCTGAAAAAATAAATGGCTCTTGCTTGAATACTAGACAACTAGACTGTGCATCAGTTCAACAATCTATTAGAGCAGAAGCACAGTCCACTGGAGCAGCACCATAGTCTAATCAGCTCCAGTCACAGCGTATTCAAGGTGACTACAGTACACGTATATACACCATGTATAGCAGTATATGTAAAAGGGATGAAAGAATTTTTTTATCCAAACAGAATCATTGCAATAAGTCGCCACTGCATCCTAAATACATGTAATTCATCAATTCAGTAACAATTTGCCTCACATATGTAAATAAAAAATAGTTAGCTAACGAATGCGACTGTCACCTACCTTCTAGGAGTTTAGCAAACACTCATGAATGAACCTATATCAGCTTAGTTTTGTCTTCCATGAAGCATAAGCACAATATCTATGAGAAATTAAATTAACCATCAAAATGATTTATTTCCTTGTAAGTTCTGGAAGTTTCGATACATACAATCACTACGGTACCGACACACATGTGAAATTCTTATGTATCCTATGATTCTTCAATATTTTGGTCTCAATATAAAGCATAAAAAAAACAGTTTTATTCTAGCGGTATTAATAGTATCAACTGTATTAATCTTATAAAGTGTTTAAGTGCCACTGTTATAAATAGTGTAAATCCAAATAAATAAATAGACTAATACAGCAGACAACTCATTCATGTCAAAGCTCAGCATCCATGCCTTCTCCTTACATCTCTGTAATAGCCAGATAAAAGCCTGCATGGTGGCTGCTGCTGCCGTAATCTCTATTTTAGAAGAATGTATAGTGTTCGCGTTGACGCCGTTTTTTGCCATTTTTACGGAAATTTCAGAAGGTTGGACGTAAAAATCAAAATCAACTTACGTCCCTAGGACGCAAAAATTATAAACTGCTTCAAGATAACTTTTACTGCAGCACAGTAGCGGTGAAACATGATTTTCATCAAGATTTTCAAACTCACTACCTTAATATACGGCGAGCAATGATCCAGGTATATTTATATCGATAAATCTGATTGGCTATCATGACTACCGAAGATTAACAGAGTTTCCAGTATGAGACATGGATTTTGATTGGTTCCGATATATTCCGGAAATGCTGCAATCGAAATGGAAGATCAAAACATACAATATTGCAGAAATCCCCTGTGGTTCCCCACAAATTGAAACGATTGTTTTTCACGATTATTTTTATTATTTCCACTAGAAACCATTATATATCAATCTAATGTTATACATCAAGATAATTGTTTAATGATAGATCGAGGTTTTTCATCTAAAAGTCTTCAGAATAAGGAGAAATGTTAATAAAAAGAAGCAAAAGTTCACGACCTTGACATGACCTTCAAGATCGCAAGTTTGTAAAATGTGAAAACAAAACTCTTAATTTGAGCATTTCCTTTATTCATTTCGGACTATTTTGGTATAACATTACTTAAGAATTGTGTGCAAAGGACCCAGTGATAGATATTTATCGGGAGGATGCATCAAATTACAATATATGTCATTTTTATCCCATTTTAGTGTAAGCACTCTATTATCGCCCACTTTATTTTCACTTTCACAATATTTTCTTGATCTTTGTGAAGAAATAAGAGGGACGCAAAAAAATTAGATGGGGACTAAAATTTTTCAAATGGGTTGCGTCCCTGGGACTCAGAAATTTTAATGGCTAGCGCGAACACTGATGGTAATCCCAGGAACTGTTCCGCAAACAAGCATCAATTTTCGTCAATATTTCATTCATTTTTTAATTGTCAGACATGTCTACCTTGTTAAAAACTCCTTTGAGTAAATTGTATTGATGAAAAGTCTGACCACTAAAACCTACTTTTTGCCCAATTTGATCATAGCTTAATAGTTCATTGTTTACATTACATACATCATTTATTTTTAAAATATAAAGGATTGTTCTTATATAACAAGTCTTTGATAGTTGATATATATGGACTACTTTTTAAATTAGCTGATATGGGTTCATTCATGAGTTTACTAACTCCTATATAAGTTAAGCAACAGTCGCATTCATTGGCAGAGATCATCTTGACTTCGTTTTAGCGAAATTTCAGCTCAAACTTGTGACAAATGCATACGCTGGTATGAAGCCTCGGAGACACTCATTTTGGTAAACATGATTTACAGTGTATACTTTTCTGCAGTTTAGGAGAGTTTGGAACATTACAGTAAAATTTTAAATGTATGGAACTACTTTGAATCTAAAAAATAAGCAATTTAAGGACAATATTGAAACAGAATATCTAAAAATATTAACTAACTATCTTAAGTGTAAGAGGCATAGAAAATTCGCCCATGTTGTAATCCTACAGGCAAAAGATTGAGACGTTCTCAGGACTATAGTCCTGGCACGGGATAAACTGTTACTGTAGATTAGTCATACAGGGCGTATCAAAAAAACGCAACAAGTAGTTATCCCGTACAATTCCAAAAAAACTAGTGATGAATACATGAATTTCATTTGATGTACCATAAAGCCACGTCTCTCCTCTTTGCAATGATATGTCATTCATTCACATGTGGTTATGGTTGGGTGAGAAATCCTTCCATTTGCACAGTGGGTCAAAATCGACTCTGGGCCAAGTTTTAGATATCGCAAAAATCAGTGCAAGGGCTAAGTGCCGATGGAAGTTCCCCTGACTTCAATTGTTGTGACTTTTTCTTTTGAAGCTATCTCAGGAGCATCTGTGCTCACAATTGCTCCACCAGATATTGCAAAACCTCGAGAAAGAATTGCCCATGGGCTGCTTTTCTCTGCTTTAACCCACAGATGACTCAGGGCTGAACCATGCATGACGTGGACAGATGAGCGCATCTTTATGTGCAAGAAAGTGGTGGCAATTTGGAGGAGTATGGGATGTATTCTTGCAAGAGTATGAGTATGAACACTTAACTGTCTATGCCACACCTGTCACACCTTCTTCCAATAGCCCCTATGCCCCTTGTACTGACTTTTGCAATGTTTAAAACTTGGGTCAGAGCTGAATTTTGCCCCACTTTGCAAAATTAATGATTATTCTGCCAGCCATGACTCTCTGTGAATGAATGATATTCCATTGCAAAGAGGAGTAATTTGGCTTTTTGGTACATTGAATGAAAAGGATGCAGTCAGCATTGGTTTTATGTTTTCTTCCAATTTTGCATCGGGCTCCGAACACTGACTTTTTCGATGTTTATAACTTGGTCAAAAGCTAATTTTGGCCTACTTGGCAAATGGAATGATTACTCGCCCAACCATGACCAAATATCAATGAATGATATATCATTGTAAAGAGGAGACACATGGCTTTATGGTGCATTGAATGAAATCAATGCTGTTATCACTGGTTTTGTGCTTTTCCGAGATAACAATCTGTTGCGTTTTTTACGATACGCACTGTATAAATCTGACCGTCGTATGCTGTTATTTGTTGTTATTTTTTCTTATTAGGATATTTATTTTTTCTTATTTTCTTGCATACGAGGGTCGTACACACTAGTCACTTCTATATTGCGGGAAATGCTTTCCTGGCCTGTCTACCCAACCAAATTCACACAAATGATAAATTAATTATATTTCAAGGCCTGTCGTGACCTTGGTAATGTTAAAGCCTGATATGATTGTGATATGGCACGGTCATATCAGGCTTTAACATTACCACGGTCATGGTAGGCCTTGCAATATAATATAGCATTGTCACGGTCATATCAGGCTTTAACATTACCACGTTAATGACAGACCTTGCAATATATATAGATGAAAATAAATATTCTAAATAGATGACACCCCTTTCGAAATAAGATGAAATGAACTGTGTCACGTGACCGATTTCTTAAAAGAAATTACGACTTACGTCAGAAAAACAAAAGCTCCATAGAGAATTTTTGTTTGAAATGTAGAAAAGCAAGCCCAGTTTTCTATGGGAATATACCGTTATTAATAGTTACGTGTACAATATTACCAAGTTCGATGGTGCATAAGTTAGGCAGTGGATCATTTTTTAAGTACGACAATGTGAATTAAATGCGACTGTCACTTTTTGGAAGTTTTTTTGCAAAAAAGTCAAGTAACTTTTTAGATGTCAAAAATCTTAATAACATGGTGACGGTTGAGCCAGGCATAAGTCTTGCAATAGATAGCATGTGGGCAGGCCAGGAAAGCATCCCACAATTTGTTAGCTAATATATCTACAACCATGTATCTTTGTATGCTAAGAAAATGATAAAAAAATAAATATCCAAATAAGAACATCGAAGCACAGTCAGCACTATCAATGGTATACTTTACCTTTAGTAATAGAAGAGAGAAGTTCAAAAGCTGTTTGTCACGATATTTACCGATCCATCCACTCTCTCCAATACGCATGCGCAGCCCGATGTAAAAAATAAGGCAGTGACTGGAGAGCCTAAAATTTTAGGCTCTTTAGCATTTTGGTAACCCATTTGGCTAAAGAGCCTTAAATTTTAAGGTTCTTTGGCATTTCGGCTAGAAAGCCTTAAATAGGGTCTTTAGCATTTTGATTGCCAATTTTGCTAGAGAGCCAGCCTTAAAGGAATTCTAAGTGACGGAAATGACAAAATATTGCTTCTGGGACGAGATCAAACGATTTTGACATATTTTTACTCAACCTGTTTTGTAATTTAACAATCAACACAAATTAACATACTATATTTAAGCAGATACCGGAGATATTCATAAAAATATATTTTTTGATCGATAAACTCACCGATTATTAAACCGGAAGTGTCTTCTCTGAGGTCCGCGAAGAAAACGAAGAAGGAAACATACAACGATTTTATTCATTTCACTTTTGCAGTGGATTTGATTTTAAATGCTTCTAAATGATCCTTGAATGCTTACTTTGACTTCCTATAAGAACTGTTTTGACTTCCCCACTTCATAAAAAGAACATTATCACTTTTTACTCGACTCGTAAATTTACTTCCGGTCTACCAAAAAAAAGTTCTTAGAACCTTTTCAATCCTCAGTCTAAATTTGGCTTTTTAAAGGTTCAGTAACCTTCGTGGTGCGGCAACTTGGAGCAGTCATATACTTGTTCAATTTTACTAATCAGTAAAGATTTTGATGTTTAGAATAGGCCCTTGGGAGAATGGTGTTGAGGTCACATTTAGTGATGCCCAATTGGAGGCTAGCTTAAAAAAACGTTGATACAAATGAAGGACTTTTGAAGGGGAAGTTTTTGCAAAAAATTAAAAAAATATTTTGTGCCTCTTGTCATTTGAAAATCCTAAAAATCGGCATGGGAATCTAATAGGCAATAGATTTGGAAGTGTATTCTCTGATGTCCCCGGGCTGGTATCCCTACATTCCCGATAAACTGCATCATGATGTGCTGTATCTAGAATTCAACAAGATCATTTTCTTCATCCCAAAGTCTCCTTCATACTTTTTGCCACCTTCAAATGGGATTCCCCGTATGCTGTAAGCTTGTGAATATAGTAAAGCCAATACAAGTGATTAATTTCATTAAACATGGATGGTTGAGCGTTGGAGCGAGCCCATGAATTTTTAAAAAATTGTGTACATAATATCCGGACCTCAGAGAACAAACTTCATAATGAAAAAAATTGTACCAATATGGAATCGAACCTGCGCCGTGGGAGTATTAGGCGAACGCCATAACCACAAAACTAGAGTGTGTTTTCTTTTTGTAAAATCTATATTTCAATAATAAAACATATGTAAATAATATAATTATACATAGACCCAGTTACATTGTTTAATTTCTGTACAGTTTTTCATTTTCAAAATATGCATGTATACTTCCAGTTTTGTCTCTATTGAAAATTTGTATTTCCCTCCTGGTTATTAAAACTTCTTTTGGTATCTACTTTGCACTTAAATGCCTTAATCCAAGTTGCACATGAAATATCCTTACCATTATACTGTAGAAACAATTTTCTTTTATCTGTACATATAATCCAAAATCTGATGCTTCATAACATATTATCTCTATACCATTTTAATATACTAGAATGGCTTGTACATACATTACCTTTAAGGCTCTTTGGCCGAAGTGCTAAAGAACCTTAAAATGTAGGCTCTCCAGTCACTGCCTTATTTTTAACATCGCTGCACATGCGTATTGGAGGGAGTGGAGGGATCGAGTGTGAGTTTGGACCAACTTTTGCAAGTTTGACCAGGAAATCACCTTTCATTTGGTATGTTAGTAACCTTTTTGATCGTATTGGTATGTAAGAATCATATATATGTCGAAATATAAGCATAAATGTCACAGTTTGAAGGATAAATGTCAGAATATTTACCGGAAGTGTTTATATTTCCAAAGAGCTTGCGGACTTTTCTCTTCTATTACTAAAGGTAGATTGATGGTGATGACTTTGCATCGAAGAACAGCATACAATGGTCGGATTTATATGACTAGTCTACTGTTACTCACTTCGAGAGCCATGTTAGATTTTGAAATCCAAATAGCTTTCGCAGGAAGTAAGTCTACTGTAGATAGTTGTAGATCTAAGGAGCCCTAAGGAATTTATGTCCCGACCTGAAATTAACCCTTTCCACAAGCGGAAAGCATGTGCCAGTTCTGTTTGATGTCCTCAATCGAACCATCAAGACTGAAATGCAATCCAATTTCTGGAAACAGTTACATTTCTAGAGAATATTAAATCTGGCAGTTCTGTTTTTGAAATGTGTGTGGGAAATCAATTTATTTGGATTTTTTTTAAAAAATAGTGTCATTCCAGGACAATTTAATGTGGAAGACGGCGACATTTAAACTCACTTAGACCATAATATGAACCATCCATACCTTATTTAAAGAATACAACAACATCTTACCTTTTCTTTCGCGAATTCCTATGTAATGAGACTAAATCGTCTCAACGCCTAATGAGGCTGGAATTTTGGGAAGTGACAGTTTCCTGTGTGATGTAAATATCGGATCATAGGAAAATCAATCTGAAAATCGACGAGTGGTGGAAGGCCACATAATAGGAAAATGTTTATGAACTAAAAAACTTTGCTGTGGTTTGTTTCAAACGAACACTAATTAATCAGAATATAGATTGAGTATGTTTACTACAAGGTGAATTACCTCAACGCAGACTCTCTAAAGGGGCCTCTATTGATCATTGAAAGAACTCCATTTAACATTTCCATTTTCTCGGATACCCCAAATTATAACATACTGGTATAACAGACTTTTGATACTGAGGGGTAAAATGACAACCTTGTAAGTGTTTCTCCGACTATCATTGTTAGGGAAATGATGTCACAAAAATTACCTTGGATTTCTACAGGAGCAAGAGGGGGAATACCCCAACGTTCAGAGAAAACGTCTAACGTAAATGTGTATTGAGAAGACATCATTGCTGATTGGTCAAAGCGACAGACAACGCTTCGAATAAAATCATGTTAATTTCTGGCGTCAATATCATAGCCTGTTATTTCACATCAAGATGGACAAAGATGTAGGGAATATACTAACGTTGAATAAAACGTCACAACAATTTGTGGTTTTCCGAAATTCTGACAGACAAAGGTGTTAAGCTAGAGTTCTAATTATGTCTGTCATCTCAAAGCTCTGGGGTTTTCCCTACTCCTACATAACAAGATCATACTACAAGTACTATGGCATCGATATGTTTTGGCTGGTATGGAGAATCATGTGACATTTATTTTGAGGAATCTCTACCAACGTCCTAACACTTTCAAATTTGGTATTAGAGCACGCTGACTTTTGAGTAGAAAAGGCATTTATTGCATTTAGTAATGAATAGGTATTAGGATTATTAACAATATGCCTCAGGACGTCATTTTCAATGTTTTTTTATCTGTATTACATACCTAGCAAAGCATTTGTATGGAAGTCAATGGAGCCGAAGGTCAGCTATATATTCCTGTATAGCCGCCAAACTTTATTACCATGACAACTTTATGACGTCATAACATGTAAACAAAGTGATTATGACTGGAATCGTGGAAAATTTTGGTCTTTTTTCAAGCTTCGGTCTGTCGTATTATAACCCTTGCAAGCTCGAGCTATATTGATGACAGACCTCAGGCATATATTCAATGATAGGGACATGACTGCTAAATATACATTCATTAAACCATGAAATACACATACATTAACTGTTGGACTTTCATATGTCATATGTAATTTAAAGAATGTATATAACTATCTAGGCCTTAGAAAAACATTAAATATGACTTTTTGGGGATATTCATCAATTTGATTCCTTTTCGATAACTAAATCTAAAAAATGCACTTTCAGTTTCTAATTAAATGTCAAAAAGCTCTAATAACGAAAGTGAAAATGTTTGGCCGTTGTCAGGAATCCCCCTAAACAAATGTCTCAATGATTGTCTCCGTATCATCCAACATATATTGATGACGTTATACTCGTAGCCCGCTCTTGTGGAAATCCAATGCAATGTGACGTCATTTCCGTAACAACGATATATTTGGAGAAACCTCCCTATTCTTAGTGGATTTCCCAAATTATTTTACATTTATATACAAAATGAAACCTAACTAGGGCATAATAAGCGTTCTATCATATTGAAATTGATTCTTCATATTCCCGTTTTCATATTAATATATGATAATAAAAATGCATTATGCTTTCAGATAATAAGCCCAAAAACTGTACTGTTATTGTATTTGATTTAAGGTGGGTTCCTCATTAAATACACTGTACAAAACGTTCTGAAAATTGCTAAAAGTAGGGGTCATTGTAACAGCTACCACTCTGTCAATATTTCATAAATTTACATTTTCTTCATATGGAATGAAAGATGAATATCCCCTCTAAATGTACAATTAATGAAAAGTATTATACATACACGGCAACATGCTGAATTGAGGCTTTGAAAAGGTGTCAAAAACATTTTGATAATCAAATACAACTTTTAACCATGGGCTTTCAAGAGAGGGGTATGCAACTCTGTGTTATAAACATGAGAACTTCAAAACGAACAGCGCCATGCTTCCCTTTTTTGATAATATTTCGAAGAGTTTTATCTCTTTAAAGCCCATGGTTTTAGTATTATTTTGAAGAAAAATCAATTTTGAATTGTAAAGCATAAGACATGTTTAACAAAACATAAAATTAAATAAAAAGATCAATAAGAATCTAGAAAAAGAGGTATCAAAATGTTCTCTTCGAATGTTGCATTGCGGGTAATTATTCCAAAACAAACTTGTCTGAATTGGGAATTGAACCCGGGGCCAAGCGATATTGGTAACCTCGACTCTGCCACTGAGCCATAGCGGGTGGACTGTTGATTTTGGATAATCTAGCAGTGATGTTAAATTTGAGTTCGAGGTGTCATTGAGCTAGCCTTAGTGTCGATTCCCTAGAATTATATGTTGACTAATTGAACTCTACGTGAAATTGTGTCATAGCTAAATTATGAATGATCTACCATAAATGTCAAATGGAGTGCCAGTGTTATGGTCCCTATTCCGATATCCGAAATTTACACCTGTTACAAAGTTATCCAAAATGGCTGCCACTGACAAAGAAAGCGTGCTCCCACAGTTACAAGCTGAAAAAGACAATCTAGATCCCTCATTTGTACATGCATCTAAGCTAATCTCAGAGGGTAAGTATATAGTGATGTTTTAAAACTAAAAATGGATAAAATACTCTTCCAAATACTTAAACATTTGACGCCGAAAATCAAGACAAAAAATGGCGTGGTGGAGTGATTCATTTAATTTATTAGCCGGGTTTTCCCTCCAATATCATGCCTACAATCATGCTACAGTGAAACCAAATTGCTTGCTTATTTTTTGTACATATGCCGATGAATATTGTAACATTGTAGTAATGTATACATTGCAGTTTTATGTAATTTTCAAAAGATAACATTTGACATCATGGCTGAAAGAAACTTTCGAAATTAGGCCACAGGTTTATTGCACATAAATAGCAGAAATATACAAACGTTTTACATGTAAAATACAAATGTGTTTTTCTTACTCACTTCGAGAGCCATGTTAGATTTTGAAACTTATGGCTCTCGAACAAAGAAATGGACAGCTGAATAATAGTGAACTTTGCAACACGAATTAAGTCGATCAGCAGCTTACTTTTGTTCTCTAACTATGTCATACATAATTATCATCCTTCCGTGCAAGTATTGGAGCGCAGAAGTACTTCCTTTTTGATCAAGACTTGTAATTGTTAGTCGAGTGAAATGTTTTTTCTGCCAAATTCCAATATGGTGTTTTCTGCTGGGACATTTTCGTAAATATCCGGAGGTCGTCCGAACCTAACTCATTCTCAAAATGCATTTCGTTCGTTGCGTATCTCGCTCCTAGCAAACCGCCATATTGGAAATGGGTCGAAAAAACATTCACTCGAACAATTTACAAGTTTTGATAGAAAAAGAAGTATTTCAGCGCTCCAATACTTGCACAAATTGATGATACTGATGTAAGACACAGTTAGAGACCAAAAGTAAGCCGCTGATCGACTTAATTCGTGTTTCAAAGGTCACTATTATTCAGTTGTCCAAGTGCACCATGGGAAAGCTATTATATCAAAATCCACATAGCTTTCGCAGGAAGTAATGTTTTTCCATATGATACTGCACTGGTGTCAGGTGCATAACCAGGCATACGCGAGGTTTACTTAGTTTGCACAAACTTATCTCCTGAGAGATAGCTTTGGATATCTTGATATACCCAGTCCATTTACAGGTCTTTTACAAAAATGTAAGAAATCATGGGAACACTTACACTTCTTTAATCGATGGATAACATCATAAAGTATTGTTGTAATAATCGTAGAACTCTAGCTGGAGTCGGGAGACAGTGTAATTGACGAAAAATGTTGAAGAGTTGATAATTTTCAAGATGGCTCAGGAAGTTGGGTAATGCGCATGCGCTTCCATGTCATGAGATTTCCGCTTCCGGTTACACGCATGCACATTGGCAAGACTTCCTGGTAAGACGACATGGAAAATAACAAGTTCCAAATACATTTTTCGTCAATTACACCGTCTCCGACTCCAGATAGCCCGATATGGTTAAGAAAACGATTCTTTAGAATGTTATGCATCGATTGAAGTCGGGTAAATGTTTCCAAGATTTCTTACATTTTTGTAAAAGACCTTTAACATGTGCTGGGAATATCAACATATGCATAGCCATCTATCTTAAGATGGCTATGTGAAAATATAGTAACGCGAGGGTAAAATTTTAAATGTTTTGAACCATTTTGGTTCCTTAATTTTTCGGATTTATTGAGACAATGGATGGTTTACTACAGCCCATTTCACTTTTTTATTTCGTCAGTAAAACCTAAAAAATAAGAAATGATATGATCATATATGGAATAATATGTTCCTATTGTACATGAATGTTTATTTTGGATTGCTTCTAGTTTGCCTAATAAAGTGTGTAGCCTCTTACACTTTGATGCTTCTCTGCCATAGTATTTTCAAAAAGATTTATATGGCTGAAATTCTCTAAATTACAGGAGGGCACAGGCTTATTGCACAAAAAGCTAAATAATTTGAAATATACAAATGTCATTCATGTACAATATGAATATACTTTTCCATATATTATTGCACAAAGGTCTCCTGATTTCTTATATTTGGGGTTCTACTTGTAATAAAACAGTGAAATGGGCTGTAGATGAGCCTAAAACAAGGCAAATGAAAAAGATCCAAAGAAATCATTTCAGTAGCCAGCAGTAAGGTTTTTCTGTATGTTCATAATTTTGATGCAATCCTCAATAGAATCACATATTACTTTTCAAATACAAACTCTTTCCCACATTGTCTACATCTTCCAGTTTTGCAGAGTGAATGAAATAGTGAATAATTGCCTAATTAAATGAATACTGTTGCGCAAACATGTGTACCAATAAACGAAACAAGAATAACAACAATTATCGTTCATTGAATAACCTTGGAGTCGTGCCCTGGTCATGAACCCAAACGATTTCCACACGTCAGCCATTTATAAGAACATAGAATGAGGAAATCTTTCCCATGATTGTTTGTGGTAATTGGATGACGCATCATGACATACTGACATTTGATTATATGACAAAATTAGGTCACTCTCAAAAACTTTGAAAACAGAATGAAACATGTGAATTTACGACCATATTATGTGACTTTGGTGAATTAAAGCCATTAGTCTGCAAAAATAACTGCCTCTCCACAGTAATGATTATCATAGACATTTTCATTTGAAATCATACATCCATATTCACCTGCACACTGTGAAAGGCAAGTGAGAAATCACTTATTATCGCCCGGAAGTGGAAATCAATTTAGTTGATATGATGGGATTGTTGTCGACTCTTGACTCGGATGTTGAACTTTCATTTTGACTGAAAAGTGGACATTCGGACTAATGATGGGAGGCCTAATTAGACCATAACCTGAAGACACATTAAAACAAGAAGAAATTGAATGGGGAAACTACTGAACTGAAAATATGTATCGGTAGGTAATCGATGTACCACACCCACTCTTAAGTTTTTTTGCATTTCAGAACTTGAGAGGGTAAAATCAGGGAAACCAAAAAATCAAGTTGAAGTTAAGCCAGAACCCATGATTGATGTTCACACTGGCGGACCTGTCAAAGTTTCATGTAAAATTCGTATTCCAAACAGAGAATTCCCAAAAGTAAGTGTACTTTTACACCAAAATTGTAATTTAAATTTTAATCTAGTATCCATTATGAACTAATAACTAAGAGTGAAATGTATATTTATGTAATAGGCCTAAATCAAGAATAACAAGTTTTTATTTTGTTCTGCTTTCAGAATGCTAGCACTTTTAATAAAGGTTCTTCATATGCTTGTTTTCCTAAAAGTTCAACATATTCTTGTTTTCAGTTAAATTTTGTTGGAAAACTACTGGGACCCAAAGGACAGACCATGAAAGACATGCAAACAAATACAGGAACCAAAATGTACATATATGGCAAAGGTTCTATGCGAGACAAAGCAAAGGTAACTAAATTAAATTTGATTTTTAAACAACAGAAGTTAAGATAATGAAAATGAAAAGTTAGACATTTATAATTACTGTTTGACTTTGTAGGAAGAGGAACTACGTAAAGAGGGAGGGAAGCATGCACATCTCAGTGGTGATCTCCATTTACACATAGAAGCCTTCTATCCAGCAGATGAAGCATATAAACGAATTGCATCTGGAATTGAGGAAGCCAAAAAATATTTAGATCCAGTGAGTAATACATTTCGTACTGTATTTTATTTGCTATCATAATATAATGATCATGTAGTCTGGGCCTTTCAAGGACATACATACAATCCCCTGTATTTCCCCACCTTCTTTCAAAAAAGGTTGGGAATTACTAAAGGGTCAGTGGCGGTTACCCTTATCCATAATAGCCCTTTGATATGTTTCATTCATAATGGTATGTAATTTACACTGTCAATAAACTAAGAAACAAACTTTTTCCGAAAATATCAAACCTTGAAAAATTCTGGTAGGCTGGTGAACGAAAGGATGAATTCCAAAATTAAAGTCTGAGAAAAACACATTTTTCATTCAGTTTTAGATGGCAATAGATTCATTTTCTCTAATACAGTAAAACCTGTCTTAGTGAACACCTCTCTCGAGGAAACACCTGTCTCTAGTAGACACCCTCCCTCCGCACATACTCTATCGACTAATTTATCGACTAATTATCCTCTATGAAGTGAACGCCTACCAACACTGAACATTTTTTGGCAATTTTATGTTCAATATACACAGGGTTTACAGTAATTGGAGATGAACCTTTGTGTTTTAGCAATCATTTGAACAGATGCAGCCAGACATTCCTTCCCTAGGAGGTATGGATACTGGTTACGGAGCTGGTGGTGGTTACCAGAATGGAGATGGTGCAGGACGTGGTCGCGGTATGGGTCGAGGCGGTCCACCAGGGGGCACACCTAGAGGAGGAAGAGGTGGATCAATGCTCTCACCATCAAGGTATAGAATTATTTGCCATATGTCTTATTACCTTGTTTAGAGGAAACTTGTAATGAGAATGAAGTAAGAAATTAACTTGTTAATATATGCATTTTCAAAAATGCGGAGAAAATCACCAAAGTAGTCTAGATGGATAAAGTTGTCCCACATTTTCTGACAAAAACTATAGCTGAATGGTTCCATAAATTTTTACACTAATTCTTTTTCTTTTATTCTAGGGGTGGTATGTCTAGCCGTGGTGCCCCTACACCAAGAGGTGGGCTAGGAGGAGCTCCCCGTGGAGGACCTGGCATGAGAGGAGCCCCATCGAGGGGAGCACCAGCAGGGAGAGGCCGGGGAGGACCACCGGTAGGTAGAGGCAGACCAGAGCCCCTACTTGATGATGGCTATGTAAGTTAACCCCTAAATTCAAAAATATTGAATCACTTCTTTGTTTTACGCTTATAAAAATCTTTATCTTTGCCTTTTTGGCATTCTATATGCATTCAATGTCATATTGAATGTCATCGTTCAAACCACGCCATCATTGAAATATTTAGCATGCTTTAATTTGTTCTACAATTATAATTTTCATATGTTTTTGTGGAATTACTTCATTTGTCAAATCTCTCACTTTTCTGTCTCTACATGCTTATCACTAGTCTCAGTAATAAAGTTACAAGTCACAGTTACGTGATTGTGTCCACTTCAGAGCTGTTTGTGAATGACTTGTATGTAATGGCCTTTTTCAGAAAAAAGATGCTGTGGTAAGACATTAGTTAGATGTATTTAATTGACCTTTCATGCATTCTGTTCTATTTTGTGCTGTTCATTTGTTTGCCTGTTAGTTTTGCTGTTTGACCATAATATTAAAGTACGATGTAATTTTAAGATTGTGTTAAATTGGAATGAGTGACTGTGGGAATGCCAGCGGTCTTAGACATTTTATTTTGAAATCATCTTGAAAATGCCGCAGATGAGCCTGGCCTGACGGAGAATTCAAAGTTCCTCAAAGGAATTGGTTAAATATTGAGCTATGTTAGCTTCAGATATATGTTTTCATATACTTTTTAGCATGTTTTTCTTGGTTAATGTTCATTTTTCTTTTCCTCTGCAATATACTAATAATATGCCTGTTTTTTTACATATGCTTATGATTAATAACATGTATTATCCAGGGCAACAGCATGGGTGGAGGTGGTGGCTATGAGGAGCCCTACCAAGAGAGCTATGGTGCAGATAACTCTTATGGTGGAGATGCTGGGTATGGCGGTCAAGAACAAGCTGGCTATGGTCGGGAATCAGCAAGGTAAGATGTTTTCACAATTTATTTGCCAATTTATTAGAGAATGGAATGGGATTGCAGGGGTTTCACTAGAATTTGTCACAACAGGCAAAATTAATGGAAATCATAAATTTAACATCGAAAAGTCAAAGTCTCTAAAAACAACAGGCGATACTGTGAAAACAACAGATGAAAATAATGTGTTGCCTGCTGCCAATGAAACCCCACTATGGGCAGGAAAATCAGAATCCTTTGTTGAGCATGAGGCCTCATCATCTGCTGAATTTATTCAGGGATACAACGTGAACTTTTTCAAGTTATAATATGATTTTATTTTTTATTCTAAAGCAGTTAGTTGCATTTAAACAATTCTTGTTAGTCCACTGAAATGCTGTACGTTTTGATTGTAGCACAGAGACATATGACTATGGTCATGGCTCAGGTGGTGGTGGAAGAGACCAATACTATGAGGAACCAGCTTATGGAGGTGCCCCATCAGGAGGACGTGGGGGATACTCTGGAGGTCAGTCTGGTGGAGCCAGGGCTGGTGGATATGGTGGACAATCTAGTGGACCCCGAGGTGGCGGAGCAGGGGGATATGCTGGAGGTCAGTCTGGAGGACGTGGTGGAGGTGGATATGGAGGAGGACGTGGTGGAGGTGCTGGTGAGTTCAATCGTTGGAGATTTACATTTACATACATATATACATGTCTTTACATTTACATGCACACGTTTGTAAAGTTACATATTTTATGTTTGTACAATTGGATATAAACCTATCGGTCACTCTGTTATCAGATCCTTCATTCTGAAGCTCTTTAATGAACCATTTTAACTCTGCTTTGTAACAAGTACCTTTGCCACTACACTTTTATGACTGTTCACTTCCAGAGTTACTGCCATTATTGGAATAACAACCTTCTTGTCTTGTATATATATATAGATTCAGTGTTTTAGCCTAAGTCCAGTTAATGAGTCCCATTGACATTTGCAAATTTTTGCACAATTGTAATGTTGACTAATGAAGGTAAAGCAACAAAATAGTTTGGCAAAAAAACCTCAACACGACACTTCTAATCTTTCAACTTAAGGCCTTTAGTCACATTTGTATGCTTTCTTTTGTTGATATTTTAGGTGGTGACCAATGGGGTAGTGGGGCCGGCCGTGGGATGAAAGCACCAACTTCAAGAGGTGGTGCCATGGGAGGTGAATATGGGCGAGCCAAACCCTACGCCAGACCCCAGTACTAGACTTGTCAGTCTCCCTCCCTGAGAGGTAGATATTGTAAATATTGTGGCCAATCATGGTGGACTCCCTTACATCTTGGTGTCCATTGTGTTAAAGCTTCATGAACAGCATCAATCAATCATTCAATAAATATCATAAACTCAGAACATTATTAAACTATAAACAACAGCTGGATAGGATCTAAACTATGATTAAATAAAATGAATGAACATTCAATGAATAATTTTAACGAAAAATGCTTCATGACAAAACTACATTGATACTGAGGCATCTAATTGTTCAATTTCCCTAAGAAATGGGACAAAATCAATATCACCTGCTAATTTCTTATTTGCCTACAATAAAAACATTTTAGTGACTTTTTCCTTAATGAAGTGTTTTAAACACATTTTATTCAAAGTTATCAGGTGACTAATTATTATTCCTTTAGATCTATCAATAAAAAATAAACACGGCATACTGTTTTTGGAATAATGTGTCATAAGAATTTTTATTTTTTGAGAATTTTAACTGGTGCAGATACTTCACTAAGAGACTAAAGCAAATGTTACTAATCTAATAGACTTTGCAAAAAGACAGTGAATAAAGACGTTTTTCCAGCTTTTTGTACCATTACACACAGTAAATCTTGTAATGTAGTTTTAGGGAATTTCTATAAAATACATGTTTTCAATAAATTATGATAGAGTCAACAATTTAATGTTTTTAATATTGTAAATACTTTATGTTACAGAAAGTGGATTTTATGTCGTGATACAAACAAATATTATGTACTTATAATAATTAGAATACCAAACATTTATGTTTCAAATATTTGTACGGTTGTATTCCATGTAAATAAAACAGTAAAGAAGACTTCTGTCTTGAATAAATTTTGAAAAAATGACACTGAATAATAATTTTGTTTTCGTAAATTATGGTGTATCAAAACTGCTTTTGGATGATATATAACTATAACTATTAGCTTGGTAAACATACCTATTTAAAGGCTCAACCTTAATCCCATTGAAAATGAATTTATATAATGACAAAAAGTATACCTACTTTTTTCAGACTCGAAGTCTTTGTAAAAAGCTTAAAAAGATTATCTTGGGATCCCTTTTGACATGGAAGAACAAAATAACAAATATGAGCCTTTGAAAATATGTTTTGAAATTTACAAGTGTCTGTATATTTTTTTTTTATCATATTTTCATTATTTTTATTTCTTGCAATCGAGGCATTTCATTACTTGTTACTTTTTGTTTTGTTTTTTGCTTAATGGTTTTATTATGTAACAGTCATGTTTTTTTTACTAAAATGAAAAAGCCCTTTCTTAGAGAAAAATTGACAATATTAAAATATATGAATAAAAAATACCATTTTGGACTTTTGGAAAATGAGAAAGTAAAATACATGTGTGAACCAGAGGGAAACTATAAATCTGAACATATTAAAAAATGTTTCTTGTAGTTATCCATGTTAGGTATTGAATATTACATATTTTAGGTATAGAATCTTTATGTCTTACGTCAAGAATTTGAAGATTTCTGTACAAACAGAAATCATATTAATTTGCCATGTGTCTGTGAACAATATAAAGGAATTTACCTAAACTAATTATTTAAATGTGGATTTGTTTATAAAATTCTCATTTTACCAGTATGAATGATAAGCTCTCAAAAAATAAGCTAGATTAGATATAACACAATACTTCCTGTTATTTGGAAAAGTTGAATCACTTTACGAGAATTATCTTATAACATTAAAGGTTGTTTACTCGTTTGGAAGTGATATTGTACCTCAGCACTAAAAAAGGATTTATACGCACACATTTTTATTAACTTTCTTGTATAATATTCATAACATTTCAAATAAAATGTTGCGCTGCATGATATTGTAGTAGTTAAGCTGACAGATGTAAATTATTGTCATTTTCACTGGCAAATATGTTAATAGCATAACATGTTATTAATCTCTATCTTTAACCCTTAACTTTTTCTTGGTAACTGCACAGATTTCAATTTATAGTTTCATGTTCAAAACATAGAATCTCCAAAAATTAGATTTAAAGTGGTTGTGCTTCATACTTAATTTGCATCTGTTAAATCAAGTTTTGACAGAATTTTCTTTCATAAAAACAATTTGAGACATTGTAGATGACCTTTGAAATAACATTTATTCTTGATTAATGAAGCACTACCCCTTTAAAGATTATTGGAGTGTTTCGGTGTCAATATGCATTTTGAGAAGCCTGGTTCAATTTGCAAATAAATGATTTGATTTAAATGTAATATATGGAATGACCTACTATTATTACTATTACCGATACAGTTGAAACACACGCTATGAACTTAATGTGATCTATAAGCCCTCAAAAGGCAAAAATGGATGTTAGGGCTATAACAGCAAATGGTTCACTAAATGCAATTCAGCCCTGAAATAGGCTAAATCATTTGTGAATATTCCAACTGGATAATAAGAAGCCTAACTTAAAAGCTGACCACCATATAAAACTGATGTACAACTAGATACCACCAAAAACTCAACAAACGAAGGTAAAGTAACGAAATAATAGGATTTACGATGAAAATAATAATGTTGCCAATTTGCAGTGAGGTTGCAGTAATGCCCACAATGGTTAAAAAATAAATAATAAAGTGCACCCAATATGAATTTATTATGGATCATGATGATTCTGCTTTGACTGATAAGATAAATCAATAGTCAACCTAATTAATTCTCATTACATACTTGATCTAATTAAGCAATAACAAAAATCTGCTCTAATGCACCTTACTGCTTATTGGCATTTTCATAAAGTTATGCTATCCATTATAACCAAATAAATGAAAAATTGCGTCCCTATGTAAGTAGTCAAGTGGACATTGTATAAACATGTGGCTGAAGTAACTTATTTTGAAAGCCACAAAAAATAAAATATTTAATTTGAAATCTGAAATCATTAAACATTTAATGTGCCTCATGAAAGTCACTATAATTTCATTGAAATTGAAAATAGAAATCTGTATCGACTACGGTTCAATCTCTCTGACCTATCTTCATTTCTGTAAAATTATTATTTAGTGGTAAATGATAAAATAAGTTTATGCGTTTGAATGCTATGCTAAGATAGTTATTTTAAATGTCAGTTCTCTTTATTGAAAATATTGTATAGGCTATAAAGTAAATAAATGATTAATATTACATTATGTAAAAGTAAACAGTTTAATGGTAATATTTTATATATCTCTATTAATGTAAATGTAACTTTCCTTTTCAGGTGGATGGTCAAATATGGTATAGTACAATAGTTATTCCTCAAACACACAAGCGGAGTTCTGTTTGGTACTATACACAGATTGGTCACAATACACACAGTGGCCACAGGTATATTGTATGGAATAATGTAAGTACATATGAACCTGCATGAGAGGGAGGTGATGGGTTATATGTACATATATCCGTACCTACTGAGGTTCAGAAAGAAACAGAATTCATCAGTTACGTATGGTTGGTTTTGAATATAGAGTTTATTTATCCCGGGGGAAATATTTGTATCTTTAAAGGGAGAAATAAAGATGATCATATATAAGGTTCAGGATATTGGGATTATCCTGAGGGTAATATCATATATCTGAATGAGGGCCACATTTTGTGAACCAACTACAGGATAATCTGTTAATGCCATCTGAAAATTTTGGGATACTGCTTCAAATTCAGGTATTTCTTAATAAAATAGAGTTGATATTTGTGAGATAACATATTTTTCCCCACAAAACTATTTTTTCAAATTTCTTTTAAATTTTCCCATGGTGGCCAGATATGATAATATGTATACATTATCCAGTTAGCCAGGATGTTAAGCTTTATCCTGCCCACTGTTGAAAAACCAATGAAAATAATATACCAAATCATGACGAAGTGTGGAATATAACATATTTCCTTCAGGATAAATACTGTATTCAAAACCTCCCAGTACATAACTCTCATGTATGTTGAAGAGAGCAAAGCAAGGTCACAAGGTATGTACATTTGAAGGGAGCTCTACCTCTTCTTTATTGAAAATAAGTACATGTATTGTACATAATATGTAGCAATCAAGGAACACTCCATGCATACTACAGGGTGTTCACCAAAAAGTATACCCAACTTCAAAGCCAGGATACTAGAATTCTGAGCAGTTTTTGTACAAATACAAAGGTAGCAGTAAAAAGCCCAGTTTGTCCTCCATGAAACAGTAACTAGATAATTACATAACTGTCATGGGTGACTGAGCAATCCTGACTTTTATGTAGTGATAAAATCAGCACTGTGCCAGCTTTGCATTTAAGTAGGATTGACACAGTGAATTGCTTTTTGTGCTCAGTCGTTCATGACAGTTACATAATTATCTAGTTACCATTTGATGGAGAACAAATTAGGCTTTCTACTGCTACCTATGTATTTTTTGAAAAGTGCTCAGGATTCAGGTAATTTGGCTTTGATGTTGGGTTTACTTTTTTTTGTGGATGCCCTGTATTTAGAGCAAGAGATATCTCAAGCTGTGATAGTTACAGAAAGGGTTGAGTCAAAGACAGACTCAGGTGCAGTTTACATACTGCCAGGATTTTGCAGTTTTTGCAGCTAGTTGACTCATTTTTGAGTCCCTTAAACATGGAAAAGGAAGGTACTGGACTACTGGTATGTTTGGATTATTGTGAATTACTTTGTCCCTTTGTGTCAGCACAACAGTAGAGTTGGAAACCTATAACATTGCAGGAATATAACGAATTTAGAGAAAAGTGAGTGAAGTTTGAAATTGAAAAAAATTGGATCATAAACTGAAAAGATGCAAGAGGAGAACCTAAATGAGCCTTCAACTAAAATCAGCCTACAATTAAAATCATGAACATGTAGTTCAGTGAATATATTTCAAGCAGTGATGCTATTTGATAAGTGGCTATGCTTGTTTGTGAAAGGTGGATGCATGGGTGTATTTGAACATTCCTTGTTTGGGCTAGGGGTAGTCCTAATGCATTGTCAAATAAATTCTGCTTTCCCATTGTCAAATTCTACTTTCTTGTTGTCATGTGTTGCTTTCCCGTTGTCATGTTCTGCTTCCCCGTTGTCATGTGTTGCTTTCCCGTTGTCATGTTCTGCTTCCCCGTTGTCATGATCTGCTTTGCCATTATATTTTAAAACTACTGATCTACTCCTGTCACCAGCCAGTTGGTGGGAATCCAACCATCATCTGAAAAGGTAAGAATCTATGAAATCTGCATTTAAGTGAAGTCATTGTATGGGTATGTGTTATAAATATAAGTCTCTTCCAGGATTTCAGGAACCGAAGTACAACCAGTCTGTATTATCAACCTTCATGTGGACAATTATGTCATGATGTCACCAATAATGTGGAGATACATTATTCTCAAAAATTATGATAAAAAGTTATCAATGAATACATTTAGGAAGAAGGAGAAATTTCTGATTACAGATTGATTACCCATACCTTTGTATTTAGTGAGGAATCACATTTTGACATTGATGTTCTAAACTGCAGAATACTTTGAAGTGGTAATGATCAACTTGCACAATCAATAGTTTGATAAAACCTTTTCTGAAAGTAGCAAACCTTGAAAAAACTCAATGCAAAATGTAACTTGCACAATCAAGAGTTTGATAAAGCATTTCTGAAATTATCAAACCTAGAAGTGAGTAATTTTTTCAAGGTTTTATATATTTAGAAAATATTGGTTTGTCAATTGATAATGATAATTGATAAGATAAGTTACAGATTATTATGAATTGAAAACATTTTGGTGTCATTAAGAATCAGAATTGTTACTAGAAAAAGTCCTTCTAAAAGGCTATGAGCAGTTTCATTTTGTTGGTAGTAACATCTAACATTGATTTTCTGACAGTGTACAGTTTTATATACATGTATGTATATGTTCGAGAGACTCAAGATAAAGTATAGTTTTGTTTCCATCAAACCATTTTGATGATTCCTAATGTATCTACATGTACATGAAGATCTCGAAGCATATTGTTATTGATATTATTGTTTATATAATTTATTCTTTAATCAATAGACTAGATGCGAGTAGAAATAATCTTGATTTACTTAATTATATATTCAAGATTCAGTCAAAGTGATGTCATATTTGAAATCTGTAAAAGCTCATCTAGAAATATGATTTCAAAAATTGTCTATTAACTTTGAAACTTTAATTTTTTTGAAAATGTGACTTGTAGTCCGGGAGATTCCCCATAGAGTCATAGACCCCATGTTATTAAACCGCAAAAATAGTGAAATATCTTTTCTTGAATTGGACAGATAACATTTTCTTTTATAACATATTTTAATTATCCCATCGAACGAAGTTCGGAGGGATATAGGGAATGCCTCCGTACGTCCGTACGTACGTCCGTCCGTCCGTCCGGGCAATAACTCAAATACCGTTGGCCCGATTTTGTTCATATTTTGTACACATATACCCTATGGGGTAGAAGTTCTGCTCGAAAGCCGATTTTCAAAATGGCCACTCATTTAAAAATGGCGGCCATTTTAGTGCTGATTTTACAGTAATTTAGGTGCCATATGTAAAACTGTAATAACAATATGTTTTAAATGTAAAAAAATTATATAGGACATTGATAAAGCTAGAAATGTAGATATTAAAGAAGCACATGGCAGCCATCTTGAAAAATGGCGGCCTTTACTCGTTATTTTACGATTTTTGCTGTAACTCGAGAAGTAGTGGAGCAATTTTGTTCATATTTGGTATGTGAATACTATAAGCATGGCCCACTATCTAATGACATTTTTGGTATGAGGCGGCCATTTTGAAAAATGGCCACCATTTTGAAAAATGGCCGCCATTTTAAAAAATGGCCGCCATTTTAACATATTTTACTATAACTCAAAAAGTAGTGGAGCGATTTTTTTTCATATTTGGTTTGTGAATACTATAAGCATGGCACACTGTCTAATGACACTTTTGGTAAAAGGCGGCCATTTTGAAAAATGGCCGCCAATTTAACATATTTTACTATAACTTGAAAAGTAGTAGAGCGATTTTGTTCATATTTGGTATGTGAATACTATAAGCATGGCACACTGTCTAATGACACTTTTGGTAGAAGGCGGCCATTATGAAAATTGGCCACCATTTTAAAGTTTGCTATATATTTCGTTTGTAAAAATGCCAGCCATTTCTGTTCGATGGGATTTGCTACGCTTTGGCGTTGCCGTTGTTCTGGTTTACATAACTTTTAGATACATAAGGGTGATATAAATTGAACCACTAAAACTGATGAATATTTAAGTTAGAGGGAACTTTTTACTTTACCCCCCATGCTATCTGACTCGAATGAGCCTCCTGGTGGTGAAACTGTTAACTACCTACTCGCATCTGAGTTATTGAACTCTTAGGATTCAGGATTCTTAAATTTTTCTCATTTATTGTTTAACAATGTATGTTACACTACTTGTATATGCTATTGAAATAAACCACAATAAATGCTATACATTGATATAAAATATAAAGTTAATGTTGTGTTTATGGTGGCCCAACTAACATCGATGACAGTGGTGACAGATGATATGTTCATGTTTAACATATTCAACTGTATCATTTTGATGTAATTCAGAGAAATTGAGCAGTAGAAAGCAAATAATTCTCTGGAAGATAATTTTCCTAGTTCTTTCATTATTAAATTCAAGATTCTCCATGACATTTGTGATATTTAAGGATCCCAGATGGAGTATGAAGACCACATACATGAAATATGTAAAAAGTAGCTGAGAAAAGCCTTCCTAACTGCCAGATTAACTCAAATTGCTTCATATTTGTTCAGCTGTATTAGTGATTAGAATCTCACTTGGATATGAAATGGTTGACATTTGTCAAAATGCTATCATTTGTACGTAAAACTTATTTCATGAAGTGGTCAGTTTCAATGTGTTATATCAGTTTGAAACCCATTATCCAAGATGGTTCCTTGATCTCGTAAAAAAGTTAAAAAACAGGCATCCATAAACAAACTTTGTATCCAAACTTATAAGAAAAGTGGTCTCCAGGAGAGTTTGTATGCCAATTGATAACATACACTACAGATTCTTTTGAGAGTAAAATTCTAAGCTTCTTCATGAGCCTGCAACATTGTCTCCAGTAAATTAACCATGATCTCATTATCCCACTAAACATAGTTTGTGAGGGATATAGAGAACTTGTCCGAAGGATAACTCTGTTGATGCTAGTTGATGGATTTGGTTCATTTTTTGTAGGCTGAATCCTTATGGGCATAGGACTTCAGCTTAAGAAGGAATTTCCAGTAAGGCCAATCAATTCAAAATGACCGACAAACACCATTTACCAGATTTGATTTAATTTTGTAGGCTGACATCTAAGAACATAATGTATATGTCAAAAAATGAATTCTTAAGGTGGCTGCCAAATTCGGGAACTATGTAATTTCCAGATTTAGTCCAAATTTTTATCTTTCAGCTTCAAGTATATGCTCGTCTTTAAAAAAATTCTGTTTCAAAATGCCCATCATTTTTCATGAAAAAATGTAATTTTTGACTTCTTGGCTAATTTGTGTTGTGAAATGTCAAATGATAAGTGATTTGATAAAAATATATTTTGTTCAGTGGGATTGTCAACTCCATGGAGTTGCTGTCTTCAGTTTTAGGCTATATTCAAAGACACCAATTGAGCCTTACACATGCATAACACAATATAAGCACCACTAGATGACTAGTGAAACTAACAAACAGAACACTTATGCCATTACAAGAACAACCCATTCATACCAACATATGCATTGGGTACATCCCACTCGTACCAACTGATTCAATACTGGTGCAACTCTTACCACTTGTGTCAACACAATGCGCAATCACTGATGTAACCACTTTTGCAAGCATGATGTTCAATCGCTGGTGCAACCACTTGTGCCAACACAATGCTCAATCACTGGTGCAACCACTTTTGCCAACACAATGCTCAATCACTGGTGCAACCACTTTTGCCAAAACAATGCTCAATCACTGGTGCAACCAATTTTGCCAACACAATGCTCAATCACTGATGCAACCCACTTGTGCCAACACAATGCTCAATCACTGATGCAACCCACTGGTGCCAACACTATGCTCAATCACTGGTGCAACCACTTTTGCCAGCATAATGCTCAATCACTGGTGCAACCACTTTTGCCAACACAATGCTCAATCACTGATGCAACCCACTTGTGCCAACACAATGCTCAATCACTGATGCAACCCACTTGTGCCAACACTATGCACAATCACTGGTGCAACCACTTTTGCAAGCATAATGCTCAATCACTGGTGCAACCACTTTTGCCAAAACAATGCTCAATCACTGGAGCAACCACTTTTGCCAACACAATGCTCACTCACTGGTGCAACCACTTTTGCCAACACAATACTCAATCACTGGTGCAACCACTTTTGCCAACACAATACTCAATCACTGGTGCAACCCACTTGTGCCAACACAATGCACAAACACTAGTGCAACCACTTTTGCCAACACAATACTCAATCACTGGTGCAACCACTTTTGCCAACACAATGCACAAACACTGGTGCAACACAATGATCGGTAGCTGTAATTCTGTAACTCCATCACAATCAATGGAGAATATCACAATGCGAGAGAACAATCCTCCAGGCCTTTTGCACAAATAGCGATCGATATGGCACAACCAATCTGCATTTGTTTATCAAGAGGTCATGGCCTGGAACTGTACTGTTTCTCGTTATTTTTGTCAGATAATTGCCTTTACATTTTCCTGTAAAGATGTGAAATCCTACAAGATGAGTTCAGTTGTTCTCATTTTTCACCTCATTCAGTTCAAGGGAATGACCCCAAATAACAACAAAATGAGCGCCGTTTCTCGCTGGCCTAGTTATGGGTATTATTGTACATGTCGGCTGATTGACACATACTTTTGCGCAGCACCAATATTGACCAATCAAACACCGCTGTACAACGAAATAGCCAATCATTTGCGCTTATTTTGATCACGTGGTCTGTATATTATTATCTTCTTGCCACGCCTTCTGTACCAAAACAAAACAAACCCTAGCTGCCGGTAGAAATCAGCTGTTGATTTTTCAAAGTTTGTTCCAGCAATCCGTGGATTAAGAGACAATTGATGACCACTAAACTCAATGTAGGAACAAATTGATACCCGGACTACAATATGCTGACTTCAAAACGGTTAGCAAAACGCTCTATCATCGGTACGAGGGTGTGTGGAAAATGGACAGATGACCGCCTCTATCCCGGTGTTATTCAATCTTCTCGCGATGCTCCCAACGGGCGCAGCCTGTACTCAATTGAATTCGATGATGGACACAAAATACAACTCTTCGACAATGATATAATCGGACCTGGATTTCAAAGTATTCAGTCTTTTCAACTGAAATCAGGTCAAAAAGTGTTCATCACTCATTCAGGCCGGGAGATCAGTGGTGTGGTTGTTTTTCATGATGTAGATGCTGATGACGTCAGTATAGCTATACATGATGATATTGAGGTTATCAGAAAGATTGATGACCTAAGATTATGCAAGTCCAGAAAATCTGCCCGCCTCCAAGACACAGACACAAACTACTCAAAAGTTCTAGACTATCACGCAACTAGAGACAATGCAGAAACTGCTGCCAGTACTAAACGACGTGCCGTTTCCAGCTCTATTGCCGTTCCTCGACCTAAACAGAGGTATTTGTTATTTCATTTGGATGTGTTCATATACTCGTATATGTATCAGGGTTATACAGAGTAGGCTGCAAAACTGATCACATTTAACATATCCTATGGCCACTTTGCCACATTTTTGCCACTAAAAAAGAAGCTCCCGCCTGTACCAAATTCTAGGGTTTATGTTAAATCTTCACCTTTAGTTTCCATAGTTCACTAGTCTACAGAAATTAAGATCTATTTAGCAGAGATAATGTCATAAAGAGCAAGTAGACATAATGTAGCAGCCAATGTATCCATCCTCGAGAAAAATACTACGTGCATGAACCAATACCGTGTAGACTTCTAATGGATTTGGTATATGTAAAAATATATTCGTTGTTCAGATGGTCTCCAAGTAAAACCTTATATAAAATTATAACTGTAGAGTGTACATCCTCATTGCAATACCTTCACCATCTCTGTTCCCTTGCCATACCTCGCCATCTCAGTACCCTCAACAGCTTGACTGTGTTATTGAATGATTTGAAGTGCAATACAGGATATATTCTGTTCGGGAAATTTTGTATTGGAACGAGACAAAGTCGAGTGCCAATACAGAATATCGAGACAGAATTTATCCTGTATTGCACTTCAAATCATTCAATAACATTTTTATCGTGTGATCCTCTGTATTGCTACTGAGATTGTCCCCTCCGTACCAATATTTTCTGTATTGCGACGGAGATGATCAACAGGGACAACCTCAGTAGCAATACAGATTGGTACAGCACAAGAACTGACCAATCATGGGCCTCATTTTACAGATCATATGATAATAATATGTGTTGTATGGTTTCTCATTGATATTCAGTAAATGAATAGTTTTGCTCTATGATGATCACCCAAGGAATATATCTGCCTGCTATGGAAACTAACATGATCATTGACTGATAATGGTTAATATCTTTGATAATAAACAGTTTCAAAGGTTCTTTGGAGATGGTCTTGTATTTCAGTTATGGAAAGGTTTTCAATATTGAACATGCATGTAAAACATGTGTTATATAACAATCTCCTGCAACAGTTCAGGACATGCCTTTATCAATTTAATATTATAATACTTACAATCTACTATTAATAGATTCATCTGATAATGGTGTGTTCATGATATCAGGGTTGTGGCAATCATAAATGATGAAACTATGATGGCTTCATTACCATCTTCATTCAGTTGTTGTTCTGGTTGTCTGAGTTTTATGACTGGACAAAAGGGTTCATTCTTATTTAGTTATATCATATGGTATAACTGCTATTTGATTTCCAAACTGGTGAGGTTGATATTAGGAGGGTTTTCTCAACTCACCACACAAAAGTTTTCATTGACTCTCATTTTACCACTCTTTCCCATATGGAGTCTTATCAAAGTAACTCACGAATTTGAATCAACTTTTTCTGCCCCCATTATCTTGAAACATATTAGAGAACACTGACATATAACTGGTCTGAAAAAGGCTCCAATGATCCCACACAATCAAATACTATTCTGCTTTTGAATCGGTTGATAAAAAACTGCCTGTATTTGCACTTTACATTGGACATACTGTGAGGACAATCAAGTCAAGGTTAACCTTTTATAGCACCAATTTATCACCTTACAAATGTTGCCCTTTACAGTGAGAAATTGTTAAATGTATAATTCTGCCTGAAGATATTGAGTAATTCTTTTTATTCTGCCTAAAATTTGGCTGTTTCTCCATAACAAAATTTGGAATAGTAGGTTGTATAAACATTTTTGACCTGAGATGCCGGGAGTGATTGCTTAACACAAATTTAACAAAGCTCCATGATGATGCAAAGTTACAGGTAAATGCATTCACTTGCAGTGACCTGACTTATAAGGTGGCTTCTATAATTTGTAATAGTTGCATCAATACAGGGTCAGCTAAGTTGACGTTATACCAATATGAGTTAAGTAATCCAAGTTCACCGGTTAATCTCAACCCTATTCAATTTCTATTTTAGTTACTCGTTATACAGTGTTGCTATACTTTATGCTGACCTAATAGTTAACTTGGTAAGGTAAAATCCATACTTCACTCTATGTGTATTAATATTGCCCTTAGCCTTGGATTTACCATTCAACGTTAAGTTGATTAATGTACACACACACTAGATATTGGACCAATCCTGTTGAGGCCTGTATAGTATAACTACCAATACCAATTCGTAATCTTTGTTTATTGATCGATCTGAACCTTGGCACTATTTCACAATATACGTAACATGATTGTTTTCCCTTTTACATGTACTTAAATTTTAACCTAAAGTTGTCCTCAATTTCAAATGTGACATCCCGAGTTCATATTATTTTATGGGTTTCTGTTTTTTGGCAAATGTTCAGTTTTGAAGTCAATAGAGGTGAATTCCAACAAATGATTGTGAATCAGCCGCTTAAATAAAATCAGCTGTTTTTTCTAATTTGTTTGAAATACGTGCAACTAATTAAAAACTAGCACGTGCTATTGTTAGTAAACAAACCCATGTGATCTCTGATAAAGTGTTTTCTATTGCGAAGTTTGAATAGTTAGGAAATCCCCTATAGTTTATGTTAATGCCTAGTACCGGCATCTGAGATAAACAAAGTCATGACGCAGTTTTATTTCGGTTCAGCTTGAACTTTTGGTACAATAACAAGCAGATGCTCTAAGTTGAAGCAGTGCTTAATAGAAGGGAAGATAAAATAACGCAGTTTATATCAAACAATTTAAAAACAATTAGAAATTAAGAAAAATAGAAATTTAAGTACGAGGAGTATTGTATGATATATTTTTGGATTAATAAGAAATATGTCTCTGACCAAAATGAAACACCATACGAGGACATCAACAGCCGGCAGAAAAACCAACTTCAACCCCAAACAGATGTGGATGGATAAATTCAATATTGAACTTTTGGAAGCAAAAAAATCAAGTGACGCTGTTAATATACCAACTAGATCTAGGTAATTTTTTTAAAGTTTCAAAATTTGAATTATTCAACCATGACAAATATACATCAAAAGTTGTAAAGTATATTTTATCAGATTGTGCAAGGTGGTAAGTCATTTCAGATATGATGTCATTTTAAAATGAACTTATGGAATCACACAAAATTAAATGATATGTGGCTCTGAAGTTCTAGATAGATTTTTTTTATTATTGCACTAAAAAATCAACCAACCATAGCTATTAAAATATGGATATAAAACATGGTTGATAATGTTTCACCAGAATGTGTAGGTGGAGAGTGCACATTTATAACCATTGTTAATTAACCATTGTGACATTGAACGATCTTTTGAAAATATGATCACTTACTTTTGGTATTTCTATAAGGAAGTTGTACACCCACCTAATATTCTGAAGTTATGTCATATTTTTTGTAGATTTTAATTTTATTTTTGATTTAGTAAAATGTTAAGTTGCGTGTCTTGTAAGCTGGTATCCTGAGGTTCAGCGACAGGGGGAGGGGGATTTACATAATTAGTAAACATTGACCACTTATTCAGAAAGTACATTGTATTTTGAAACCAAACGATTTAAAAGTTATCTTATAAATGGGACAGTGTGAAAACATGCACCGGTATGCTCCAGTTTAAATAGTTATCACACAAATGTTTTGACCATTTTTGAATTATGTGTAACATAAGATATTTTAATAATTTCAAAGGTACTGAATGACCGAATAATAATGGTCAATGATAAATCCCCAAACTTAATGATAAATCCCCAAACTTATCTTTTTACACAGTTAAAGCAGATGTGAATAGAAGTTGTAATTTTGCCAAATTAAACAATAAGTTAGGATGTTTATTGAGACCTTATCAACAAAATAATAGTTCTAGTTATAAGACACCTACCATTTGTGGCAGATATCCATGAAATATGATATTATGATGCAATTATGATGCTGTTAGAAGGTCAAGCCGACACACGGGTTAACTTCAGGGTCTTTGATTTATTAAAGCTATAAATGTGTTATTTCACAATAGGACTGATTGTAGGAAAACCTTAGTTCAGTTTACTATTTGCCTCATCCACGCTCTATGAAGGGAAAGAGGCCTATCAAGATAGGAAAAGGGGGCCAAGGGGTATTGCCTTTATATTGTTTGCAGGACCAGTGATTAAAGTGTTATTCATGCTTTTAATTGATTAGATAAAAAGTAACATACAAAACACATGATAAGTAACATCACACACATGGTCAACATTTTGTTATCTTGGCTATTATATTTATCTCTAATTGTAAGCTCCATAATAACTGGACTAAATAGATAAATAATACTTATCATATTAATACCCAAATATGTTGTTCCTATTTGTTGACTGAAGAAAATTAAATATTTAAAGTTTATGCTCAGCTGTTCATGATCCAAATGGCATAGGAAGAATTGGGCTTTTTGTTAAATAATTAGGCATTATGCATTGAGTAAACACTATTGTGTAAACAACTGGCATACATACATGTACAATATAGCCTAAAACAGTTCAAGTGTTCTTGTCCATATATTACTTATTCTATAAAACAGCTGAAAATGACAATGCCGGTTTAAAAACTAACCAGATAAATAATTGATAAAGAGTTGTTGATAAATTGCATCAGACCAAAACTTCCCAGTGTCCAAAATAAAATGATTTAAGAAAAATTAAAATGATTATTGAGTTAAGTTCAAACGATTATTTGTTATTTCAGGAGGAGGCGCAAACAAGAAGACGATTATGGAGAAGAAGAAATGGATACTCAAAATGCAGTCATGGATGAACACATGGCTGCTCTTGTTCTCACCTCATTCTCATCTAGTCCACACTCTCCCAACTTCCCAGCAAACTTCAGAGATAATGGTGAGGGCACCTTTGTATCTGTTGTGAATTGGTGGATCTTTAAGTTAACCCATGAAGGTCAAATCAAATGATCAAGGCAATTAAAGGGGAACTCAGGGATGGTGATAATTGAAAAGTTTCACATAGCTCATCTTGATAACATTGGGTAAGGACTATAATATAGGCCAATGTGGTTTAAACTTTATATGGGGTCTTTAAACAAGTGTGAGGGTCAAATGATCAAAGGTCAAAGAAAAACTAAGGGATGTTGTCCAAATGTACATAGTTGTTGAAAAAATGAAAATTATTATATGACAATTGATGAAAATGTTGATTTATTTTTCCCATGATTTTTTAGTTCAACATTCCTTAATGAAATCATATTTACCTCCTCCCCTTTCAAACAAAATAAACTTTTTTCTTTCACAGTTAAGTGTTGAGCATAATTTTCCAATTGGTGTTACTACCATCATTGTTTACATAGTTCCGTATCTTGTTGGTCAAAGTACATGGTAAAAACCAACCCTTGGACTGTTTTACGGAATTTGTACTACAAACCAATAAAAAGATGTCTCAACATTAGGAGAGAACATTGAAAGCAATGTTTATATCCCTCTGGACCTAATTTGCTCATATCTCATCATTTTATGCTGTGTTTCATCTACATCCTGATGTCAATGTTATTGGATGCTCTTAACAGCTATTATATCCTACAAAGCATGGAAATGTGGAAAATGTTTGAAAACATCTCATAAATCTAATATCCCGGTCGTTGTCTTAACATATCGGCTAATCTGACATAAGGCTTGTTATTTTGTTTTGAATAAAATAAAAGTGCATTCATAATTGTTAAATGAAACATAAAAGAACCCTCATATTAGCAAAAAATAATTTAGGAATGGTTAAGTTCAATGCTTGTGGGCCTTCCTTATGAATTAAAGGACACACCCTGCTCCAATTTGGAGCAAATATGTTTACAGCTAGCTGTAGTTAACATAAAAATAAGTTCATTTCATGAATTTGTTCAAGGCAAAATCAACTCCACCCATATCAATGGTATTGTAATATTAGTATCTTCATCATGAAAACCTCTCTATAGGTTCAATGAATACTTCCTAAAAGAACATACATTGTGACCATTTATTTAAAGTAATTTATAAGACCATGGTCTAGTATGAGGAGTCATTTGATTGTATGGATCCTGATGGAACTGAAATAATGTGATGTAATTTTTGCTTTATTTTGTCTTTGTTTGTTTCAGCCGAACACTCAGGCAGTCCAAAGTCTTGGCAGGAAAATTCAAGTTTAAACAGTGGAGGTTTCTTTAGTGGCAAATCAGAGACAGCTAGCACCCCCTCCCCTCCATTCACTCAGAACCTCAGTGAGAGTGCACCCCCTGAGCGATTATTTATGACATCATCACTCGATGAGGGAATTGAACTCGATGACACACATGCTTACTTCAGTGAACCCAACAAAGCAAAAAAATCAAAGGTGAATGATTGTGAAGATCCGTCTTTCCCATTAAATTAAACAATAAAAGTATGTTGTTCTGGTTGGTGAGATATTTGATATCTGGAATCAATTTCAGAAAATGGGATTAACCACATTCCATCCATCCATCCTTCTGTCTGCTATTTGAAGTTTTACCAAATAGTTGAAATGCCTGTTCTAAAGATTTCCAAAATGTGTTTCCTTCTAGATCTCAACACGCACAATGTTCAAGTGCTCATGGCCACGCTGTATGAAGATTCACCCAACCTGTGCTGGTATTGAGCAGCATGTTAGAACAGAACACTTGGGGTAAGTTGGTTTTCTGCATTTCTGTCATCAGTAAATTCGTAAGCACACAGTTTGACTCTGTCACTTGTTATCCTTTGCAAGAGCTCAGTTTCATTTCCTCTTTAAATTATAAATAATTTGTTTGATCTCGCCTCTATTGGTATTTATGTACTCAAATTCATGACACTTTATTTTCTGCATGTGAGTAGATTTAAACGTTCATATCAAATTCAAACTATCATGAAAGGTCAAGAACAATTGAAAATCATCTGACATTATTAGAGGGTGGTGTTATTAGATCATAGGGGTTTAGGGTAGTTACAATTTAAAATGGTGGTTGGCGTTTAATGTCTGTAACAAATGGCAGTTGGTGACATTTTGCATGTTAATGGCTTGTATTTGTATTGTGGGTTTCCCAACCTGCTCTATCTCTGGATATCCGTAAAATAAAAAGTGAGTCATTTTTATGGATCATTAAACATAAAAAATTGACTGATAAATCAGGATGTTTGATTTGCCTCATGGCTTAACATTTAACATTTTGTTTCAATTGTGTCAGAACCAATTGTTCATTTCCTTGTTTTTACGATGTTGATTGTTTAAAATACATCTGAAACTATACTTTATTTACAATATTTGTAAGCTTGTACCAATACAGAAAATGTGTTATTTTATGAATGTGTTTATAAAGAACAATCTCCTAGTAGATATGTTTACAAAGGTTACGTTGAGCTTGTTGAAATCTGGAAGTAGAGAGCAATATCCTGGAATACTGAAAACAATAACCAAGATCCAAAACTGTCATACCAAAATGTACATTATGGTTTATTGGGCTTGTTTTACTAATTGGTATCTAATATGTCACAGAGCACTCACTTTAGTATAAAAGTAGTTTATCAGATATTAGTATTGATTGTTATAAATAGTACTATTTGAATTTGTTGTATTTATATGATAGGAATAAGAATGGTAGCTGAGCTGGAAGTCAAATAAATGAAGTCTGAAGTAAATAACTATCAATCAATAAGGTAAATAAATAAAGGGAAACTAAGATGATGTCTCATTGTTTGCAGGCCAAAGGTGACAGGTGGCGATTTATCAGACCATGAAGAGGAGTTCTACTATACAGAGATAGAGGTCTCTGTAGATAATGTGACACAAACACTGGCAGACATGCACACATCGTCTCCTCCACCTCCCGTCAACTATGCAGTCAGTTATCCAGTACCCATAGTGCCTGATCATGACTACCAGAAAAAGGTGAATATGACTGGAATATAGCTTTGTGCGACAATTGATATCAATGTTATATCTGAATTGTAGCCTCAAGTTCTAAAAATACTCTGATCTCAGAGAATCATTTAACATAACTTTGAATATCCACTTAATAAGCTGTGACTGTGGGCATTGTGAATATGAAATAAATGTTCAACAGGTGTCAGTTCCAGTTCATCTGAATTACCATACAGGAACATTTGTAGGAACATATGGGGAACCTACATATACAATGCAGTCAATTAAGCTAAATTTAGTCTAATAACCTCAATAGTAAAACCTGTAAATTGTGTAAAAATATTGAAAAAACATGTGATGTTTTAATGCCTCAATATATAGACAGTGACAGTGTCCATTTTTATTAACACATAATCTGTTTCTTTTTAGGAATATCAACCTATAGCAACACTCTCGTCCACTTTTGGTGTCCAACAAACAACAAATATAGTAACAGTTCCCTCTGTCATTCCTATTCCAAAGTTATCACGATCTATCTCATGGAACACAATGTGTGCGACATCTCCCAATGCAGGCATGCAGGTTAGTGAATGCTGAAGAGTCATTATGTGTGAATGCTGTGGGTTGTTGACGAGCTAGGTTTTAATAATTTTTTTGGGCAAAAAATTTTTTTGAACCCAGTGACCTCTATTGTACTAATTTGGCCAAAACTGCCTTGCTTGTTCATTTCTGTTTAAATATGACAATATCATTTTTTTAAATTTTATGTATAAAAATAAGAAATTGCAATGAATTAATGGAAGAGGTAAGTGCTTCGATCATATCCTTGATTGTTTAGCATGAAAGAATGTGACAAGACATTAATCGTATTGAAAGAATGCAAATAATTCTCAATTAGATGACCGCCTTAGCAGTTCTGTGTTACTTTTTGTAGCTGTCGCCACCAATACGGGTTTCAAAGCCTCAAGAGCGGCTGCAGCAACACCAGGCTGCCTCTCCAAAAACAAACTTTACACCAATCATTGGAAAAACTTCACCTCAGCATAAGAAGGCACGCAGTGACATAAGGAAGTGTCGAAAAATCTATGGGATGGAGAACAGAGACATGTGGTGTACTCAATGCAAGTGGAAGAAAGCATGTACTCGATTTATGGAATAGCTTCTCTTAGTACAATGAATGTCAGGCTGGCAATGCATTTCATTGGTACACATTCTAGGATTCACCCAAAAAATTCATTGATTTACATAGATCTAGGTTAAATGTCCAAAATTGAATAACAATCAAGTTCTGCCTGGTATTATCTTTAATATAGTTTCATGTTTTTCAATAGTCTTATTGTTTGGACAATCACTGCCAGTATGACATGACATTTTTTGAGAACTCACCACTGAAGTAATAATTTAAATGTTGTCATGGTAACTAAGTCTGTTGTTATGGCAACTGTGCTATCGTGATAACTAATTTTGGAGTATTATACAAATCAGGTGTTGGGCCCCAAGTTACTGTACATAAAATAATACTAGAGGACCAACATGTACATAATATATATATATGCACTGTATATGCATACACCCTACCATTATACTGTATATGGAACTTGTGGATTGACTGTATTAACAGATATATATGTACATATGATTATATATTATATATATTACACATAATTTTAAAAGTATATTTAAGAGGATTTTCTCAACCTGTACAAGTTAAGTGGATAAAGTTCTTGAAATTGTTCAATGCATTTAGTCATTCTTACTCTTATTCTTATGGTTGGAGTGGAATATTTTCTCCAAATTATAAATAATATTCTGTTTGACTTGATTCATCCCCGATGAAATTAAAATCATTAACAGTTTCATAAATGATATTATTAGACATATATAGTGCAGTATACTCTTTATGTTGGGTTTTTAAAACTTACTTGTTTGTCATCGCTTAAAGTCAAAATCTAGTTCTTGTTTATAAGTCAAAATCTTGTTTTCTACCACTGGATGTTATGGAGACTGTGCATTCAGTGCATCTACATTAGATTTTAATTTCATCAAAAGTTACTCTAGCACACTAGACAGTAGATGAGTATATGATACAAGTACAAGATCAAGTAAAATTACAAGTTTATATGACACAAGTACAAGTTTTACCCAATATAGGATTTGAATTTTTGCCAAAAAAGTTCAATTTAAAAATTTATAGATCTGTGATTAGTTGACTTATTGAGTGTTATGACTGATGACATCATTCTTTCTTGGCAACATACAAACCAGGTTCATTAATCATCCAATTTATAAGTCTAGACTTTTAGATCATATTTATCTGTAGACATACATGTACATTTAGGGGAAATCTCATTGTACCTTTGTGTTTTATTAGTATTATTATACATATTGTATTGACTAATATTAGAATATTGAATCAACTTATGGTTATTAAATAAGTATACACTACTGTATCTCATAATATTGGCTGGTTTTAATCTTACAAAAAACAACAATAGGACTATGAGTTAACTAGACACTGCAGAGCAACAAGTATTTTCAAAAGAATATGTTAGACTGAGAGTGAAACACAGAAATTGCTTGTTAAAGTATAATAAATATTTTGAAAGCTATTCATGCTAGAGTCTATATCAATCTAACATGGTTTTTAACTAGGTGCGTAATTAAATTAAAATAATAAGTGGCCTTGTTCCAACTTGATACAATGTTATCTGCATGTCTAGATGAGAACATTGACCTTTGTTGTACCTTCTTAAAGTATGTTGTGTGATATGTAACATATCACTGTATATTATGTGTTTGAGATAATCCCTGTTAGAGGGTCAGAGACAGTGCAGTAAACTTAGAGGATCTTCTACAGGACATTTAGCATGTCCATAGAGACACATCTGCTGATTTCAAAACATCAAATATTCAGAAAATTACAAATGAAATCTCTGCCATATTTTGATGACCAAATGTGCCAATAAAGTATTGAAACTACAGATTTGATAGTAATTCCGTATTTTTCGGTCAAATTGAAGTGAGTCTGCATATGTAAATACAGTATGTGTATGCTTTATACAAGCATTGGAGATCCTCAGTGCGAATATGGTACATTATTTTACATATATTTTAAAATCTTTAGATGTTGTGAACATACATTACAAGTTATACCTCAGGTTGCTCCATTTTATGGTCTGTTATATAGTAGTTTGCGACACACCAACATTGGTTGACTCCAAGTGTGTCATGTTAAATGTGACTGAATCCCTTTTGGAATAGTTGGAGCTGTGTTTCTCGAAATTATTGTAGATCACGATTCCCGATTTTTGATCATATTGCATAAATCAATCATCGGATTTAGTCAACTGAATATATGGAATTGTAATTCATGATATTTTCTTGAAACGACTTCCAGATTAGTGAGTATGTTGTGAGTCTAATATAGCAAGTAATGCAGTTAAGGTGAAAGGGAAACGTATGTTTGATGTTATACCTATTTTAGTGAATCCAATATGATAGTTTTTATGGATATATTATTAATGAATAGGGTTATTCTCTTGGTTATCACAAGGATGTATACCATAAATTAATTTAAAATCAACTTGTTTTCTGGTAGATAACTCAAGTGTCATTAGATTAGAAAAATTTCTGATTTTCAAGAATTCTTGTCTAATTTCGGGATAAAATTATTCATTCTGATTTTAACATTGTATTTCTTAAAATATAGTGTTTTTGATTGACAATGATTGTACCATGTACTATTATACTACTAGTTGAAATAGAATGTCTTCAAAGAGCTCTGAAGTTCTGAATTGTACATATTAAAATGAAATACAACTATTATATTACTTAAAATGATACGTTTTTTTGTTCCTAAATTACAAATTCAAGGTAAACAAGGTAAAATATTTAGTGACTATATTTATTTTATGTCCTACAAGAAAGTTACAGCAACATAATTTTTTGCCATTGTGTAGATGCATCAGAAATAATATTATTCAAGCTTATGCCTCTATAGCAAACGACTGATAAATGAGTATTTTCAAATATCTACTGTAAACCTTGAAGGCCCCATATAAACATATTTTTCAAACTTTACATGGGGCCTTTAAATAGTGTGAATACCATTAAGACAGTGGTAGTCTAACATGTGCATGTCCATATGTTTTACTGTAATGCAATTTCAATTTTCAGCATTTGAAGAAAAATATTGCCTACAGTACAACTTATGAAAAGCAAACCAACTTTAGCAATAACAGGTCTGATACATTATTATTCATAAATGAAAGGGGCCTGATGTCGTCTGTAGGCATATGTGTAAATATCTTAATTTCTAGACGTCTAGTTTTCAATCAAGGTTTGTATCAAACAATAACAACTCAAGGGCAAGTATCATGATAAACAAATCAAGGACATCCATGATTACTGAAATTCAATATAAAGCATCTTGGATGAAATAAATTACAAATATTTATACAAATATGATTAATAATCAAACAAATCGTCACAGACACTAACCTACAACATGCAATATTTCATTTCTAGACTAGACAATTATGTTTGTGTTTTCTTTATAGAATAATTATCTGCTAACAGAAAATAACATTTTTGTCTATTTGAAATGCTAATTGGTTTTTTATTTCTCAAATGAGGACAAAAAATTATCTAATACAGGGTCTCAAAATAAAAGATATGGACGCGCTTTAAAATATATTACACCTTATGCAATTCTCAGTATATTTGCTTTCTTGGTTCATTAATCATGAATTCAAATGCAAATCTTGGAGGTTAGTGTCTGTAACATTTTGGCAAACAACAGTTATGTATAATATACCTTACACTGATACATACATTGAGTTATATTTATACATTTCTCAGGTGTACTGTTTTCACATTACAATCCATGTAGTGTGTACTGCACATTTTACGTCAGAATACAGACTCCATCTGCTTTTTTAAAGTGGCCATATTTACAAAATGTAAAAATATCTTGCTAAACAATATATTCCCTTTGTAATCTCCAAATTTACAACTTAAGGAGATCGATTCACTCTAATATTTCTAAAGAATGAATTCAAGGAATTTTTCAAATCATAGGAACATCATTGCTGACGGCTGAGTGTGTACAAGTCATTTTCTTAAAAACATCTACTCCCAAATGAGTGCTTTACAAGATATACACAAACATCATTATGTTGTTTTCTCCAGAGAGCGTGTTCCTCAAAATCCGCACACAACAACAATGTGTCCCTTTTAACAATGTGTCTACTATCCAGACACAATGTGTCAATGTCCACTGAAAACCTCCATATTAATCAAACTCCCTGTCACTGAGAACAGCAGGGGCAATGAGTGTCCAGCCATATATTACGAGGCAGACCCAACTAGAACTGATCTTCACCCAGACCGAGGGAAGGTTGCTCGTAAGGGTCCCATCTGCTGTAGGGCTACAACATAATATTTAGTCTAGTGAATTGTCTTCATGAATATATTCTATCACACTTATTCATCCATGAATAAGAATACAGACAATACTGTGTAATAGTCTAGATGCTGTTGAACTCAATAATGATTGGTTCTTGTACCAGAGAGAGTGAGGTTTCTCATAAGACAGAAGATATCACAGATTATAATAAAACAATATGTTGACTCAATTTAAACAAAAGTTTAATCTCCAAGGCAACTAGTGAGCTTTCTCATTTTACTCAGCCTATCTTAGACAAGGAATTCAACTTACCTGTACCACTTTGTCAATGTCATCATTATGTATAGAGTGGCCAGGAAAAACATGAAGTGGAAGAATGAGTAGCTGTAAGCAACAGCTTCCTCTTCATTGTCCCAAACATTCTGTCCAGATTTCTCCTCATCTTTGTTACTTGCAGATCCTGAAACATCATGAACCGTGTATGTATAGTGTATATACTGTAGTATTGACTACATGTTTTAGCAGTTCTTTCGCAAATAGTGCTCAGTAATCTTGTATTGAGTCCCTGAACCCCATACCATCTACTTCAATTCCTTATGACAGTTTGTAGAGATCACTAGGGCCTGAAACAAGACTAGGTGCTGACCTAAATTTGGAATACCATTTGAAGTAACCACTGTAGCACATTTGGGAAGCATTCAAGCATTTCAATGATATAAGAACTGAGCACTTAAAACAAAAAATTGAAAGCATGAGGAGGTATTCTGAAGATTGCTTGAATAGATAGATTGAATAGATAGAAATTTATGCAAAATTAAAGATATAATTAGAGTGTTATATTGTTCATCTTTCAAGATCGGGCTTTATTGGTATAACATTGAAATACAAGGATGATACATGGATCAGTGGAAAGACATGAGGTATTTACATAGTCAACAGGCCTTTGTTGATATATATATGTATATATATATATATCTAAACACCATACTTATCTAATACACAAAAATGCTTATACAACATATTCATATCAATGAAAAATCAAATTAGTGATTCTTAAATAAAATAGAAATAAGCAATGCCAACTATTGAACAAAAGGAGCAATAATGATGCAGAATCATAATGTTTATAAAATGTTGTTGATTAGTGCTGGGATATTTACTCGCAGACTCGCACACTGACATGTACATTACTACCTCAGTTCCAAAGATCCCAGGTGAGTTCCGACTTGATTTGACTTTTGAGTGTAAGTCCCACTACAACTGATCTGTGCCCAACACCAATGATTATATGAGAGTTGATTACTAATGATAATCAAAAGCACTTATGAGGATTTATATTTTCAGGCTTTATAACAGCATAATTCACATTTCACACCAATGGTTATGATAAAACATACACATTATAACTTCACAATCTAAACTGATTAAATAATTTCATGATAAAACAAACATGGTAGGATATGGTACATGTGTGATTACACAAATTAGGGACAATGAAAGATGAGTGGCAGTTGTGATGTGACAAAAGGCATAGGAGCATTTAATTATTAAGTTGAGGCCTAATTTCATGAGGTGATGACCCAATTCCATAAATTATTCTAATTTGATGACTTATTTAAATAATTCATTGATACTTAATATCCAATTCACCTAATATGGCACCTGAAACTGTTCAAATGACCCATTGGCTTCATATCACAAAAAATGTATTTTGTTATCCCTACTCCTATACCACTGACACAGCACATGATTCAGCGTTCTCCCCAGAGTTTTTTCAATAGAATTGGATGTAGAGTTCCCACCTTAATCACCCTTCTTCCAAAACTGGTCATAACATCTTTCTCTTCCACGTTTTAATTCTAAATGAAATTCTCAATTGGGTTCAAATGATCTTTCAAATGGTACTTTTGTATGCAACTGTTTCATTCACTGCTGGGGAGATCACTGCATATGATGGGAGGATGGATGACTTATTGACTATGTAAATATCTCACCATTTCCAGATGACAGCATGATTTGTTCTGAAGTCAGCATGGAAAGAAATGTATCATAAATTGTTTTGAAATACGGAAGAATGGAAGGTAGCATGCACTGACACACTATTTAAATATTTATTGTGTGGAACCTTGATAATTGGTTATCTATACAATTGCAGGATATGTATATATCAAAGAAAATTCTTAAAGATCCATTCCTCCCATGATAGCTTTTCATATTTATAAGGAACCGTCAGTTAGATGGGACAATTGTTGTACACCACAATGGTTTTAAATTATGAGGTGCAGTTTATGTTAATGACAAATTATTATTAATTTTTTGGATTGATTAAAAAAATTAATATTAAGCATCATTGCAAAAATTCATTAAGTGAAAATCCAAAGAGTTGCCGGCTACTTAAAAAGTGTCTATGGGTATACTAACTGGAATAGCTATGTGTATCAATTGAGAATTAATTCACAATGAACAATAATTACTTATTGCTTCCCTTTAAAGACTGACATACCTGATGAGTTGTCATTCAAGTAGACATTCTCTGTATTTTTGTTTGTCAGTTTCCCCATGTTGTTAGTTGAAGCGGTACGGATGCTGAAAAGAAAAATGTTTACTTGTTACCTTTCTTCATTGCTATTATGGAAATTTTAAGATACAGGGAGTGTCACAACAATATCAGATCCAGACCAATTCCATATCAAATTTCAGATAACTGTCGTGTGGTTTTTGTGCACTGGTCTTTCCCTGTAGAAGTGCTTACTGCAATGTTCAACAATAAAACTTGACCGCCAACACAAATACCACTTCAAAAAGTTAAGCAAAATTTCAATCCTAACATTTATATTCAAGTTCAAGTCGTAAGTGGTTATATGCAAAGAGTTACAAGATTGAAAAATTCTCAAACCCAGCTAAAGTTTACCTAGCATATAACACACAAATCATCCAAATGCCAAGGCCAGCAATGCTAGGCCAGTCCATGCCAGTGACCCTTTCTGGGGGTAAAATAACTGATGTAGCGTTGACCTTGCCAGAGAAAATGTCCATTAAAGATGGGTTACAGGTCTTGTCTGAAATCATAACAGTTATAGCTATTAATCATTGGTTGATTATTGATTATGCAAGGATTATTATTATATTAAGGAAATTATCAGATACAGGGACAGGGTGTATCACAACAATATCAGATCCAGATCAAGTCTTTATTAAATTTCAGATACCTGTCATGTGATTTTTTGTAGACTGAATATACAAATAGAATGTACAGCAAAACATATGTGTCAAATAAATGCTTCTCTTGATTCAAAAAATAGCACCATCTCTAAATGGGAACACCTCTTACATACAAAATACATACTTTGCTATTGTGAATAACAAATAAGAGATTTATAAGGATACAACCATTTTTAGTCCATTATAGACCTCATTAATTATTAGATTAAAATACCTGGTCTTAAAAAATGCAAAAGGATATCCCAATTTCCACCTAGACCTAAGACCCTAAGGCCTGGAAAGACATTGAGACCTTATTGTAATCTCATTGTATCTCCATAATGCAGGTCTATGCCATGCAAATATTTGGAACCTCTGTGTGAATATTTTTGTTGTGTACCCTGTAGCCTGACATTGTCACCATGGATATGTGACAATGTGATATTGAATCCCTGGGCAAGTCCTAAATGTCTATAGACAACATTTATACCTGGGTTGTTGGTCATCGCTGACCAGGTCAAGTACTGAACATATCCAGTTATGATCGAAGACTGGAGCAAGCCAGAGCGTGGGTTGACTTCTTGGATTTTGGGCAAAATAGACACAATCGACACAAGGATACACAGTATCATATTCACACTAACGAATGCTTTGTTCATTGGACATCCATCCACCTGAAATAAAGTTTCCATACTTTTGTCACAATATGTCTGTTTTGAATATTTAATATTTTCTTAATTGGGAAATAAAAGTAGAAATCAAATAATCTATTTCTATTATCAACAAGATTAAACCATTCGTTTCCCATAGTGAACTGTAGCATAAATCTTTGATATTTAGTAGTTATGATATCACAAATATATTACCGATTACAATTTGGTAAAAGATAAAACATGATGACACAAGGTTGTAGTACATGAAAGAAGGCAATACAGGCAATACATGTATAGCTCATCTAACTTTCCACTGACTAGTTCACAACTGCTCTGCTAGGTATATAATACATACAGAGTGAATGACACAGTTTGAAGTAATTAAGATGACAAAAGAAACCTGTTTACTTCGATTAGTAAAGTATCTCCACTTACCCCTCTTGTGTAAAATATGTAGAAGAGAACAATGGCAGCCAAGGAGATTAAGTAGAAAAGCACAGTGAAGATCAGTAACCCTGGAAAGGTACATGTAATTTTGATATGATGTATAATGAAGTGATGTAATTAGTATCGAAACAGAACACCCACTTGAGAATTTTAAATTGCCTTTTACCTACTTTAAAAATATTTGCGCAAAATTCAAATAACTGATAATTTGGCACATTTCATTATCAACTAGAAAAACAGCAACTCCACGGAGTAGCAAATCCCACCAAACAAAACATGTTTTGATAAATAGCGGCCATATAAAATTTGAGCCAAATCCATCCATTGGTATTTGAATTATCAAAGATTTTGTTTTATGAAACATGTTTTTTTTGTTTTTTTTATTCATAGAATTTATTTTACAAATACATAAACATTATACAGTTTTAGTGGCTTTGCTGAAGGCATTATCAGTCACTTGATTAATAATTGCAGGGTGAAGAAAAAATTAAATATGGACTCAAGAGTGAAGTGAGTGGTGGCAGGGAAACCTACATATTTGCACATTTTTCTAAAAATGATGCAGTGAGCTTGAGAATATTCAAATTTAAAGGATTACATGTTTTATGAAAAATGGCGGAGATTTCAATAAATAGCAGCCACCTTCAAAATTACTTCTCAAGCAGAGCTCTTTTATCTCTAGGCATCAGTATATAAAATTTGAAGTAAATCCGTCCAAACTTTATTTGAGTTATCAAAGATTACCTTTTTTATAACAAATGGCAGCCATTTTCAAATTCAGCTGACGCTTTTGAAATTTCTTCTGAAGCAGATCTCCTTTTTCCCTAAACATCAGCATATAAAATTGGAACCAAATCCATCCACTGGTATTTGAGTTATCAATGATTACGTTTTTTTTACGAAAAATGGTGGCCATTTTGAAATTCAGTGGCCATCTTAAAAAAGTCTTCTTGAGCAGAACTTCTTTGTCTCCAGGCATCAGCACATAGAATTTGAACCAAAATCTGCACCAAATCCATTCAATGGTATTTCAGTTATCAAAGATAACATTTTTAACAAAAAAAAAATGGCCACCATTTTGAAATATGGTGGCCATCTTGAAAATGTCTTCTCGAGCAAGGCCCCTTTGTACCCAGGCAACAGCATATAAATTTGAACCAAATCCATCCGCTAGTATTTGAGTTATAAAAGATTATAATTTTCCAAAAAAATGGCCGCCATTTTTAATTAAGCGACCATTTTGAAAATTCCTTCTCGAGCAGAGGTCCTTCACCCATAAGGCTTAAGCCGATAAAGTTTGAATGAAATCCGTCAACCGGTACTTGAGCTATTGCCCGGACACACAAATGGACGGACGAACGGCTTCTCTATATCCCCCTCGAACTTTGTAAGGTGGGATAATAACCTATATATTTGAAGACTAAAAACAAATTCTCTACCATTTCTAAAACACTCAGACTTTTAATAAAGACCTCTGTTTGCGATCCTTACCTACATACCAGCCTTTGTTTTGTGAGTCTTCATAATTGGCTACCCATTTCTCATTCCAGGAGTGGCCAAAGTCGACAATGAGAACCAACTGAATAAGGATGAAGAGAAAGCCTCCTATCATCCCAAATACCATCCACACTGAAACACATTTACAAAGTTTCATTATTAGACTACAAGTATTAAGTCTTAAAATATTTGCTTCAACTTAATAGCTTAACTTTATGTTCTTTATCTTGGTTATAGTTTGGTGATGGTGAAAGGATCTGGTCAACATGATATTAGATTCCAGGAGTTCTTTATATTTCAATACAAGTAGCTATTTGAAGAAATCATCCAATTTACAAAAGTTATGAAAAACTGAACACATTGTGTCCTTAGAACTCACCCTGGTCAAAGCTGACTTGGTTCATACCACCAGGTCGTGGGATGTAGAAGGCGCCAATAATGATACCAACCAGTATGACAAACTTGAAAAACCAAAAACTGGAAAAAATTGTTGAAACATGTACTCATAATCATGCCATTTTCCAGTAAGGAAATCTAAATGGTGAGTATGTATTATCAAATTTTAAAGGCAATCAGTGAATTATTTTCTAAGCCTTGATATTTACAAAAAGAAAGTTTATATCAAAGTCAGTATCAACAGTGCAGAATTTCGTGATCTTTTTTGAAATTTTGGAATAATATGGGACTAGAACAATATAGTTTACAAGAAGTCTCATAGAAACAGTTTCCATAAAAATCCAGATACAAAATTTGATAGTCTTGTGCTACTTACCCATTCTGTATTTTGGCTCTTGGATCTTTCGAAGAGCTAACTTTGACCATAATGATCGTTAGTAACAGGAAAAACATTGCCATTCCAAAACATGTTCTGTATACAGCGAGATGCCCAACAACATAATCACAGTTCAAAAGTCTGGTCTTTTCATTATTAAACCATATCGGGTTACATAAACCAGGTACCTACAATAAACAATACACACAGTGAGAAATATTGCACGTTCAAGAGCGACATGTTTGCCATGTAATTTACCCAGCCTATCCAAAATCTCATCAGACCTTGGCATAAGTGTGCTCTTACATCTAGAAGTTTTATTTAAATTTTGATGACAAGATGTATTTGGCGACCACCTACCCATCCAGCAGCATAAGCTGACATCAATATACATGTATATCAAAAGCTTCCTTCAATGGAAACTGGTAGAAGACGATACTCCTTCACACCAGCAGCAGCTCAATGGTTGACTAAATATGCTTCTATTCGGGTATATTCTAACAACTAATTCATCTTGAAATATTGACTCAGGGCACAACCAATCGGCAAATACAGAAATGTCTAGACCTACCTTGTCCAAACTGTCTCGTATTGATGGTATCAGCATCAATGCTGATGTAATAGTTCCCAACAAGAGGAACAGAGAGTAGACAATGCGGGTTGAGGTAGAATTTTTACAACCTGGACATGCTGCACAACACAAACTGCAGGCTGCACTGCCAAAACAGCATGCAAGCTGAAAATAAAATACAAAAGCAATGTTCATTTTTTTAATTTGTTTATTTGTATAACTTTTGAAGTTGTTGCCAAAGCCAACATTGACCAGTGGAAAGACTCCTCAGTACTCAAGAGAGACATGTGGGAAAGACCAGTGCCAAAATAAAATATATACTACACTGTACTCATTGATGTGTGCTCGTTTTGTACAAGAATTATTCAAGGGTGAAGTTGCATTCAAGTAGGAATTTGACAGCCTAATGTTCATTTTGTCAGAATCCCTAACCCATCCTCCATGGGTGTTTCACAGGATCTCCTGCAAACCTTTAAATGGTGCACTACAGTCGATTTCAACAGGGTTGTGCATCAATAAAACCGGGTACTAGGAACATGAAGCATGAAATGAGTTGTAGTCTCAAACAAAAATGAAAATTGTTCAATTTGTATATCTGGTAATGGTATTGTATCAATTGATTGATAAAGACATATAAATTATGGTATAATACATATTATAGTTGTGTAAGTGGTGAAATGTTATTTTAAAATGGATTGTTGTAGAATTGTTTTTGAGACTATGCACAATTATTTTCAAAAATGGTGGACATTTAACATGTGGAAATCACTTCAAATTTTTAAGATCCCAATGGTCATTATGGACACAAATTCCACCATATTTATATTTCCCAGAACGGAGAAAATATAGTACTTAATTCCCTGAGGTAAGAATTTATCATATGTGCGACAGAATGTCTTTTTAAAACTGATAGTAATTATTTATGGATCTGACTGTACACAATTATCTGGGTTTATCGGCAGCATCATGGGCTTTCAACTAGAAGGGTAGGCAACTTCCCATATTTCATACATAAACATTGCCTTTGGGTTTTCAAAATTGGAGAATGTACACATTCCCAGAAAATCTTATTTTGTACTTTTTATGGATGATTAAGAGAAATAAATCAAAAATAAAAACGTGATTATCTACATTTTTGTTGATAATTCAATAAAAAATGGAATTCATCATTATCATGACAATACAGAGAGTGAACATTCTCCCACAAATTATGTTTTTATTGGAATGTGTTCTTGAATAATTACCCACAATGCAATACTTGAAGAGAACATCTTGATACCTCTTATTCTTATTTGTCTTTTTTGTTTACTTTTACATGAGATTGAATATATTTTATGCTTTAATCCTATTGAAAATTTATTTTTAATTAAAATAATAATAAAACATTATACATTTATCTAATACTTTTTGAAATATTTCCATAAAAGGGAAGCATGGCATTGCTCATTTTGAAGGTCTCATGTTATTACACAGTGTTGCATACCCTTCTAATTATTGAAAGCCCATGGCAGCATGGAACATTTTTCTTTTTCATCGAGAGAGATTCCATCACTTTTCAAGATGGCGATTGGATTTAAAATGGGATTACCCATTTGACTGTACCAATAAATGGAGAAATTTGATGGTTGAAATAAGTTCAATATTACACGCAAATATTTTGATCAAAAACGAAAATTTCTTTGTTCTGCAGATAAACCCAGATAATTCTAGATTCAACTACACCACGTTGTAATCGTACAGGCAAAAGATTGAGACGTTCTCAGGACTAATGTCCTCGCTCGGGATAAATTGTCTTTGTTTCCAGTTGATCCCCAAATATCCATTTTAAAAAAAAGACAAAATGCTAACGCCTTGTACAAGACTATTTCTAAAGCTATTCAATCCAATATTATGTAACAATAATATAAGATCGATAAAAATATCACATTGATAAAATATTTGTCAATTAAAATAACATGTGACTCATTGTCATATCGACGTCTCTGATCATGTAAAAAAGAAACACAAATGACAAAACAATCATAATCAAATTTATCTAGATATCTAACCTATAAAAACACAAAGTTATCGAATGTACAAAATTACTTACACCTCCCAGGACACATCCCATGGCTTCTTTACTATCTTATCTTGTTGAAGATAGATCAAATACAAGGAAATACGTAGAATAACTGTATAAGAGAGATAAAACGTAGCTCTTTCTTTGGAAAATAAAATGGCGAAATCAGGAAGTAAACATGACATCACGTGACCATCCTGAACACACCCCACAGTTTTAACACTGAGAATGCGACTCTTCTTTATTCTATTTTTTCTCACGTACAACAAAACATGTGTGCAAAATTTAAATCTTTTTTAGTATTGTATTATTATTCCGAATCGAATGGACATAGTTTAGGTCTGGATCAATACTTTTAAAGATTATAAAACTGTGGTGACATTGTGAGTTCAAGTCTCAAGCATTCTCGAACGAACTCTCGCTTGGAGTAAAATTTTATTTTTGACAGGTTTATGCTGTTTGTCATACCAATAGGAATTGTATCTGTAATAAACGGTCAGTATTAATATTTTTCTTTTATACTCAATCATTTATAGGATGAAGAAAATAATGTGACTTTCACACATACATAAATGTTTGGGAGTACTTTGAATCACATGTATCAGTATCAACACTAGTCCAAAAACATTAGACCTAGACTAGCCTGGGCCTCGTTTCTTATCTGACATGTCTTATGGCCCCGGCTAGGTCTAACTTCCATGATGATTTTGCCCTTGATGCGATCATTTAATCGTTCAGCAGGTTTCGACATGCGGAACTAATTAAACTCCGAAAACATGGTAATATTACATAAAGAATGTGATTCAAGCATGCATACATACCTTATAAATACATAAACACCATCCCGTACCCCCCTTAGACTTACTCCCGTCGAGAGCTACTTAGATTTTGAAAGTATAGCTCTCTATCGCTAGGATCAACAGCTTGAGAATCCTGACTTCAAAGAAAATTTCAGGGAATTCAGCTGACTCATGTTGCACATTATATACCTGAAAATGTATCCTACATCGCCATCTTTCATTCAGCTCAACTATAGAACGTCTCACTGCCCTATGTATCGATCAGGACTTCATTTTATTGGTCGTGTCAAAAGTTTTGGCCAGGTATATTCAATATGGCGGCTTGACGTTTCCCAAGTTACGCATGCGTCGATAGTATTTCCGTTTAACCGCCATATTGGAAATGGGTATCGAACAAAAAACGATTAGAACTCCTGATCGCCATAGAAGCACATCCGCGATCCTACATGCACGGGGAAAGTAGACACATATGAGCCCATATGTAGGCTACAGTTTGAGACAAACAGCAAGCCGTTGACTGGCGCTGATCAAATTAAGATGTTACAATTCTTCAGCTGGGAGATCCTCACGATGGAGAGCTATACTTTCAAAATCTAACATGGTAGCTCTCGACGTGAGTAACCTTAGACCATATTGATGCATAATTACGAAAATATTGGAGACAGGTTTGGAATTTTACGAAAATATCGGTCAGCTCCGGTAACATCGAAATTGCAAATCGTATCAGGAATTAACCGTCATTGCGACACTGCATCAACGAACAGTAGGTTTGCAATTAATAACGATTTTGTGTGTATACAAGCGCTATATAAATCAATCAAAGATACCTGCTATCCTCAAAAATGGCTATTTTATCCCGAGTAATCGCGTGATAATTATCAATCTATTTGACAACAATTTCGTTTCAATAGTTTAAATTTTAACCCGGGACGAACAGACACAATGAAGGACATGCGGAAATGTCATTTTAGAGATTGGTAAGTTTAACCTCATTTTACTTGTATAAATGACCATTTAATACAATAATATTGTGTTGAATCGCTTGATGTTATGTGTTTTTATATTGTTGTCAAGTATCAGTTGCATGTTATCGCGGAAAAATGGTTTCGGTGGATCCAAAACTTGCATCAATGGAAAGAATAGTAAGGAGGTTAAACTCAATAATGGCCCCAAGAAAATTCTTAATAATAAATAACGCCGTTATTGAGTTTAACGACGTTGAACTATATCAACACCTGACATCTAGATCTATTGCCAAACCTGAAATAGAATGAGCTTCTATTCGAATATAGTTCGGAGTAGGGATACCAGCGGTTACCGTTGGTTATTTGGTTTCCTGTATAAAAATACCTTCTCTCCTTTTCCGGCCCGTCGCAGCACCATCTAGTGTTTGATAAATGAATCAATGTTTATTCTCGATAGGGTAGGTACTAATCTATCAGGAAATATTTTCAAGTTTGGTTAGAAACAGAATTTTTAGAGATGGCGGAGTGATTTTCGAGACTATGTAGAGCAGAATAATTTTCTGAAACAGGTAGCTTTACAGTGGTAGCTCTCTCCAGATTCAGTTATCTCAAAAACGGTGTGGTCACCGTATCATTATTTTGTAACGGCAAGCTAGACAAGACTCCAATGAACACTAGGCACTGTTTCGCTGAGCTAGATCTGTGCCCATGAATATATTATGACATGAAACGTTATAATGGTCCTCAATGGGATTTTTAACTGCAATCTTGACCCTATTATTAATAAGTGTTTTATCTTTAGGCCTATAGCATAGCCAGCACCATCTAAGATTTTCGACATCTAAACAGTCACTCGACTTTTTTGCAAAAAACCTTCCAAAAAGTAACAGTCGCATGAATTCACATTGTCGTACTTACAAAATGATCCAACGCCTAACTTATGCACCATCGAACTCAGTAATATTGTACACATAACTATTAATTACCGTATATTCCCATAGAAAACTGGGCTCGCTTTTCAACATTTCAAGCGAAAATTCTCTACGGAGCTTTTGTTTTTCTGACGTAATTTCTTCTAAGAAATCGGTGACGTGATAGGTTCAGTTCATCTTATTTCGAAAAGGGTGTCATCTATTTAGAATATTTATTTTCATCTAATCCAGTCCTATATACAACCTGCCCTTATCCTTTTCGCTTGTAAAACCGCGTAGTAATGTTGAAATTATGGAATAGATTCTTTGAGAGTGGCGACATGTCTGCATCTCTATACCATCTTGCGTTTGATACCCCTCGTTTTGGGCGAGTCCAAGTAAACCGCACATCCGGGTGATTAGAAAAGGGACATTTTTAAAAAAAATCGAGGGGCAACAAAGATACTTCTGGTCAAACTGAGTTTATGACGAAACTTATGAAAGAATCAATAAAAGGTAAGTGGTATACATTAGGCGGATGCCAAAAATTAAACGTGGCGCCAGTTTGAAACTTCAGAATGCTTTCTGTGATTCAAAATCACAAAAAAGTCAAGTGACTTTTTAGATGTTGAAAATCTTAATATTTACTGTATTGAAAGTTGTCTGCATTTCGATTTTGAACTCTGAAGGCTTGGGGAGTTCAGAGATTTATTGTAAACTGAAAGAGTGAAGATGAAGCTCTCTTTTTAGAAGCGAAGTCGAACGAATGCAAAGGGTAAATTACTAATACCTTAATTGAATCTGCATAGTATGGCTCCTTAGAGGATAATAGAGGGTTTAAGCTTGTATATAAAATCGAAACGACAATGTACAAATGTATATGCATCAATCCCCCATACACAAATTCTTGTAGCTTTCTCACATAAAATAACCATTTTAACTTCAGTGTTTGTTTAGACTACACCGCATTCCATTGATAGTACCATAGCTGGTTTTCTAATCGAGTTGGTTTCATGAGGTATTTGGAGCTAAAACATGCATGACATACATCATCTTCTTCAAAAATAATTCTACTGTATATCGAAATCAAAATTACCAGCATAGTATTCAGTAGACACAAGTATAATGATTCCTGTAGACACTAGGGGTGAAACAAATACTTGAATATTCAAGTGCAAATAGGTTTGAGATGATATTCAAATGGCATTTGTGGTATTCAAATATTTTGAAGATTGACTGCGCATGCACACTGATAAAGTTTCCCGCTTCTACAAAGGCATTTCTAAGGCAATCCAGTCACTCACCTCAAGAGTCCTCTACACAGGCAAATTACATCGAACCCCGTACAAGCTGGTATGAGGATCGATCCCCGTACTTTTTCGTATGGTACCCGTAACGAACACCGTAATAAATTGTAATTTTCAATTCCCCTACTTGCTTGTACAGTGCCTGTAATGAGGCCTGTAATAGCTTGTAGTTTTCTAGGCTTGTACTTACTTGTATGATGCCTGTAACAAGGCTCATAATAGCATGTAATTTTTGAACACTGTATTTGCCCGTATGGAGCTCGTAGAAAACAACAATTACGAGGCTTGTACAGGGTCCGATGTAATTTGCATGTGTACAGCTCTTATGTAAGTGAAACGATGTCAGAAAAAAAATATATTTACAAATTTTTCATGACTCTCATGCTTTGAGTCAATACACAAAACTAGCTAACTATGAAAATTAGTTGCGCATATGCAACTTTCAGATTTCCTGTTTCAAACACGAACCTATGAAGGTGAACAGGTATCTGAAGTAGACTAAAGTGCATATAAAACTTTGTGCGCTCGACACATTTCTATATTGATTCATGTACTTTCTGTTTGCGCTTACATTGTGAAAAACATTGCAAGCTTAAACCCCGGCTTAAACTCTTTAATGTGTATCAAAGTTGTTCAGAAATAACTTGCTTTGATGGTAAAAAATGTCAAGATGTACCAATCTAATAATTCTTCCATATCTTCATTTTTGAAGAACTTGATGCATGAGCATCATACAGTACCTTGACAAAAAATGCTGTTTCTTTCTAACTCAAAGGTTGATGCTGTATGAATGATGTATGTCCCTAGTTGCTCCATCAAATATTCATGAGAAAAATCGAGAAAATCCCATCATTTAGACAAAGTTATTCCAACAATGAATGGCTGCATTTTACACAATGGCTTACAAAATTGAAGGCCTGCATTTTTGTGGTCACCATATCTATAGTTTTTTAAAATTATCATTTATGCTTTTTATGATGACTATTTTTGCTTTACAGGATAGATATCACATGACTGTTACAAGATGGGTTTAGCTAACAGTAAACAAGAGGCATTTTGGGAAGCATGTGGCTTTGGTCACAAAGAGCGTGTGAAAAAATTCCTTGAGGAAGGTGTGGATGTCAACTGGGTGTCATATACGGTAAGTTTTATTCTGGAAATTGAAGATGGAATCTGTACTCCCACAATAAGACCTGAGAACTACATTGTACATAGAATGCTGACCAATAAATTATTTTCCTAATCTATCTGTGTCTATCTTTCTATTTATTGTAATGAGTATGAATGAAATGTCCCTTGGTGTTCTAATCCTGGATTGTGATATTGGCTCGATTGGAGGGGGAAGGGGGGTGTTAGACATTATTTATTTTCACATTAGATCATGTTTTTGGATTATATAGAGTCTATCTTTCTTATGAGAGGTTTACACATAGAGTTTGCTTTTCTTGCTAGGTTTCTTTAACCCTTTGGCACTTGTGCTTAGATATTTCTTTTGGTCAGTTGGTTGGTTTAATCATTGTCTCTATGTCAATCTGTCCATCTGTCTGTTGTCAACACTACCATTTGTGTGAATGGTTTTTATGGTGGTCCATACTGGTAATTTACTCCAACTAGTTAAATGTTTTGGAGGAATAGACTTTTTCACCTAGAGAGCCCATTGAATTGAGCCATTTCTATTTAACTGGCATTTGGTGTTTGACATTAAGCATTCAGATTGCGACCAGGTAGTGATATTCTCTGCCTTCTATATTTACATTCTTTACATCAACAATGTTTTTCATTACTGTTAAATTTTAATGCTGGTATTACAATCATGCTTTTCTTTCAATAACAAAAATATAGATTCATGTAGATTTCTGAATCATTAAATTTATTCAAAGCAACAACATTTGAGCTTTAAATATATTTTTTATGTACTTTGCATTTTCTGTGATTATGGTGCCTTTTTATTTCTTTTTATCTTCACAAGCATACCAGCAATCTGCATGCTCATCCCGGCAATCCGAGCGATCACTTTCATCTCCACTGCTGCAGCGATCTTCAAATTCCTCATCACATCCCGTTTTACATGGATCAGAATCAGAAGGCTCGTCGTAATCATACCCTTTGCTTGTTGAAATTAGCCCTGCCATGAGAACTACAGCCAGAAGAATTGCCACACACTTCATGTTGTCCTAAATAAGATATAAATACTCTGTCATTTGTATATGTGAGAGATGTCTTTTTTACATTCTGATACTCAGATCATCTTTGCCTTCTAGAAAGATACGTATAGAATGCAGTGATCTCTACAATTACTTTTGACAATGACTGGACAGACCATTCAATCTTGGTGTCGCGGAAAACATTTTATCACACCACCAATGGCAGTGAGATAGTTATCTTGTGATAGTGTCCTAATTTTTGTCATTGTAATTCTCAGAAAACTATCAGATTAACATTTAAATTGTTCTGATGTTATAGGATACCAAATTGTAGAGCTGATAACTATTGGGTGGCAATCTAAGATTCTGTTGGCAATTTTGGAAGTTTTTCCATAAATCTTGTCATTATGATTGAGGAAACTGCTCGCCAGATTTTCTTTTTGAACCCACATTGGAGGTGAACCTTTTGAGTGGCCATCTTAAATTCTTTCATCTTTTTCTATAAGTATTGTCCTTGTGATTCCAGATTTTAGATGAGATCAAGCTGTAGAACTGATTATTTTTATGTGGCCATCTTGGATTCTGGTGGCCATTTTAGAAGTAGATTTTAAATCCAGGATTTTAAAAGTAGACTGTTAATGTTAGACATATCTGCATATAGATGGTATGAATTTCAAGAGTGAATGAAAGGGAGAACAACATACATGTATCACGCCCGGTGATCGTACAAAAATGATAGAGGGGGGATTAGGCGATTTCTTTGGAAGATTTATTTTTTCAAGAGAAAATTTACAACTGAATTGCCAAATGAATAAGCGCAGTGCATGGCAAAATATGTTAGGTCATCTAGTATTTTTTTGAACTGATACCCTTCTAAGATATGAGATCTATTAAAAAAGGCGCATCATCACCAACGTGCAAAAGTCAATGTTTTTGCTATAAATCGGGCAACAATGGTCTACACAACCTGTAATGAATAGGTATAAGGGACGTTATTATCACAATACTTATGACATTGCTCACTTTTTAAAGTTAGTTTCCCTGCGTTATACAAAAAAATAATCGAAATGAATTAATTTAGGATGGAGGGGGGATCGGATGGAGGAACCCCCATCATTTTTGTACAACCACTGGGCGTGGTATAGACATTTAAGTATGTTTTCTCTGTTTACCACTTTAAGTCTGAAGTAATGTCGCCTGTTGATTTATAAATTGGTGAAGTTATTCAGAATTAGAAGTACGTACATGTACAAATATTGGGGGAAAGTGTTTAAATTCTCCAAAAAAAGAAAAATGATAACCATAGAAATCAAAAAATAATACATTATTTTAAGATCTTTAATTTTCCTGGAATAAAGAGAATAGACATGGCAAGGAGTGATATTAGTCAAAAATATTCTAAAATTGAAAATGTTTTTGTTTAGCTTGCTCGCTAGATCTGATTCTTTAGATTGAAATAAAATATTCCTACCTTAGATTTTCAAGATGTTGTAATTGTTGTATGTATTGGAATGTGCAATATAGAAATTCAGATTTTCATGCTTTTTTATAATACCTCCAGGACCTCGTTATGTGAACAAAGCATCTGGTTTTAAATTTATATAATTAACCATGGATTATTAAACTGCTTATTTGCTAAAAATGTAATAGTCTCAATTTGTTTATCTTTCAGTTTTCAGTAACAAGCTCGTAATATGATTCTTTTAGAACCATCCCCAAGCCATAAAATATCTCCTTTTGACGGCGGTTGGCTGTAACTGTAACAAATTCTTACAACTTCAAATAACTTTAACAAATGCTGTTTAGACTGAGTTCAATTTTTCTAAATCATCTACAAGTTTTCAGAAGTTTTCAGACTTTACATTTAAGATTTGACCTTCAATGAGCTTTTCAAGATCAAAAAGGTTAAAAAAAGGTCAGAAAGTTTTTTTTCAACTTGCTTCAAATTGACCAAATATTTTTTCAAAATCATCTACAAGTTATCAGAAGTTCAAATCTGTCTTTAGAATTAAGATTTGACCTTCAATGGCCTTCTCAAGGTCAAAGAAAAGTCAAAAAGGTATTTTTTCAACTTGCTTCAAATTTACCAATTCTTTTTCAAAATCATATACAAGTTCTCAAAAGTTCAAATCTGGCTATAGATTTGACCTTCAATGACATTCTCAAAGTAAAAAAAGATTTGACCTTTAATGACCTTCTCAAGGTCAAAAGGGTCTTTTTTACCACAGGTTTATGAAAATGATAATTGTTTAACATATTCTTCAAATAGCTAAGAATACAATAATCATTTTTACTGATACAGACCATAGACTACCAATCTTTTATATTAAAAAAATTAAAAAATTAGCAAGTGGTTTGCATAAGGTATAGCAATATAAAACATATTTGGGCATAGTTGACCCCATGTTTTACCATTATTGCAGCATGACTCCTGTGCAATCCATGTGGCATCCCAAGGCAAGGTGGAAATTGTAGATATGCTTATCAAAGCTAATTGTGATGTCAATGTCAAAGACGAGGTAAGCAATTAATTACATATTTTTAATGTAGCTTTATTAAAGAATGAACTCATATTTTGCTATTTAAATATGTTCTTTGCTAGCATCTCTTCATCTTATTTTGCACATATAGTCTATAGTTAGGTCCCATGTGATTCCTAGAAACTACCACATAAACCTTATCAGACTGTGTAGGGAAGCAAATGCCTACTCTTTGAACTTATCTTCTTTATGTTTGTAGCGTGGTTGTCTTGCCTTGCACCATGCTGCTATGAATGGCTATGCTGACATCATGAAGATGCTTATAGAGGCTGGCTCAGAGATAGATACACAAGACAAGGTAAGTGATATATATATTCTTTTATTGACTCTTATATATGTCAGTCTCTCCGACACATGGGTCACTATACAGTTATTTACATGTGTTTTATATACAAATATACAGTCATAAGCAAAATGGAAAAATACAAAATCATTACATCATGATTCTAATGTAGTGGAAACACCTTTTCAAATAGGCTTGACAAACATGATTGCTACAAAATGTACATTCTATGATACAAAATAAATTTACAAATATTTACAAACTGATACAATGTTAGAGACTAGATATGAATGCTCTTACATTGTTACAATCTATGAGGAATTTGGCAAAATGATAGACCAATGAGTGATACAACACTGTATAGTTAGATGTACCATAAATTAAACAACCCAGATACATCCATGGTATACCAATGATACAATGCTGATACAACCAAATTACTTTAAAACACATTGGATTTACTGATTTTACTTGTTTCTTTTCACATATTCATGTTTTCGCAATGTACCACAGATCACTAAATTACTGGCGTTTTTCAAAGGTAAATATATGGGCGAATTGGATGAAATATGAATTATGTCCAACTACATAACAGAATGTCATACCTCAGTGTATTCCTTATGCATTTTTTGAGCGGCTGAATATGTTTTAGTAGGTTAATTGACATACATACATTAGGGGTCCCACAACACAAGAGATTGAATATCAATACGTATCTACGATACTGACCACATGATACGATATGATACGATACAATAAACTTAAATTTTGAGTATTTAATGAAAAAATCATATCTACTTGTATCTAGTTCATTGAACAAAACCAAAACATTTTTCAAATAGAATTTTTTGGAAGGAAGGGGTAAATCTGAAATACATTTTGGGATTAAACATTAAAATTTCAATTCGTTCATGTTTGTGCTGGGATCGATCAAGTCTGCTAGCATTATTGGTTTGTGTCTCATCAAATGGAGAGACCACTGCTATATGTGTGTTAAAGCAGATATGAAATGGTATTTTCAACCTAAAAGGAATCAATATAATTTTTTGATAGATGTATTTGGACATGTTTTCTCATCAGTAGTGTGGAAATTATTTTACTCTAACGATCGTTATTAGCTGCTTAATAAGCAATATTCGAATTGGTTGTGACGTTATTGGCCCCCACGTGATCTCTCACTGGTCCCCACATGTTTTGTTATTAGTTTACACAACAACCCTATGGTTGCCGTGACGTTGTGATTACTAAGAAACCAATAAACCAAAGCTATATTTTGTATATGACGTTACTAATCACGTGGGGGCCAATTTGATGAATCAGTTAGTTTTATTTCGTTATCTATGACCGTTAGCAGTTATCTAACATTTATTTTATAATGGCTATCGCAAAAACTCTACGTTGGGCTTACAATGGAGAAAACCGCGTTTTTGTAGCTGCAAGTTGAGAAAAGTTATTTCAGTTGTCCTTTAACTGAAGTTACTTTTATTCTTAGAATGGTTGGACCCCTCTACATAGTGCAGCTTATTGGTCACACATAGATGCAGTTAATGTGCTAATTGAAAAGGGCTGTGATGTCAAACTGAAAAATAAGGTTAGTTCATATTACATTGATTATTTCTGGCTTTGGACAACAATTTCTTGTAATATTATATAGTTGATGACTATAACATAATGTAATAATTAAGGAGATTTTAAGTCCCATTTTACTGCATATTTGCATTATATAATAATTTATACATGGCTATTATTTCCATGTTATAAACACATTCATCACATGTTATGGAGATTGATGATGGAGCTTTAGTTATTATGAAAACGAATAAAGGGTGGAGTATTTTGGGTAAGGATTGGTTAGCTGTTCAAATTGCTAATATTTAAGTGACCTGGGAAACTAGAATGTTCACTGGCGGATCCAGGGGGGGTCCATGGGACCCGGAGATCAGCCTAGAAAAAAAATTTGGCCCAAAAATTTTTAGGTCTCAATTAGTGGGCCTTTTTGGGCATTAGTTGGACTTTTTTTTTTGGTTTTATTTATTAATTTTAGGCCAAATTATTTTTCTGACTTGAAATGTGCCCCCTCCCTTTGTTAGCTTCCAGATCCGCCACTGATGTTATTGGCATAACGTAGCAAACCTGCTTTCATATCTTTTGTACAATACAAAATTTAATTTTAAAATTCATCGCATCTTTCTGTTTCACAGACACATTGCTGAGAGGAAATGAGATGTTATGGTTTATCATGATCCAAATATTTTTTCTAATATTGTTTCTAAATATCAGGTGTCCCAAAAAATGAGACACTTTTTGACAAGTATTTTCTCAGCAACTGATGAGCCAAATTTACTGAAAATTCGTAGCCCAAGAGTATAAGTAGCAAATTACAAAAATATGAAAAAGACCATTATCTGTGTTTTTGTGGATTGAACTGCAAAAATAAAGACAGTTCAATAAATAGAAAAATGTTCCACCCTGTATATGTTTATACATTGTATTTTTTATCTTCTAAAAATTGCTCCAAATACTTGATGGAGAACCTTTCAAAAGTTTCGATGCACCTCCCCTATATACCTGATATGTCTGCCAGGTGCAAGGTTGGGCTCAGCCGAGTGAGCACCTTTTGCAGTATACATCCCATCCACAATGTTATCCAAAGTGGAACACCTGCATTACACCATCCCCAAGGTTGGTGAATGTTCTCTATATATTTTAAAAGTTGTGTGAAAATTGACTATATCTATGATAAAAAGGGGAACTATTTTCTCAAAATGATACTGTCTTCATTTGCCCGCCGCAGTGTCTATTCCGAGACACTGCATGGGAGTTTGTTAGAAATTATGAACTTTGAATGATGGTTCCAAATGAAGTTAAAATGTAAAAAAGCTTTGGATAGGTTACTTAGCTGGTTAGAAAGTGCAAGTAGAAGTAGTCACTTCGTAATGAAGCCATTATGTTTCAAAATAAAGCAGAAAAGTAGGTTCTACCAACTTTGTTTTTTACTTAAAGCTATACAAAATATTTTAATCCCTATGGTGAGGTATGATAAAAAGAGGACTAAGAGCATGTATTACATGTATCTCAAAAACTGAACAACAGGTTTCTTCATTTTTGCACATCTGATAGTATAATTTTAAGAAAATAAAAATCATAGGTCACTAACTTTCTTTTTGTTATTGCACTATGAAATAAGGTGTGTTTTCATTTTTATCTAATATTTTGTGAAATTATGTAGCAAAGTATATGAAAAATGAATTCAAAATACTATTACTTGGTGTTAGTCATTCCATACATCCAATATATATGTTTATATTTATTTAATCCAAAAAATGTATTTTTCAAAAATCTGATATATGTACCAAACTTACATTGCCTAACTACATTGTTGCATGGAACATGTTTTACCACCCTACAGGCTAAGGGTTGTTATAGTTAAGAGAAAATCAATGTTGACTCAAGATATTTAAATTGAAAATTGACTCATTTGTGTGAACCCGAAAACCTAAAAACTAAATATATACAATGTACATTATGACTAAATGGCTATAATACTATTGGTTCATGTTACTAAATTTTGAAGATATTCACTAAAGAGAGTATTCCCTGAATTATGAATTATGGAACTCTGTGTGATTTTAATTTATTTAGTAAACAGAATATTTTTGGTTGAATTGAAATAAAATCATGTATGTTTTAATCTGTAGTATATTGAATTCTGATTCTGCTATTGAATATCATGTTTAAAGTAAATAGAGGATGAATGAGGAATTAACAATCCACAATACAAATACAAATATTAAAGTGTACAGTTCAGTGTTTATATATACACAAGGAATAAATGAACGACTCTATGATGAGAATTGATTTTGCAGGTTTCTCTATACATTGAAAAGGTAAATGAAATATGTGGAGGAAAGGCTTAAATGTACATGTATATGTAATAGCAGGAGCTATAATTGGAGTTTATACAATATTATTTAATGAGATGAAAAAGCTGGAGCTGAATTTGAATAATATTAATGCACTGCTTGAGACTAAATTTGACAGCATATCATTCCATTGTACTGAAATTCAAAAGGAAATAAGAAAAACTTCGTGGAAAAATATTTCTGATAATTCCAAGACAGCTTGGCGACGTTTAGGCTGTCAGAAAAACATAACCCATCCAGGAGAACTTATTGGACAACCATTTAGACATTTTGAAGGTCATAATTTGTCTTTATCGAATCATATATCTGGTGTTAATCTGGTAAGATACATGGAGCTGGCATATCCTATGTCTACTGAGAAATACAGTGTGGATATTGGTGCAGCTGGAGCATCCGATGCCACTGACCTCATGGCTAGGGGATGGAAAGGTTTTCAATCAGATGGACGTTTTGACCAAGAATATCTTAGTCAACACATTAACCAGACAAATAGAATTATTGTTCCGGAAAATGTACACAATGTTTTAAAAATCTTCAGTATTCCAAAAAGAATCGGACTCATGAAGGTAGATATTGATTCTTATGACTGGGATGTTCTTAAAGCATTTTTAGATGCTGGTGTCTATGCAGATATATACAGTTTGGAATTCAATCCTGTATTTCCTCCAAACGTCCACTATCATATGAATTATTCAACAGATTTTGTTTGGACATTTACAGCAAGTCGACCCTTGGAAAAACAGATATTATATGGTGCATCCCTCAGGGCTTGGCACGATTTGTTAGCTCCCCGAGGGTATACTCTTATAGATGCAGACTGGTACAATGCTTTCTTTGTAAGGGACAAATATGCTGATATTTTTGGTCCCATACCAACAGATTTAGATACAGTATGGCGGGTTGGATGGTTTGAGCGTGCTGGTCGTCACACTCAAGAGGACTTAGTGACAAAGCATTGGCTTAATTACCCTAGGCAGGAAGTGTGGGCGACCATGGAAACATCTGAAATAATCAAAGAAATAAAACAAATCATGGAATAATTTTCCATAGATCTATTTAGTTCCCTACAGTGTATATAATAAAATACTTAGGAGAGATACATGTAATGCTATAGTGAGGAAAACATTTGACAATTTGATGAAAAGCATAGACACTGCTGCAGTATAAATTAAAATATAAAAAAAGTGCAAAAAACAATCTGTGCTGTGGGAAATTGAAAAGATTATATGAAAAATAACCGAAAAATAAAGATAAATTTCAACATGCAACTTCAACCTTCAAATCTTCAATCTTTAATCTAACAACATGTAGAAAAAGTGTAAGCGAATTATTATGAGGTTCAACCATCTCATGAAGCAAGCATAATGACTAAAGAGGGCCTCTAATGAATCAAAATGTTTAAAAGTTGTTTCAGACTTTTTCTTACAAAGTTGACTTTTTAATTTTGAATATTTGAATTTCAACCCTGGGTCCAGACTCTAGTTATAAACTAAGCTCTCTATAAAGAAGCGAAATTGATTGAATGCCAGGCCTGTAGCCAGAATTTGCCAAGGGGGTTTACTTTTTTGAAAATTTCAGGGGGTTCACTGGGGGGTTGACAATTTTGGTCCAAAAATGGCCAAAATCACTTGGAAAGTGCTCAGAATGGTCAGAATCACAGATTTTGAAGAATTTTTAGCCAGGAGGGAGGAAGTTTTGCTTGAACCTATTGATCTCCCCTGGCTACGGGCTTGAATGCAAAGGGTATTGAATTTTCCACTATTTTGAAACAAACTTCTTGATTTTTTGAGTTGGGATATAGAGGGATAATATACCTCCATTTGTTTGCCTGTCCATTAATCCATCCATTAGTATATCTTGACAATAACTTAGTACTGGTTGTTCCATTTCTTTTAAATGTATAGGCTGATGCCTTATGTGAATAGACCCTCTGTTGAATAGATCTAATTTGGATAAAAACATTTATTTAATGGCTGCTCAATTCAAAATGGTCACAAACCATCTTCCATTAGAATATCACAAGGTGGCCATGGCTCTGGAATTTCCAGTTTCTGGAAAAGACCTGTATCAGTACCTGTACTGTATTTAATTTTAAATTTTCAGTCATGGCCACTTTATATTAAATAGGATTTTACCTGTAAAGTCAAATTTCAAAGACCTGGATCAGTGTTATTAATGTTCTATTGATGTGCTAGGCCTGGTTGCCAACAACATTAAAGTTGTTAGTCAAGATTAGTTTGCTTAACATGTTTAATTCTCTCTAGTTGTTGGACTGGCCAGTGGAAATTCATACAGTAAAACCTGTATAAGTGGAACATCATTCTTGGTTCTTCTCAAAAGCCATCTAATTTGGAGATGTTCCACTTTCACAGATTTTACGCTCACTTGGATCTATAGAAACTCTGTTGACCAAATTGTTCACTCCAGACAAGCTCATTTAAAAAGGGAATACATGTTTAAACAACATCATCAGATTAACATTAAAAATTATAATGTTTCCAAAATATTTTAGTTAGATTTCTATAGTACAATGCAAGTTATATCTGAAAAATCAATTTTTTGAATATCTTGATAACATTATTAGGGACAAAAACAGTTGTAGTATATACAGCAGTGTATGTTGTATTGTAATTGTGTTTTTGTCAAACATTGCACCTGTATTTTTTGATTAGGAATTTTTGTGAATTTGATGAGGATCAGTCTTATACATCATGGTATAATGTACTTATAGTACTTACATGCGAACTGGTCATGTAATATTTGCAGGATGAGCGCACAGCATTACATGAGGCCACCAGAAGTCCTGAGTTTTCAAGGGAAGATGGCCTGAACCATATAATCACTGCCCTAGTTGAAGCGGGTTGTGAGATTGACCAGTACAGCAAGGATGAGTTTGAGGTTAGTTTCTTCGCTTAAATTCATTAATTTTAATCATTTTCAGTGTTGCTATTTTCTAAGAGCCTATGTCTTGTAGAAATTGTCAGAAATCAGCTAATTCAGTTTTTTATGATTTCTTTTCTCTAAGTGTTCTAGTCCAACAACATTAGACCTAGCCTGGGCCTCGTTTCTTATCTGACATGTCTTATGGCCCCGGCTAGGTCTAACTTCCATGATGATTTTGCCCTTGATGCGATCATTTAATCGTTCAGCAGGTTTCGACATGCGGAACTAATTAAACCGTAATTAGATGGTATCGTTACAGAAATAATGTGATCAACGCATGCATACATACCTTATGAATAAATACAAATCATCACATACCCCCCTGTAACCTCATCGATGTATAATTATGAAAATGTTGGGAGAAGGCTTTTTCTTAGTTTAGAAAACTCTGTTCTGGTTCCGGTAACATCGAAATGGCAAATCCTTTCAGGAATAAACCGCCGTTAGCAACACTGAACGAAACAAGTTCATAAAACGATACGAACCCCGGTTATCCTATATATAAGTACAAAATATTGTAATACTGTAGGATGCTTGCGATAAACATGATTAAGTTTCCTACTTTTTTTCCTGTTTTATTTTCAGAATTATGGTAAATTTCTGGCTAAAATGCTAAAGCTTTCAACATCTTTGGACAGACGCAAGCATGTGATACTGAATAATTAGATATTTTTCTTAACATGTTTAAATATATATTGTGCCAAAGTTTTCTCTCCCAGAAAGTCAGTGATTTCCCATTGTAATAACTCAGATGCGAGTAGGTAGTTACCAGTTTCACCACCAGGTGGCTCATTCAGGTCACATAGCATGACATAATTATGCAAATTAAAATAATGTAAAAGAAAATATTATCTGTCCAATACAAGAAAACATATTTCACTTTTTGTGACTTTATATGTTGAATCTCCCCGTAGTAGCATTTACATTTTCCAAAACAAAATTTTTTCAAAATTGATCAACAATATTTGAAGCAATATTTCTTGATGTACTTTTACATGTACATTTCAAATACTAGATAGTATGACATCATTTTGACTGAATGTTTAATGACGATCAAGTAAGGTTTTTTAACATGAGAGTAATGAGATCAAAAAAAGCTGAAAAGTGTTGATTTGAAAAAATCAGATTTGGAGGTATCGAGATAAATCAGGTGTGAAGTATAGGTTAAAAGTACATTTACTTGCTCCAATATCGTGATAAAACACATGTGTTTAACTTTTCTCTCATTGAGTAAACACCCTATGCAGACAGAGCCTGTGGGAAATATTGGGTGCGGAGCAAATGAGCGGAGGGTGCGGAGCTAACGGTTATTTTTGAATTTAAATTTGGGATATTTCTGAAACTAAGCCGTTTTGGGACTTCAAATATACCAAGATATGTGTATTTGACACCAAATATCAATACAATTGTGAAAATAGTAGCGCAATTCATTCTATAGCGACGCAATGTGCCTTAAACCTTTCCCAGACCTATATATTTTGAAATTATCCTTTTAATACTGAGTCCCCAGCATTCATAAAAAATGGTGTTCAAGGTGCACTATCTATACAAATTATTTTTGCATCTTGGAACCCAGGCAGTATCTGTGTGATTTTATAAAAATTCGGAAATGTTCTTCAGATATGAGCCCCTCTAAATATTGGGTGCGGAGCAGCTCCATAAACGTAGCTCCGCACCCAATATTTAGAGGGGCTCATATCTGAAGAACATTTCCGAATTTTTATAAAATCACACAGATACTGCCTGGCTTCCAAGATGCAAAAATAATTTGCATGGGTAGTGTATCTTGAACACCATTTTTTATGAATGCTGGGGACGCAGTATTAAAAGGATAGTCTCAAAATATATAGGTCTGGGAAATGTTTAAGGCATACTGCGTCGCTATAAAATGAATTGCACTACTATTTTCACAATTTTATTGATATTTGGTGTCAAATACACATATCTTGGTATATTTGAAGTCCCAAAACGGCTTAGTTTCAGAAATATCCCAATTTTAAATTCAAAAATGACCGTTAGCTCCGCACCCTCCGCTCATTTGCGCCGCACCCAATATTTCCCACAGGCTCTGTCTGCATAGGGTGGTAAATGAAATATCATTGTAGAAAAATATGTTTTATAAAATAGCATAAACAAAACTTCTGTTTAATTTTATTAAGAACATCATACATTTAAGAGCTAGGAATAAAACAACCATGCTTATACATCAGTGTTCTCCCCAAAAAAAAATTTCAACTGGGTGCAAGATTTCAAGTCTAAAAAAATCAGCACTCGCTACGCTCACAATATCTCAGTGTAGGTGCTTACTTCACTCATTCTTTAAATCAGAAGTTGAAGTGCAGATGCCAACTGGGGGGCCTTTGGTTTCAAGTAGGGGGAGCCCCCGATAAAAGTGACATGGGGAGATCACTGTACATGTAATCTTATCACAATACATCACCACATTGAAGTTATTAAAATGTAACAATTGTTACAAAGCATGTATGCTGAGTAAAATACATGATCCCAGTTATAAACAATTGAGTGTATTCCTAGGTACGTTTTTGCAAGCAGAAAACCATGAACAATTACCATAATTTAATATTTAGGCACAATTATTCAACACAATCACAATCTAGCACAATCAATGACATCTATATTTCTTTGAGCTGAAATTACCAGTAATCAAATGCATCAATAATGTTGCGAGTATTGCTTTTTAAAGTTTTTATAATAGAGTAAACTTGGGTGAATACACGCGCTGTTTGAATAAAGCAAAGATTCGTGTCATACTGGATGGTTATAATAAATATCAATATTGAAGAACAATTTCGTTTCGCTGACCAAGTTTACTTTGGCGACGCACAGACAGACATTGCCGGTTGAAATATTCGTCTCATAAATTGGTAAGAATAAGACTCATTTTACGATTAAAAATGAACATTTAACACAATAATATTATGTGAAATCGCCTGATGAAATGTGGTTTTATATTATTGTTAAGTATCAGTGTCATATTAGCGAGGAAAAGTGGTTTCGATAGATCCACAACTTGCATCAAAGGAAAGAATAGCATGGAGGTTAAACTCAATAATGGCCCCAAGAAAATTCCTAATAATAAAGAACGCCGTTATTGAGTTTAACGACGTTGAACTATAAGTGTTCATGTCATATGGAAGACAACAAGGATTTTGCAAGACCTTTATGAGTACTGAGTATGAGACAGATTTCTGGGTAGTTTCTATGGTTGTACATGGCCATTTTTACATGGAAAATCTACCCAGATTACTACAGATTATGATAGCAACTGATAAATAATGAAGGAGATCATTTACTCTCAATATTTCCCATGAGGAATGATCATTATTTTATAGAAGTGTGAATTATTAAGGTAGTTCCATATGCTCAGAAATTTATATGGCTTTGTAATTGGAGTCCTAAATTATTTTCTGGTACACATAACTAATTCCAAACACGGTGAACATTTCAGTTTTGCACAGATTTCATGAATATACCTGAATCGCAGGGGTGTCCCAAGGATTTTTCCAAGGGAGGGGTGTGGACATCTAAATAAAACAGAATCTCTCCATCAACATCTGCTAGCTTCTCCAACTCTTTTGCCAGATTTACACGGTTTTTTCCTCTGAGTCTCCTTCCCCTCAGCAACATGAATGAAATCCCTGGGGATTGCCTAAAAAAAAGGGGGGGGGGGTTGTGATCGCACCCAAAACACCCCCCCCCCCCTTGTGACACCCATGAATTCATAATGATATGTAACTTCAACAATCAACAGACTTGGAAATAAGATTTAATTTAAATAAGGTTTAGTTGAAATCCCATATTAGAAAGAAAGCACTAACATCTATTGGCTATATGGGGACGTGCTGCTAAAGTGGGTCACTTTTTCACAAAAAAAAATTAGATATGGCTCCCATTTGGAAGAAAAAAATCTAGATAAGTGTTCAATTTTGGTGAAAAAATCCCTAGAACTGGGTCTACTTTTTGAAAATCCTAAAACTCAGTATTGTTCTTAGAAAAAATTGCTGGTAGTGGGTCTTGTTTTTAAAAAATTACCTCACATTGAAATGGGTCCATTTTTAGATAAAAAATATCTTTATGTGGGTGGATATTTCATGTTCAAAAAGTTGACCAGTACCTCCTCCCCCTTCGGGAGAAGGACTGAATGAATGTTTATAAAAAATATTTTATTTTCTTAATAATTGCAAATAATAAGTCTCTCTCTAAACATTGAAATGTGTTTGGAAATATTGATGAAAAACACAAATTCCTTTTTCCCTTTAGGATTTAAAAAGGCTCCTTTGTTTTTTGGATATATAATTACCTCACATTTGTAAAATGTTTCAGACAAGTCCAATATTAAGCATATGCCCGTAGATATGACTGATTGTATTAGTTTTTTTCCAATTATCTACAACATACATGTGTATCTTTGTATAGTTATATTTTCATATTGATAGAGTTGACAAAAAAATGCTGGTTTCTAAAAAAATCAATTAAGGATATATAGAGATTATCCTATATGAGGTTCAGGATATTGGGATTATCCCGAGGCTAATATAATAAATTTGCCCAAGGGCCGCAGGTCCCGAGGGAAAATATATTATATTAGCCAAGGGATAATCCCAATATCCTGAACCGACTATAGGATAATATGTTTATCCCATACCAATCTTGGTCATCTGGTTCACATCATTTGTTCAATCGTTGAAATATTTTAGAATATGTCCAGTTTTGGGTGGGTGGTCCGTGGGTGGATTTTCCTGTTCTCTCAAATATTCCCACATTTATTTTCTCGAATTTTTGATTGATTACGTGGATGCTCCTTCCCTTTTTTAAACCATCAAACAAATCCCGATTATCTGTGTTTTCTCCATTGTCGTTTACAGTCATAACGCGAACGTTACAAATTATGAACAAATATGCAAGCGGTGATTATGACGTAGCAGGCAGATATACTATATCTGCCCGCTCGGAGCGGGACGTAAAGCTATATCTGCCCGCTGATGAAAATATAAGTTTTTACAAACTGGCTTTATGTACCTGTAACACGTCCAAGTATGGGATAAAACCAATTATTATGTTACTGTCATATTCCCCACTCTCTCATTGGTCTACACATTACATGTGACATAAAAGTAAGACATATTCAATGGCCATGCCTGTGACATCAGAAAAAAGGTCTATTCAACAGGTGTATTCAAATATTTCATACTATTTTTGGTGAATACCTGTTGCACTTTCAGTGAATCCGCAAGGTGTTTTCCTCGGTGTTTTCTCCTGGTCCTCGGGGCTTCGGTGAATACACATTGCTAGAATCATTGAAAGATGAACAGGTATTCACCTCAATAGAATGAGATATTTGTATAATATGATGAACAAGAAGTATCCCCAGGAATTTTCCAAGGGGTTGTGTTTATATCTAGATAAACTGTCTCCATCATCATAGCTTGGACTTAAACATAACTTTTTATGGTCTTCATTTTTTTTGACGGCAGATGGCGATCGGTGTCTGTAACAAATTCTTACAACTTCCAATAACTTAACAAATACTATTTTTTTCAAAATCATCTACATGTTTCAAGAAGTTCAAATCTGACTTTATATTTAAGATTTGACCTTTAATGACCTTTTCAGGGTCAAAAAGGTCTTTTCAACTTGCTTCAAATTTACCAATTTTTTTTTCGAATCATCTACAAGTTATCAGAAGTTCAAATCTGACTTTAGATTTGAGATTTGACCTTCAATGACCTTCTCAGGGTCAAAAAGGTATTTTTTCAACTTGCTTCAAATTGACCAATTTTTTTCAATCTCTTGATAAATTTATTTGGAGTCCAACTAAACATTGCAGTGAAATAAAATTTTGGAACAAGAAAAGTGTTACGCTTTGGATTCTATGCTAATTACACTCGAAAACATGGCTTATGCGTATACATTCTGGTCTCAAAGAAGAACTCATTCAGCAAATATACCTCATTCTGGCCTGGTGTGGAGTTATGTGTACCTGAAAATGACATGAGTCTCAATTAAGAAGCCATTTCAATTTCTGAATATACGGAACTACCTTAATTTGTGAAATAACTGATTCACCCTCTGGACTCTTTCCTTTTAGGGTGAGTTTACACCTCTGATGTTTGCAGCCTACCATGGTCACCCAGGTGTAATAAAGTCCCTGCTTGAAGAGGACTGTGATATATATGCTCAAGGAACAGTAAGTGACATTCACTTATGCTATTTGTGATTTTATGATTGGATCAGTTCCACATATTCAGTCAATGAGATCTAATGAAATCCAAACTTGCATATTGTAAATGCTACAAAATGGGACTGACAAAACTGAAGTATAGGCTCTAAGAAACATTGCTCTACTATCACATTAGTAATTCATCATCTACAATTATCAAATACTTATTCGGCAAACTGGTTTTGGGGGTTGGCCCAAAACATGGACCCTTACTGTATGGAACACACATCTACGAGGAACTATTTTGGCTAGTCCTGAGGGCATTTCTTGTAAGAAGGTTTTACTGTAGCTTCAAGTTTGATTGAACGTTAATTGATCATGTATATGATAGCAAAATATTTACAAGTCTACATTGTGTACGTAGTACTAGGTTGACCTTCACCAAACATGTGTCAACCCTGGCCTTCATTATTAAATAATGTTAAACATATTAGTATAAAAGATTCTCAAGGTTGATTGTGCTACAAACCAAACAAGAAACGCCTCACATTGAGAACCGTCTTATAGAATACACTATGATGCATAATACAAATCCTTCAAGATCGGTCCTTCACTTTCATAGCAGATCATGTAATGCAATGAATTACTCTTGGGCCAAGGATACATACTACATGCAATATACAAATAGTTGAGCAAACAAGGGACAAAAGAATGACTCTATTTGTCCAGTGGCTTTAGGATACAATAATGAGATAGTGTCAGGATTAAAGACATAATAGCATGAAAGAATTCTGCTTGTTGATTATAGTGCTTTAATGAACTTTTTAATCCAAAATATTATATTGATCTTAATCTTTTCTTATTTTCAGCGTAAATGGACAGCTTTACATTGGGCAGCTAATAGGGGTCATCCCAAGTGTGTTGAAATCTTATTAGCAGCTGGGGCTAATCCTAACACTCTTGGAGAGGTGAAACATTATTTTTATTGTTTCCTTTTTACCAGAGTTTTTACAAATGGTCATTTATTTAAAAGAAGGATACATCAAACATGTTGTTCATTTAATTTATAAATAAAGATAAAGCCACTCTGTTCAATTGATCAGTTAATACTTTTATATAAAAGCATAACCACAAGAACAATTTTGCATTTTAGATAACTAGAAAATCAAATTCCCATTCAGGTTTGAAATAAATATTTAACCCATTGTTTTTTCAGAGGGGAGAAAGTGCATTGGACAAGGCAAATTCAGCCCAAGTTAAACTCTTACTAGAAGAAGCAATGACTGAAGCCCGAGACTCAGTGTCAGTGCTGACACCTATTGATGAACGAGATGCAGTCTTGTGGCCAGACAGCTTGAATGCTTTTGTTAAGTCCAAAGATGACTTAGATGAGCCAGTAGATGAGGTTGAACAGACAATAGACAAGAATGATAACGATGACATTGTAAGGCACTCTGAACCAGATAGAACTATACACAGTGATGAAACAGCTAATGATGAATGTGCCAAAATAGTGAATGGAGGTGATCATGACACAATAGAAGATGAAAATAATAGGAACAATTTAGAAGACTCTAGTCATGCTGATTTTGAGACAGTTAATAAAAATGTTCCTGCAGGGGATAGCATAATGGTAGAGAATCTCAATAAATCTAGTATTGAATCTAAAAACACAGAATCTACGCTCAGTGAAAAAACTGATATATGTAATTAAACTCAAACTGTATTACTTAAATGGTAATCTGGGTGATCTTTTTTCGCTAAATTTTGGAAACCATCTAAATGATGATTTTTTATGAATGAGTATTAATGGCATGTATTAACTCTTAGTTTTGCATCAAGCTCCTGTTACTCTCCCCCATTGATCTCAGACACTGCATGTAGTGGTGGGACAGATAATCTTACATCAAACTCTCATTACCTTTCCCTGTTGATCTCAGTGGTGTAACATGGCATCTGATGCAAAACTAATTTGCTCTTATATAAACTAGGCCTACTAATCATGTGCAATTCTATTATCATAAATATCTGAAATATGTATTGATTCCATAATCATGTATATGTGCATTATATCATTTTTTATATATAATTTAATGATAAGTGGGATAAATCATGAAGTGTGCAAACTATGCTTTTTAGCATACAGCACTGTAGTTGAATTCAAACGAAAAGTAGTGATGCTAAATATGTATAGACCAAAAGAAGTCATGCAAGTTCTAAGCCATAATCACCTTTTCATAAAGGATCAGTATGAACAAATAGATGAAGATTGTGTCAATATTTAATCAATTTTATATTTCCAAGAGATGCTTCATAAAATGACCTGAGTTTGCTTCAACTTTAGGATTATTACTACTATTATGTTTATTAGTATGAACAAATACATGTAGATGAAGATTGTGTCAATATTTAATCAATTTTATATTTCCATCTATGCATCATATCTAATGAAATATTTACAGGTACATAAATCACATTCATACATTATTACCATGGGCTTTCTAAAGACGCATATTATAATTAATTGGTATTTAATTATTATATTTCATTAGAGAAAATTAGCAGATCTTGATGTGACCTACATACTAGCCATCTTTTTAAAAATATTCTAGTCCCAGGTTTTACTAATAGAGATTATAGGAATGGTAGGTACTCATAAATAGCCAGTAAAATCTTATATATAATTACTGCAGTGTGTATTGATTTACATTATTGTATTATCATATACTGGTTTCTATACAGGGTGGTCAAAAATTGGAATCCCTTGTGTTATTCTCTTCATATCTTTTCATATCTCAGTCTTATGGTCATGAAATATTGTAGGGTTGTAGGAAATTGAATAATGTACAAATGTTTCAAATATCAGGGAGTAATTTCTTAAAATGACAAAGATATGAGAAAAGTGCAAGGTTTCCATTTTTTACCACCCAGTATATTAATATTAGAAAGTGTTCCAGTTGCTAAAGTAGCAATGTTTATCTGGCCCATGATTATACAATATTAAAAGGGATACAAAGACAATTACAAAAAAGTAATATTTTGGGAATATTTGGTTATTTCATCCAAAATATGCAGTTTTTGAAAACGTAAGCATCATGTGAGAAGGGACATGAGGGACCAGTTCATATTTTAATGTTGTCCCAAAATGCATCATCAATTTTTCAAAGTACAGTAAAAACATGCAAAAATAAATCCAGGCCATGTCTAGTTGGATAGAGGCATTTAGTATATTACCTGGTACTCCTTAGTCTTGCTTAAAAGACCCTGTACTCCCCCCTTTATCCTTCTCTCGTGTATATTGCCAGGTAAAGAGAGTGAAGGTGACGGTGGGGGGGGGGGGGGGGTGGATACAGTCTTTGAGCAAGAAAAGTACTCCTTTTTGTTGGATAAATGAATATGTGGATGTATATTATTTAATAGTATATTATCCCTAAATCTGGCAATTTTAAATTATATCATCTTTTGCATCAATATCAGTAACAAAAGAAAACATGGGTGAGCAATATAATATACAGTAGTTATTAACTAATATTTAGCATGTTTGATATTTTACAATTTGATGAGTAAATAATTTTATACTTTGAATAAATGATCAGTTTGTAAAAATGCCACTTAGAAGTTGTGTTATTTCTACAAGGAAATGTGCTCAGGTTCCTGATTTCCACTGTGAAGAAGTGTCCATGTGAAAATGCTAAATGGGAAATTCAGACGGCAGATTGTTCCTGGATTTCTCTGCATTGTTCCATTGTCTGCATTGCATCAATACGAGCAGAGAAGAATGAATAGTCCCACTTCTTAATTCAGACATTTTACTCAATGTATAGGTTTGCTCAGTAATGCCACATATAAACAAGTTCTTTCAATACATGTCCACTGTAGTAGAAACTGTTACCAGGTTTCCAGTTTTCTTAGAATTCAGATTTCAAAATCTCTTAACAATTTCCTGCACCCGATGTTTACACCTGGAAATGAACATTTTGAACTAAATTCAATGGGCTATACATACTTCACAAAATATTTTATCTAGAATGTAAAGTGAATGTCTACCAACTAAATAATGTAAACAATTCTAGACCAGTTCTTTTTCCCGAAATATTGTGAATTTATTTAGAATACAAAGGATATGTATCGATATGGTGAACTGAATTCAACAATGTTTTTCTCTTTGATTTTGACAAAAGTAAGTATTCCATGCAATGGCTATTTCATTCATGAGTTTGTAGGAATTCTGTTGGAACCCAGTTCTGATCAAGTACGAAGTTATTGAAATCGGCGCAGTCGGACTTTACTCCGAAAGATGGTTTTTCTATTATAACTTTTTACAACATTTAAGTATAGACTTTTGAAAAAAGTACAGAATAGTCCTTATGCTATTGAATAATCCTGTTATTTCTGATTCACACGACTCTGATTTGTTTAATTAAAAAAAAAGTTTTAAAAATATTACTTAGGAACGTAACCGGAGCTGGGAACGTAACCGGAGCAGATCAGTTGAATTATATAATTTAAAAAAATAAAATACATGATTTAAAGCATATATATTAATAAATACGCATTCGAACAATCCCGTATGTTTTTAAATTATATTGTTACCATTCAAAAGATGACCATTAAATTGACGATGTGTTAAATTTTTAGATTTTTTGATGACTGGTTTAAGAGAAACATGCGTTCAAAAAGTTCACCATATCGATACCACTCCTTTATTTAATTATTAAGTAGAAATAAAATACATCATTGTAAGTCCAAAGCACAGAAAAACATTTAGAGAAAATGCATTCTAAAATGTGATGCTTTTTGAATCCAATAATTCAGAAATAATTGAAATGTGATAAATACTTGTTTTCAACAAAGCTTGCTTTATTTGGAAACTTAAGTGAAAAATATAAGAGCAATGAGGCACTTAAATTATGCTAACAGATAAAAGTAATTATTATATCACTATCTAGCTAGCGACTGTATGATTGGTCAAAACCGGGTCACATGTCGTGGGATATCTGGCGATATTCAATGGCAATGCTAATCAGATAAGACAACCGTGAGATATCTAGCGATATCCCACGCTCCCGGGAATTTTCAAAGAATTTGTTTTCGTTCAGTGTAAATAATTTAGTTCAGTGTAAGTCAAAATGGCAGACGAACCGAGTAGATTCAATGTATTTCAATGTTAACCTATGACTTAATAATATTAGGGATGTTTAGCTAGATAGTGATATAATAAAACAAATATTTCACTCTATTTTCGGTGAATACCTGTAGCACTTTCACAAGGTGATATTCCACTTCGTGGAATATCACTTGTGAAAGATGTACAGGTATTCACCTCAATAGAGTGAAATATTTGTTCAATATTGGAAAAATATTAGTCTTTGCTATTGCCTCGTTATCCTCTTAACGGAAGATCATAATTGTACACATCATTATTATATTATAGGGAAGTTCATTCATTAGAACTCTTCACATTCACATCAACCAAGAGATGTTCAGATCAAGTTAGTCGTTCAGATCTACAGGTTTTACTGTTTTAGGTATGAGGCTACTCAGCCTACACCTTTAGAGTATAAACCATTCAGCAATATTGGCAGTTACACGATAAGTCTTGTGATGGTTACATTTAATCCAAAATATTATTTATTTTGTGCTGTGTTAGCTTTAAAGTGAGCTGAATGTCTGTTAATGTTGACTTACTCCAACAGGTCCTCCCGATGTGATTAAAGCTCAAGGAGGCGTTGTGTGCAGATTTTCTCTCGAGAACTTGAGGACAGACAGGAACTCAGGTCCAGACCGTCTGGATATGATAATTTCCATACTGAATCCATGTTTCTGTAGTATGGACTCTATCTCATCTACAATTAGATAGTTCATATATTCGACAGTCAATGTATACTTCCCTCCAATCGATCCTCTGCAACCCAAAGTTCCAATTTGAGATGTTAATAATATTTTTAATATATTAACTTAATATCTTTGTAACTGATGTATAACTTAATAACTTTTTGAGGATATTATACTTGAAAGCATAAAAACAGAACAAACCTTGTTTATTCTCTTTGATGATAACAAGATATAAGATGCCTTGTTTAGAGAGGAAATGCGGAACAAGATTTAAGAACTGGTCTGTGACTTCTCTCCCATCCTTGCCCCCAGCCCAAGAGGCAGATAAACCCCCACAACCAACCTGAAACATAGCATAAACAATATGACAAGTAATACCTCTATTATGATTATTAAGATTTGTACCACAAAATAATACAGCAATGAAATTATGTAAATTACCAAATTAAACGCTAGCCTATATCTCAACTGCGAATAAATGATTTCCAGCTCGATAATTAAATATTACAGGTGCTGATTTGTAGTGGTTCCATTTAATTAGTAATAAATGAACATCTTAATAACAACTAGAAAACTAATGATATTGAATTTATGATATTTGGTGAGATAAAATTGAACACATAGTTCAAGCCAAAATGCATGGTTTATTTGAATCTTTTTCACAAAAGATAACAAAGATTTGCATGTACATAAATATTGAAATAATTTAAATGAGTTGAAAAAGAGAATAGTGAGATGTCCCAAGATATAGAACACATTAGCTGATTCATTGGCTATGTTACTTGCAATTTCTTCAACTGCAGTATCACTCATTCTACCTCTATCTAAAGTAAAACCTGTCTGATCCGAACACCACTTGGAATGGTCAAAAGCATTCGGATTGGCTGGTGTTTACATTTCAAGGTTTCTAAACAATGCTATGGTACATTTAAAAAAGTATTCCAAGTGAACAACAATTAGAGTCCACAAATCCATGACCAATCAGTTGAAATCTAGCCTGCCTGGGACCAACACCACATTTAGGCGTATCGTATAGTTCATTATTAAGGGATTGAAAAACTTGAAATTTGTTGGACATAAGTTTATGATTAACTTGTTTAACTATTTTTTATAATACTCATAAGGTAATAAGTGCATGGTAAGGAACTGGAGGACTTGGGATTTATTTGTGATACATGGATAAAGAATATCAGATGATGTGAATTTCGGTAGGGCCCTAGAATCTCTTAGGATTATTAAAAAGAGAAATTTCTCTGGCGTTCACATTTCAAGGTTTCTAAACAATGCTATGGTAGACTTAAAAAAGTGTTCACATTGAGAGGTATTCAGATTAGAGAGGTTTTTGGATATACATGTACAGATATTAATGTCATCCAATGAGTAACCATCCAGCTATCCACAAAATGCAGATCCATTATCACATTCTTCATATTGTTAATATTCACATTGAATTCACCATAATCCAATATAAATAGAACCTTGTTGGTGTTAATATATATCATAATATTGGTGTTAATATATTATATATTATAATATACATTCTAATATGATATGTGATGTAACAATATTGATTTACTGGTCTCTAATGGGGTATGTATAACTTATTCATCAGACAACTAAATGCAAATATGTTCTAGTTAAAGGAGGAGGGAAATTAGCGCAACAGATTTCGGACAGTCATATGTTGGATTTTGGCTATTTTTGAGGATTTAAAAAGGTGCATATGTTAGGCCAATGCATAACCTCCAGGAAAAGCACTTCTAGAGATGATAAAATAATTCCTACTTTGAGACAGGGTAGATGCAAACAACCCACCCACATGTTTTTTCTGAAATGTTTTCTTGATTTTCAACCCCTTCCACTCGGGTTTTTTAATTTTTCTTGCATAAATATATTGTGTTTTGACACAGTTAACCCCTTTAAAGGAATAAGTGATTCCTTTTAGATAAAGTGGAAAACAATATTTCCCATGTTATTTTCCCATTGGGAAAACCCATGCAATCCATTGCTTTCAGTTAATTTTGGTCACCCATAATGGATATCTTTAAAACCCCTGTAGGAATTACGTATTCCTTAAAAGTGGTTAACTGTGTGTCAAAACACAACATATTGATGCAACAAAAATTGAAAAAGCAGGGTTGGATGGGGTTGAAAATCAGAACATAATTTCAGAAAAAACATATGGGTGAGTTGTTTGCACCTCCCCTGTCTCAGGGTCAAAATCATTTTATCATATCTATGAGTGCTTTTCTTGGAGGTAATGCATTGATTTATCATATGCACCTGTTTAAATACTCAGAGAATAGCCAAAATCCAACATATGACTATCCGAAATCTGTTGCAATAATTTCCCTCCTCCTTTCTGGATGCCTTATCATCATAACAAAAGTTGCCATTAATCACAGGATACTAGTCTTTATTCCTTAGATTATATGTGAATTGCGTACCTTTATGCTCCGTCAGTAGCATGTATTGATTGTATTCCCTGTTTTTATATATACATGTACCACAAATGCATAAAGGTGGAATGCTCGGGGGAAAACAATTAATGGGCAGTGTATGAGGCACATAATCACCACAGCTGGTCTGTTTTAAGTCTTTCACTGAAAAGCTCTCTTTATAAGAAAACACGAGGACATTTGCAATTAACTCTACATGTACTAGCAACATTGTCAAAGTGACCGCATTAAAGTTTTATTAGAGTCATTAAGAGCAAATTTAATTAGATTCAAGAGTTGGGGATAAAGTATGTTCTATATGTTCTCTTTAAGGGTACTCTAAATAATTAATTATCTGGTTGCATAGTTACCATGAAGTAGCAAATTTCAACGAACAAAATGGCAGCGGCAGAATTCTATTAATAAACACAGATCGATTACCATGCCATCTTTATTTGAAAATTATTTCTATCACCCTTGGCCTATGATCCTTTCTTAGCAGCAATCTATAATCTGATTAGTGTTTAAATTATAGCCCAAACAGATAAATGGATGGACATGTGGATGTCACTCAGTCTCACATACATTGTGACACCTTACAGCCAACCACCCCTTAGTCTCAAGTACAATATAACACCGGTGTACATACCTCTGTTGCATACATTGTGACAACCTACAGCCAACCACCCACAATATAACACCGGTGTACAAACCTCTGTCTCACATACATTGTGACACCCTACAGCCAACCGCCCCTTAGTCTCAAGTACAATATCACACCAGTGTACATACCTCTGCTGCATACATTGTGACACCCTACAGCCAAACACCCCATAGTCTCAAGTACAATATAACACCAGTGTACATACCTCTGTTGATGGAGTGACAACATATGGAGGGTTAAACACAATAACATCAATGAGACCAGTTAACCTTGGCAGCATTGCGTCCCCCTAAAACACAAAATATTTCTCTATGTATTAACATTTATGGAATAAATTGCTATTTTGCTATGTGTACCATGTTTAATGTCATGCCATACTTTGTACTAATAATGAACAATCCTGCTTGTATGTCATGAACTAAACTGATTGCACCATTAACATGAATGCAGTGCCATCTTTTTGAACAAATATTTTTTCAAGAGTGATCAATCTACACATAACACACGAAAAGCCCAGGGGTACTGTACATTTTTATAAGGTTTTCATAAAACAGGCCTTGGGTATTAGGGTAAGTTATAAGTCCCCTCCTCAAAATAGAAAGGTATAGGGATTTAATAACAAGGTTATTATGAAATTCCAACAATCAACTCCTCTGTTCCGAGTAACTAAAGTTTATTCCTATCAATTTTAGGCACATGCATATAACTCCAGAGGTTATGGAAGTGATCTCAAAATTAATGCTTTAACAAGTATGAATGTTTTCCAGTGATGAACAAGTGAAATACTGTGTTTTGGGTATAACAATAAATGAGGTGTTCTGCTTTACTATGGTGTTTGATATGGAATACTCACCAGATTTGAGATGAAGACCTCAATACTGACTCCATTTTGTAACCCAGTTTCTCGAGTGGCCTTGGCAGCTATAGGGTTAATATCAGTAGCTCTACAAGATGAAAAAATATTAATACTTATTCCTAAATCAGAATCACTTTCATGTGAGGTATTGAATAAGTATCAATGATAAACAAGAATATTTTACGTCAATGAAACTGACTCTGTTATAGGATACATTGGTGTTCGTTGTTTCAACATTATTAAATGTGAATGACTAAGATGCCATCTATTTTTTGTATAAAATTCAAAGCTTCCAGTTGAACAGTTTTTGAATAGCAAAATGCAATTAATATTATACATTCCATCAATGTTATATTGCCAGGGATAATTTGATATATTTGCAAGAATCTTTTGAAGTGGTGGAGTATTACTTCATATCAAATACGCTTGCAGTGGAACACGAATGTAAGCTTACTTACAAGTAGAACAAGTTGCTGCCAAATGTCTTAGCCAAGAAGGTTATAACAATGCCGCTACCACATCCCACTTCTAGGCAAACTAGGGGTCTAAAAAGCAAATGTGAAATTAGCCTCTCAATTCAATCCAATGGAAAATTAATTTTTTAAAAAATCGATGCAAAGTTCCGCAATTGTGCAAGATTAGCATAGACTAGATTGAAGATCAAAAAACTATATTGAATAACAGGAATGTGCAATGCATATATAAAAGTCTTATTTTAAAAAGAGTTTTGACATACTTGATTGATTTTATATTTTTATAATCCTTTTCAATGGCATCTAGTAACAAGAATGTATCTTCTGCAGGCTCATAGATCTCTTCAAATATTGAGCTTTTGGTGAGGTGTGAATAGTCTGGGGTCTCAAACATCCTACAGTTGACACATAACCCTGGTCTATTGTCCTCATCTAAAAATATCAAACATTTTTATGTAGTGGGGGAGAGGTTTCCAGGTACAGATTCCCTGATGTCTCCCTTGATCTTATCCTCAGCAAGTCTTCCGGCTTTTCCCACATCCCTATTTTCAGAGGAAATTTGTAACTCTTGGCATATTGGTGTGAGGATAATAGGATATCATCTACGTGGGGTTGAAATAGTGAGGGCACACCATTGGTCCAAATCCCAATGATCCAAATCCCAATCGTCTGAATCCCAATCACAAATTGCCCTTCTCCCTTCAGTTTGGACCATACATAAATTACCCCATAAATGTGGGGTCGATTTTTCAAGTCATCCCACAACTACTTTATTGTATTGAAATCTTGGGGTTTTAAAACATTGTCAGTTGTTGATTCAAAGCTTAATTTTATCTAAATAACCATTAAATCCAGCCTATTTTTAACCCAAAGATTTCAATACACAAGTATAGTTATGGGGCTGATTTGAATAAGGACTTTCATAAAGGAAAGAATAGTAAGGGGGTTAAACCCAATAATGACCAACAAAATTCCTAATAGCAAAGAACGCCGTTATTGAGTTTAATGAAGTTGGACTATGATTATGTATGAAATGTGGGAAGCGTAGACCCTTGAGTTGAAAGCAAAGTCAGCACTATCAACACGGTGTTATAGCATGACGGATACGCCACCTCTGAAAACGAGGTTAGTCGAATACGATCACTGATTTATCCAATAAAATGGCCACGATGAAACAGAAAGCTAAGGTAGGTGCATTATGTTCTACTACTGCGTATCAATAGAAACATGAAAGATTTATGTAAGCGTCGCATTCGGTGATGCATTCAGTAATGTTTATTTTGAACGTAGTCTTTGCAAATCGACGCCCATGGATAACATGAAATAAGCGAAAAACTGTCGAGTTTGAAATTCAAAACTTCATAAAATTTAGTTATTTGTTTCTTTTCCTCGTTAGGGCATGATCTACATTGCGCAACAACCTTGGTGTATATAAAGGTAACCTACATACGATCATACAAAGCCAATTAAGCATTGTAAACCACTTAATATGTTCTACTCAAGCCATAATAATGTATTTTGAATTTGCGGATACGCCAAAAATTGATAGACAGTTACGCTAACCTCGTTCATATTTGTAAAACCGAATCATTTCATATCGCTTGTGATCCAAAATTGAAATGTTTTTCAACCGGATTTGAGTTTTGTAAGCTATAATAGATGAAATCGTATTATTACCACCTTGCAGGGCCTGTTCTAGGGGTTTTAGTACTAGTTGAGAAGGCATTTAAATTGCTATATTGACGTGAGCAATATTGTGTCGGGCGTTAATGACTTTAGTCGGGCAATAATGATATTATCCGCCCGGCTATGTTTCCCGGGAAAAGTGATATCGTTCAGTGCGTAAGATTTTCTATTTCAAATTTGCTATTTCAGCCCTGGGCATTAACGGTAATGGTAATGGTAATGGTAATAATAGTAATAATAGTAATAACGTTGAAATGACGTTATTCCACTATTATGACGATGGTGACATAAACAGCTGAATATGATTTGTAATAATGGTAATATATGTCTAATGTCACTCATGACATCATCAATTAATTTGTAGTTGTTTTCTTCCGTCGCCTGCTCGTTGTTACTTATGTCTTCCTTTGCCTCTTCATTACAATCATTTTCACTTTCATTGGCTTTCGCTATTTTTTTCCTTGCCCTATAGAGGCTCAAGCAAGAGCGTCTCTTGCGAGTCCTGAAAACAAATATAGGCAGTTCACACAGAGAGAGCTATTCAACTAGGGACCTTGACTTGACAGGAACTTGCATGTAACCGTCCGCTAACATCTAATGTAAAACTAATACAATGCGTTCCTGTCCATAAAAAAGCATGCAATACATACGTATCTGTCTAACGACCTTGCGATTGAAACCTTATTATCTACAATATTCACCAAATTTCTGTTCTGCATTTGTCATTTTATGGCTTGTTTATACACAGTTTACGTACAGTTAGTATTTTGAGTGGCTCTGAGGCACATATACTGAGAAAACACGAAAAAGGACTAAAAATTATGAACTTCGAAATCTCAGCTGGGTAGGTTTACAGCTTATATTCTGCTTCTTGTAGACCACACGACATATTTAACTCAATCTTTATAACCATTCACATATGCATCACCGAATGGAACTAGTTGAAAAGGAAAGCTTACTGTGAATCTTGCCTACAGGCGAAAAAGAGGACATGCTGTCTTTCCCGTCCGCCATTTTTTGTTATCGTTACCGCAAAATTTGGCCAATTGCCTTGTCGTATCTGTCATGCTATAACACCGTGATCAATGGTTGATCTACTTTAGTAATATATAATAGAGAAAAACTATTATATATTACTAAAGGTAGAGTATACCATTGATAGTGTACCCTGCGCGCAGAGTCTAGTTAAACTACACTCTACCTAGTAGAGACCATATTACAGTTTAGTAGCCCCACCCCAACGACGGGTACGGGTGACAGTTTGGGTAATAAATCACTTCTGGCCTATGCGCTGACCTTTCTTCCACAAATCAGCGTGCTAATTAAATATGCGAATGTCATTGGCCAATTCCGGGCTCAAGGATGACGTCAGAAGGAATGACCATATATACAGTTGGGGACATAAATAAATGACAGGTGGATTTGCTGAAGTGAGGATTTCCCATGTTAAAAATAAGAGAATTTACAAGAGGCCATAAATCAGTGGATGAGATTATACAAAATGTAAAATATGCAAATTTTAAGGGATATGTATCTAGACAATATTGGAAATTATGGGCTTTCAGACCACCGTAATTAGGAAATGGTGATCGAAAATCGACCTGTCATTTATTTTTGTCCCCAACTGTAGAACGTCGGTCAAATTTGGCAGACGAACACTGATTGGCGCAGTGAGTTCACAGGTTTATTTTAGTTTGAAAGAGTGAAGACGAAGCTCTTTTAAGAAGTGAAGTCAAACGAATGCAAAGGGTATTGATAGTGCTGACTTTGTTAGCCCATGGGCTTTCAACTAGAAGGGTAGGCAACTTCCCATATTTCATACATAAACATTGCCATGGGTTTTCAAAATTGGAGAATGTACACATTCCAAGAAAATCTTATTTTGTACTTTTTATTGATGATTAAAAGAAATAACTCAAAAATAAAAACATGATCTTCTACATACATCTTGATAATTTAAGGTACAGCTGGAAAGTAACATTTTGGTAAAAAATTGCTATACCTGCACATGTTATTTTCTGGTACAAAATAAAGTATGAAGGCATGTATCAATTTCCTTGGTTTTTTCAGGAAAGTATCATTACATTGTCTTCTTTTAGAATATCTGGTAGGCGTTCAAAGGGAACTCCAGGGAATTCTGATATTTCACACTTCCTGTTTTTCCAAATTTTCTTTCAAAGTTTCCAGACAACACAGGAGCTACCATTGACCTGTTTCCAGGTTTACTAAAAGTAGACAGTGTAATGATACTTTCCTGAAAAAAGCAAGGAAATACACACATGCCTTCATACTTAATTATGTACCAGAAAATAACATGTGCAGGTATAGCAATTTTTTACCAAAATGTTACTTTCCAGCTGAACCTTAATAAAAATTGGAATTCATCATAATTATGACAATACAGAAAGTGAACATTCTCCCACAAATTATGTTTTTATTGGAATGTGTTCTTGAATAATTACCCACAATGCAATACTCAAGAGAACATCTTGATAACTCTTATTCTTATTGGTCTCTTTTGTTTGGTAGTTTAGAAAATACATCACCAAGAAAATGCATTTTCTAAAATTTTGGGGCTCCCAGAGGGTAAATTTAAATTATGAATTTTACTTTTAGATTTTTATGAAACAAATTGCCTACATCATTTTGTATGTTGTAATATTATACATTAATTAATAAGAGGTACTAAAGTATTACTAGTCTACTACACATTTAATTTTTAAATGTTATTATCGAATTCAAATATAAATCAACTATTTTAACTGAGCCAAGTATTGGATGATTGGAGGCAGTATTGATCAAATTTGCAAAGGGTTAATTTTATTCTCACCTGTCTCAACAAAACAGGAATATCCCAGAATTCATACAGTCATACTTCTCTTATGTAAACTATATCATTGATTGGCCAAGGGTTCATCTATAATCCTGGGAAGTGACCTCTTCTGGACGAAAAGCGTGGGAACATCTGATATGACCAGTTCCCATAACAGTGTGTCACCTCACTGTATGTACAGTGATCGCCTACTATTAAAAGTGCGTGATCAAAGACTCGACAAGATGCGCAAAATTCGAAATGTCGGAGGAAAGGTATGTTTGTTTCTCTTTTCTTTACCACCTTTATGACATTTTACCTACAGATGGTATTCCATATGCTGTATAAGAGACTCAAGATTCATTTGGTAACAGGATTCGGTGATTGGTTCAACCGAAATACCTGAACTGAGTTAATAAATGAAGCAAAATCAAAAAACCGCCGAATGAAAATGTATATTTCACCAAATTTTCTGTTTTTAGATTACCAAAACCACAAAACCAACATGCTTATGGTTAATATACATAATACTTAACATTACATGCATATCAGACGTTCCAACTCCCCTTCAGTATCGAGTAAGAAGGATGTTATGAAAACAATTTATGATCAGCCAAGTGGGTGATTTTACCATGTGGATTCTAATGATATGTTCTTTGCATTTCAGAGTGGTTGGGTTTACATGATTTTACTGTCCTTCATTACGAACTCCTAAATTTCAAATCATTATAAACCACCTTGTAGAACATCATGAAGAAGAAGAGATGAAGATGAGAAAGATTACTGAAAATAGAGGCAAATCTAGAATGATAACAAGAATTCGAAATTTCTCTGGAATAATACCAAATGAAGTGAAATCAATTAATAAACACATACTTGTAGAAAGTGATGAATTCATGACAATTTCAGTGATTGACAATAATCGAATGAAATCATCCAGAATCTCTGATTCAACAACTGCTACAAAATCAAATAAAATTACCAATGAAATTGCAATAGAACGAGAATATCAATTAGTAATGAAATGACAATAAATGATTCTGAAATTACAATAGACTCTCATTCTCCAATAGTGTCCACCAGTTAATCTGAGATGATACCCCTCTGAGCAAAGCCTAAACTGGAACTTTTACTCGGTCCCATCGATCCACATAACTCTGTCATTAGAGATAATAGCATGGTATTTATTTCACATTTTGTAGAGTTTCTCTAAAAACGCTCACTAATCGTTTATTTTGCATTCGATTACATACAATTCTAAAATTCTCAAGCTAATCACTTATAGACCTTAGTTGACTGAATATTGAATACCTAAGAGGAGTTTTCCCTTATACCTGTCATTTATATATGACCCAAGTTAGCCACCTCGTGGTGAAACTGGGAACTGACTACTGGCATCTACTGAAGGTTATTACGTCATTACATTACTTATTGATACCTTGCTGCAAAAGAATGATTTAACTCCCCAATGAAATAGATAATGTACAATTCAGATTTTATATTTTATTACAATTACAATTACATTACAATTCGACAATCATCTTGAATGCCAAGGTGTATAGTTCTCATACTTTGGGATCAGAGGCGTTAAATAAATGGACTAAAATGGAACTTAAAAAACAGTTCCACTTGTAAGGTGTTACGCTTCAAGAGGTGTTTCACTTAGCAGGTTCTAGAGGTTCAATGTATATATCATTTAATGGTAATGTATTCAAATCTAGGCAGACAAACAAAATGAACACACACACAGTGACCATTTAATTGACTGAATCAGTTTGGACATACATTTTGCGAGATCCCCATTTTCTTCTCTTGAAAAGCATATAGATATGGGTGTATGGTTTGCTGAAACTCACGCTATTGGCTGATCCATTCGTTTCTGTGTTAAAATATTTATTCCATGTTATTGAAGGGGAAACGTGAATTTCATCATGGTCAAATGGAAGTCCAAGACCCTACCTAAGTATAAAAAATTAAAGAGAGTAAAAATGTTCTATTGTTTTTGATATTTTCAAGCTTTTTAAATAAAATAACACATATTGTATCGCATTTATATCTTTAAATTGTAAAATCAATAACATATACGAAAAATGGTCAAACTAATATATATTTCTCAAAGCATATGGGTGTTCTTGTGCCTACAAAACCTAATTGAATCACCAGTAGCCTGTAATATAAACACAAATAAATCTTTTAAAAGTAACCGTTACAAAATATTTGAATTTTGCGCATCTTGTCGAGTCTTTGATCACGCACTTTTAATAGTAGGCGATCACTGTATATACAGTGCATCTGTCATTTCTCTGGAATGATGTACACTTTCCTCCAAAAGATTGAAAACAATTGTAGTACAGTAAAACCTGTATATCTGAACACTTGGCTAATCCGAACACCTCCCAATTTTAACATTTTTTGGTCCCGTTTTTTCTCCCATTGACTCAAATGTTTAAAAAACTTGAAATATGAACATCTCCCAATTTTGACAGTGAACAGTCATGTTTGAAAATTAACCTATCTAATCTGAACACATAAAATATCACATGTTCCATAAATTGATCAAATATTTGAAAAAAACTTGAACGATCTCACTCATGGTGGGGCTTTCTAGGATGACTAAATTCATTTGAATCAGATTTTTATGTCACTCTAATGCCAAAGCTAAGTAGTCAAAAGAACTATAATATTTATTGAGAATTTGTTTCTATTTCTTCAAAAACCCAAATCTTGCAAATGCGAAACCTCAAAATGTGAACACCTCCTAATCCGAACGCTCTGAGCTGGTCCCTTGGATTAGACAGATTTTACTGTAGGTACAATCCCCTCTAAAAGTTACTGAAATCACTGGCTGGGAATTGGTGTTCGCTTACACACAGGTGTTCAATAGAGTATACTCATATGTTCGCTGGGCACAGTATTTCACTAAAGAGATGTTCATGATGACAGTTTTACTGTACTGGGAATTGGTGTTCACTATACACAGGTATTCAATAGAGTAGACGCATGTTTTAACTGGGCACAGATCTTCACTAAAGAGGTGTTCATTAGGATATTTTTACTGTACTGAACTCACTGGGACGGAATCGGTGTTCACTATAATATACACAGGTGTTCAATAGAGTAGAGGCATATCACTGGGCACAGATCTTCACTAAAGAGGTGTTCACTATGACAGTTTTACTGTACTGAAATCAATCACTGGGAATTCACTATATACAAAATTGAAATCTGTGTATCATGCCACCCCTGCAAAATAATTGACTTGCCCACTTGGTCTCTTGGATCCACTTGCAAAATATATATAGTAGATGTGAATATTTTCGAAACAAATGAGTGATATATACACATATTTTGTACCAAATGCGTGACATAAACGGCAATCGCGTGCAAAGACCGAACGGAATGCGTTCGCTTTTTTCGCCATTCGGTATTTTACCGTGTTGGCCAGGGGGGAGATTCCCCAAAGATGCCCTATCATATTAGCACGTTCGAAAACAAATTTTATAAACAGGCCTCAATTTGCCGTTGAAATGGATCTCCAAATTTTCACTGTAGTTTTATGAGTATTCTTTACAAGTATGGATCGTGTAACTTCAATAGTATTACCGTAGGTTTGAAATGACGATGTTGAACTGATGTAAACGCCATTCCCACGATTTCAAATTTAACTCTGCGCATGCGCAGCACTGAGAAAGCATGTGCCCATGATTGTTCACGTGATCGAATCCTGCAATTTGATTGGAGATGAAAAAAGCACTTGGTGAAAAATGTGTATACCCTCTGGGAGCCACCAGCATGCATTTTCTTGGTGTTGTATTCTCTAAACTACCCTTTTGTTTACTTTTATATGATATTGAATATATTTTATGCTTAAATCATATTAAAAAATTGATTTTTATTCAAAATAATACTAAAACATATACATTTATCTAATACTTTTTGAAATATTGCCATAAAAGGGAAGCATGTCATTGCTCATTTTGAAGGTCTCATGTTATTACATAGAGTTGCATACCCTTCTAGTTGAAAGCCCATGGTTAGCCCAAGCCCATCTGAATAGATCGACAAGAACACAAGAAAGTATAACCCCATTGAATAAATCCCTTTAGTGAAACCATATTTTACCGTTTCTACATACGAAATATAAATTACTTAAACCCCGGGCTTAAACCCTTTCTAAAGTATATAAATAAAAAGAGAATTGATGAAAAATATATTTACCGGAGGTTCATTTCACATGTTCTGCGGGATTACGCTATCGAAATAATGGAAGTTGAAAATGAAAAAGTTGCTTCTAAAACCACCAAAAAGTCGAAGAAAAAAGCAAAGGAACCAGGAATAATATATTTCAGTAGAATACCTACGTATATGAGTGTTAAAAAGATACGTCAGATATTCAGTGTATACGGTGAATTGGACAGAATCTTCCTTCAACCAGATGGTAATTTTCAATTCTCTACATCCGGTTGTTAAATTAGAGACAGCCTTTCCATTCAACCGAGGTTGGGCCATAATGCCCCGCAGCCGAAGGTCGCCCATACAACCGAATTTGGTCTTATTAAATCAACAGTTGGTTTTCGAATATAACACATCTTTTGTTATCAAATCCACAACGTAGTGGGGACGTAGCATACGATAAATCTTTGTGATATTTTATCGATGTAAGCATATTCCATACATCTTCATTTATTGATGTGAAATAACTAGCTATTATAATAGTTAACTCGCCAGAAATGAACATAATATTATCTGAAGCGCATTTCGAAACTTTTGAGGCCTCGATTTTGACCAATCAGAGACATATGTCATCACCCCTCTTCACATTTGTGTTACCTTAGGCCAGCTTCGTTTGCAATGCCAATCTTCAGGAAACTCTGGCTTTTCTTGAGGTATCGTCAGTTGAATGCCAAAAATTGTTACCCATTTTTAAGAATCCATTTCCAGGGATTTCCCAATTTGGGATTTCCATAGGGATCCGATCATGTTTCGTCAGTCCAAAAATTGACTTAATATTTCTCAATTTTTGTCATATTCTTGCTATTTTCTAGTTTTGATGTAAAATAAAAGTGAGCCGCCAAATGGTTTCAATATGAAAAAATATCATTGTAGTTTTGATAAGGTTTACAACATACATTCCATCAATTAGTGTCATAATTTAAATTTAGTGAATTCCGTACCATTATTCATGAATTAAACCAATCCCTAATCAGAATCATAATAGTAGGAAATCTTGTTTCTAACAGTGGAAAATATATTTTTGAATGTGACCTGAGAATTAATATTATGGTGTTACCATAGAAACCAGAAATAAATAAAAAATTGGTTTTATTTTTAATTATCACCTGAAATAATATTAACTTATTATTTTGAAACCTAGACAAGATGGGAATTGTTGCTATAAACATGTTATAGCTTTAAGTATGTTTTAGTGATGGTATAACCATATGATTTGTTTCCTTACAATAAATGTATCTACCACAAATAATCAATGATGTTGTAGTATATGACATCAGTAGTTTTAACACTTTTGTTGTGTAATTACTCAATATAAGCAGTTTCTCTTTATGCAAATATGTTTTAGAACAAATTTCAAATTGACATTAACAACTACACTGTACATGTATGTGAGTAATCACTTAACATTCAAATTAGAGGCTATATAACATAATTTCACAGTGATTTGTAAAGAAACCAATGGCAATAATAGTCATAGTTACTCTAAAACTTCTACTTATACCATGTCCACAAACTGTTGCAGTGTCCTCAGATTTGAACTATTCTTCAGGAGTTCTAAAATGTTTTTTACAGTTACTGAATTCAGCTCTATACTTCACCTCTTTTCATGAAGTAGCTTATCTAATCCGTCACTACTGCTTCCAATGATCTGGAGGCAAACAATCTGTAACCCCGTTTCTTGTTAATTTTTAAAATTTTAAGCCTATCTTTAAGCTATTTGTACAAGTGACAACTTAGAGTAAAACCTGTAAATCTAAACTCTTCTCTCATCTAGACACCTCAAAATAATTTTCCAATCCCATTTATATTTCACCACAACAAGTGGTGACATATTGTTATAGTCTCCAACTTTTTTGTAGTGTTAGGCAGTTGGTGTTTGGCATTTGATGGATGGCATCTGCAACAAATGGCATGTTGTGACATTTTGCATGTTAATGCCTTGTTTAGTCTGCCATTCTAAATGTGAACACCTGCCATTCTGAACATTTTTGGCTGGTCCAAGTGGCGTAAGGATTAAACAAGTTTTATTTAAAGGCACATGAACTATAAAAATTGTGTGTAATGGTTTAATTGAAAACCATAAAATACAAAATACCTTGACCAGTGTTTGGAGTAAAGAAATTTTTGTTAAAGCATGTTGAAAAATATTTTGACAGGTAGTTTTCTATTTTCAGAGAGGGCCCCAGAACATAAGAAGAATAGAGTATTCTCAGAAGGATGGATTGAGTTCAAGGATAAAAAGATTGCTAAGCAAGTTGCTGTTACCCTTAATAACAAACAAATTGGGGGCAAACGGAGAAGCCCCTGGTATGAAGAAGTCTGGATGATGAAGTACCTCCATCGCTTTAAATGGGCTCATTTAAATGAAAGACTTGCATATGAAAGTGCAGTGCACACACACCGTATGAGAACTGAAATTGCCCAGGTCAAAAAAGAAACAAATTTCTATATCGATAACATTGAAAAGCGAAAAGCTTTCAAACGAATTGAAAAGAAAAAAGAACGAACACTGAATCTTAGACCTTGGGAGTTTCACCAAGCTGCAACAGAAGATGAAATTCAGGATAAAAAGAGAAAGCGCAAAGGTGTTGAAGATGAAAAAGTTCCAGAGAAAAAGAAACAGAAAGGCTCTGATGCTGCAGTTGGAAATAATAAATCATTCATGAAAAGGATTTTCTCTGGTGGATTACAAGCAGATGATAGTGATGATGAATCTTGAGATATAGCCCATGAGTCTAAATCATATTTTGGCCAGTTATCAAGGGATTAGTGAACAGACGTGAATGTCAAGGCAAATGGCAAAAATGGCACATTCAAAGAATAAATAACTCAATATCAGGAGAATCTAATGGCCATTACCTTTAGTCTGGCATCTATATATGATAAATAGGAATGGATTTTTTTTTAAAATAATTATGTTTGAGGTAAAAATTATTTTTGAGGTAAAAATTCGAAATTTGATCGTATGATTTAAAAAATCAAGGTGGAAAAAATCATAATCTAATGGTCGCTTCCTGAATATATAATGTACATTAAAATGCATTGTGAAGATTAAGAATATATTTTTGTCAATATCAGAATTAAATATTTGAATTATTTTTTGTTGTTGTATTTTGGGAATATCTTAGTTTGGCCCAAGTAAGAAAGACAAAGCCACACTTAACTCAAAAGCAGACACAGTTGGGAAAATTTACGGAATGGGAATTCTAAGCACTTTAAACACAATTATTACCACCTTGCAAGGCATGTTCTCGAGGCACTAAGTTACAAGTTCAGAAGGCTTATATTTTATGATATTGACATGAGCAAAAGGTGGAACCATAGACCAGGGCGAATAACGAGTTTGTACTTATGTTTTCAATATAGGTGGTGATAGAAGTAATAACCTCATTTCAGCAGGCAACATCTTCAAATGAACCCATGACTAGGCTATTGTTTTGTTAACACAATTCATTTTCAAGGTGAAGCTTTCTGAGTCATTGTAGATTATACTCAAATAATTTTGTCAGTTTTTTTTGATATTCTATTAATGCACCAATTACCAGTAACAAATATATTAATAATTAAGTATCTCAAGCAGTAGATAAACTCATCAAAAATCAATCAACAGAGTAACTGTGATATTAATAGTATATTTTGTTCAAAATATAAACAGTATATTTGGAGAAGTATATTTTTGGTAAAGGAGTGGTATTGATATGGTGAACTTTTTGAACACACATTTCTCTTAAACCAGTCATCAAAAGATTCTGAAAAATTTACACTTCGTCAATTTAATGGTCATCTTTTGGATGGTAACATTATAATTTGAAATATATATACCTTGTATACACTTTTCTATATATTGTTTAAGAAAACAAAACAGACACTTCTTTTGTTCTTGGTATCATATGTTCGGAATGAAATAAAACATCTATCCGAACCTCATTGGAACAAAACGACATAAACACAACGTGTTTAAGTCTCTCAATATTGTAATAGTACAAAGGAAAGTTTGGTTGATTTTCACAAAGTATCTTGTTTATGAAATAAAAGGTTAATCTTAATTTTTAACTATTTTGGGAGTTTTGTTCTAATTTTTTGTATGCTTTTTGTTAAATCAACCAAAATTTCCTTTGTCTAACTATAATATTGAGAGGTCTAAGAAAATGTTGTATATGCTATTTTGTTCCAACAAGGTTTGGAAATTTTTTTTATTTCATTCTGAAGAATTGTTAGAAAGGACCATTGCAAAAAAACAATTGCACTAAAAAAACAAAAAATGTTAACAAAAACAGTTATATAAAATATATATAAATAATTTTGCATTAAATTGTTGTCAATCAGTTAACATTACATAAAGGATCATGTTTTTTATTTACAGAATGTTTTCAATAATTGGTTTAAGAGAAAAACATTGTTGAATTCAGTTCACCATATCAATACCTATCCTTTTCACTAACCCATCTAACACAGTACTGTAGATCTATCGAATGTAACACAGATTTTTAGCTCCATTAAAATTTGGTATCATAAGAAAATAATTTATTTTTCTCTATCAGCTATATCATAACCAGAACAACGGCAACGCCAAAGCCAGCGTAGCGAATCCCATCGAACAGAAATGGCTGGCATTTTTACAAACGAAGCGCAAATATCATAAAACAACACACCAGAAAGGCCACCATTTTCAAAATGGTTCCTCACTAGCCAAGTTGTCATCAGAAGAAACAATATGCTTTTAAGTAGCCACCTCTAAAATTTTTGAAAAATCGCACACGTACTTGTAAAATAACACACATAAAAATGGTGGCCATTTTTCAAAATGGCCGACTACTCCCCAAAGTTTTATTAGACAATGTGCCATGCTTAAAGTATTCACATATCAAATATGAACAAAATTGCTCCACTACTTTTCAAGTTATAGTAAAATACGTTAAAATGGCGGCCATTTCTCAAAATGGCCACCTTCTACCAAAAGCATCATTAGAAATAGACGGTGTACCATGCTTATAGTATTCACATACTAAATATGAACAAAATCGCTCCACTACTTTTCGAGTTATAGTAAAATACGTTAAAATGGCGGCCATTTTTCAAAATTGTTTTCAAAATGGCCGCCTTCTACCAAAAGTGTCATAGGACAGTGTGCCATGCTTATAGTATTCACATACCAAATATGAACAAAATCGCTCCACTACTTTTCGAGTTATAGTAAAATACGTTAAAATGGCGGCCATTTTGAAAAGTGTCCTTAGACAGTGTGCAATGCTTATAGTATTCACACACCAAATATGAACAAAATCGCTCCACTATTTTTTGAGTTACAGCAAAAATCGTAAAATGACGAGTAAAGGCTGTCATTTTTCAAGATGGCTGCCATGTGCTTTTTTAATATCTACATTTGTAGCATTATTAATGTCCTTTATAATTTTTTTACATTTAAAACATATTGCTATTACAGTTTTACATATTGCACCTAAATTACTGTAAAATCGTCACTAAAATGGCCGCCATTTTGAAATGAGTGGCCATTTTGAAAATCAGCTTTCGAGCAGAACTTCTACCCCCATAGGGTATATGTGTACAAAATATGAACAAAATCGGGCCAACGGTATTGGAGTTATTGCCCGGACGGACGGACGGAGGCGTTCCCTATATCCCTCCGAACTTCGTTCGATGGGATAATTAAACTATCTTCAAACATACAGCTGTATATACAAAAAATACATGTAGCAGACTTTGCAACTTGTAAACTGATAAAGGAAATGCTATACGTATGGCAAATATTGTGCCATTGCCTTTTAGTAGCAAGATTCGGAAACATCTGAGTTCCCCCATCATTTTATTCAAATAAGCCATTCATGAAGGTTAATAATAAATCAGTTGTCATAGCAACATATCTGAAAAGTCAGAATCATCGTCCAGACCTGCAGTTTCCTCTTCCAACTCTGCTAACATTTTCTGTGCTGTTTTATTCTGAATTTTTTTTTCTCTTGAACGTTCATTTTTCCACCATATTTTGATTTTAGCTAATGTTAATTTTGGTCTATCTTGTCTTACAGGTCCTTTATTAAGTTCATTTAGGAAATATTTTAGCGATTCTTCAGATGGTGATTTATCTGACTTGTACCAGCGTCTCATCTGTGGTATTTCATACATAGGGTGAAATGTTATCCTTGAGTCTTTAGGTGGACCTTCGCTGAATTCTTCACCTGCAAAGTACATGTATGGTCATGAGGTCTGGTTTAACAGTTCTGGGTCCAGGGGGGGAGTTACTAGCTATTTGTTGATATCTGGAAATACTTAATTGCCAGATTGATAGTTGAGACTACAGATGAATAACATATAACTGCATGCTGTTTAGCTTTCTGGACAATCAACACAAACAGCATGCATGCATTGCTCATGATTGAGGTCATTTAGAGCATGTCATCTAAAATTTCAAACTCATGAAGCTATTCACAAATTTCAATGAATTTTTGACTGCTTATTGAAAAATTTTCGATGAAAGAAAAAAGAGTTATATTACTTCCATCTCATTTGGGTACAATTTTTTTGGACACCCTGTAACTTAAGATACTGAGAAAACTAATGTCAGACCTACTTTTAAAATCATCAGGGACTTAATCACAAGTTACAACAAATCTTTATTTTTCTGGCCTTGTACAGCTGCAGTGTACTTACTTTTGGCCTGCTGCTTGTATTCATCATACCACTGGCCAAATGCTACACATGTTTGCTCTGAAATTTTTGCTGAATATCTTGAGTTGGCAATTGTGGATATCATAGTCTGAAACAAAAATTGGAGGAAAACATTCATTTCCACACAAGGAATTAGTAACAGTATTTTCATTATTAGATTAGCTCTTGTTACCATAAGTATTTTACAAGGTATTATGTTAGGAAATGAAAATTAATGAAAATGTCAATATAGCTACATTATAAGTACCATGATAATGTAATCCTGTACTCTCGATGACTTTGAAACAATATATCAATTATAAAGGTACTTGATTCATCCAGAGACATATATCCGAATTGACTGAATTAAAACATATGTGGAAAAACAAATATTGCAAACTTGCTAACTCATCCAGATTAGATAGCTCTGACAATAGCTTGCATCAAGCCATTTGTGTGAACCCCTCTCAAAAAGTGATGGAGTGATTTTGTTGTATAGGGGTATAGATTGTATACCCTGGCAGATTTCTCTTGAATCTTATTTGAATCTTTCAGTTTAAGTTGCATGGGCAAAAAGGAATCGCATCAAAGCATTAAAATTAGGGATTCTGTAATTTACCACCCCATACCTAGTTGGATTTCCACCTACCCACCCACCATACAGGGTCTAAATTTAATTTTCTCTTGCATGATTATCGCAAGAAACAATTCACTCAGGCAAGTTTATCATTTGAATCCCTTCAACTTAAAATGGGTAAGATGACTATAGATTCTGAACGGATGTAGAAGCAAGCAACATCATATTGAGGGAATTAGTGCCAATTACCTGAGATAGAGGACATAGCTGTGATAACTTGGTCTGATTCATTTCTTTCAGAAGTTCTTTAACTGCACTGCGTACTGCTTGATCATTCCACTCCTTGTTTCTGCAACAAAAAACAGTTATTATTTAGATAATAATTTTTTTTTTAATTATTGTTAAAATTATGTTATGTTATTATGTTAACTTCGGTTTCTTGTTTCTTCATCAATGTTTATCATAATAGTACTATATATCTTTAAATGATTTTTACCATAATTAAGTTACTGCTATTGAATTAGTTTCCTAGTTAGTAAGTAAATTACTTATAAGATGCCGTTATTTATTTAGGATAGATTAGTAAGTTAGGCCAAATTGACCTTTTGAAGGTCACTAATATAAGTAATGGTCAATGAAAGGTCAGATCTAAAATTTGATGTCAGATTTGAGCTTTTAATGAGTTATAGTCACATAGATGATTATTTTTAAGATTAGGTCAATTTAAAAGACGTTTATTAAGAAACTTGTGTCTATCTGAATTGTAGATTTAAGAGTTATTATTTTACTTCGCATCTGAGCTTCACCTAAACCATTGAAAAATATTATAAAATGTTTTTCATAAAGTATGTCCCATTAAAGTGCAATAATCTTGTTCATTGTTTTGCCTCACCTATTTATATTTGCCTCATCATTTTTGGAATTCTGGTTATACTACTCTACACTTTTCAGGTTAAAAGGATGGACTCATTTGTGTGTAATGAATTGTACTTTTAGCCTCTGGGTTCAGAGTATCAAAGGGTGTGGAGGAAACATATTTATTTCTTATTTCTTAATTAGGTTTAGTTGAGTTAGTTTAAATGGCAACACCACCAACCTAAAATCTCAATAATTCATATATCTGAGAAGTTATACCCTTGGGATCTCAGTCACTAGGGCAGATATATAATACTCAGGATAATTATAATATCCCATGTAAGGTTATCTCTATTTATGTTGATGTATTTAAAGATGGCAGTCAAATACAATTAATCAAAATGTCATATTTTATAGCCAAATTATTTGGCAAACATTTTTTTATTTGATCAGATCTACCACTTTTGTTTATGAAGATGAAATATGAAAAAATTGTTAGCCAGTAAGAGTGACCTTCTGTCTATTGGGTGGTTAGAAAAACTATAATATAGAATATCTGAATGAAAAGGTAATATTACAGTATTTCTAGTTGGATGAAATCCCCTGACTACAATCTGTTTTTGGCAAGGTGAAATTCCCTGAATTGTTTGGCCATACAAAAACTTCCAAACCATTTCTTGGAGCACTTCACAAATTCCCTGACTATTTCAATTTGAATAAAAAAGAAAATGATCCAAAAGACAATTCAGTAAAGTATTGGGAAAAGAGTCACTTTATTTCAAGATAATCCTTCAATCTTAAAGGCAGAATCAGATTTATAGGGAGTGGCAAAATTGCAAGCAGCTGACCTACCAATATATTCCTTACTATCTCAAATATAATGAATCCCGAAAGATCCACAATATGGTATAAATCGGTGAAGTTATTAGGATTCAAAATACTCTAAAATTGAAACAATTTTTGCCAAGCGTACTCTTTAGGATCTTGCTAGATCTGATACTGCCTTTAAGCTTAGGTTAATTGGTTAAAAGTTGAAGAGGATGTTCACTTTTTCTACTGATAAGCCTTTAAGGATTAACTTGAAATATGGTGGACCTCTTGTAAAATAGTACTACTCAATTGTATATGAAATGTACTATGGATATCCAGATATCATGGCATGGTCTCTAAAATATTGCCTTAAAATAGATCATGGGATGGCAGGGGGAGGGGGTAACACGTTGGCCAGAATCAAGACTTGCTACAATGCATTATTCAAATGTTGCTATGTTTACTCTTTAGAATGACTCCAATATTATTTGGTTGTTTTACTGTCTGAACTTTTCCACACATAGACATAACAAATAAGGATTAAGTTTCTTAGTGCCATACTTTATTTGTGAACAGACAAAATACATTCACATTTCACAAAACACCATAAAACGGTGAACCGTTATTTTGAATTTTAATATCATCGGTGACTACAATTAAAGACGATGAATTTAGATGAATTTGCACATCAGTTTTACTTGCATTTCATTTTGCACATTAGTTTTACTTGCACTTTTTATTGTTTAAAGTTTAAATTGCAATGGCCCCTTCACCTTTAAACTAAAACTACCTCAATTTACATTTGTACATGTAACACTGTTAACATACTACATGAAACTACTGTTCATTAAATCTATACTTGATAAGGGTGCCTCAAAATACATAGGGGTTTCAAAATAAATAAATAAGATTACATCTTTAAAACTTCATACCCCAACTTGGCAAATATTTTGAGATCAAGTTTTAGCGTGTACATTTCATTATTCTGCTGTTTCTCAGGAACCCTGTGTTAACACAAACTAAACTATTCTATTCTAAATATTCTGGTAGCAAAAATATTTAAATTTCATGTACATTTCAATAAGTCTATGATAATTACAATGTACAGCGAGTACCGTGGCTTTTACCCCATAGGTGGCTTACTATATATATACATACACCCTTTTATGGCAAACAAAATATATACAGATAATAGCAACTCGTGGTACACTTGACAATATAAAAGATAAAACATTAAGCACGCTCACAAATTCTGTATGTGGAAGGTATATTCCATATAGATATAACACAAGATAAGCAAGGTACAGGAATGATTAAATATAGCGCTTTGAAGACTAAATGCAAAAGCAAATTAGAAATTATACACTGGAATGTTTAATACATCTATATAATAATCAAATGCTCAAGCAAGATGATTGAATATTTCAAACATCTTAAAATATAAATGCTTTCTACACAGGAAAACTATCAATAAAAATTTGAAAACCTCAATAGTGATTTATTAATGAATGGCAGAACAATTATATTAAATAGCTTATCTTAATTTCAAAATACATTATAAATCTCCAATGTGAGTAACAAGACAATATTCAAATATTATTCTTATGCTATCTTCCTTCATACACCAATACAGCACCAAACTATCTTCTATATTACACCTCATTGTGCAATGCACACATTATTTGATATTTGAGCAATATTTTGATTTTAAACTGCACTCACAGTTTACTCAAATTATCCATTCAATTTTAAACTGAAGTAGATTGTCGCTTTGTATACTGAATCCTGTTGCATCATTGAAATAGTAGATATTAAATAATAGTTTTTATTTTCATGTGAGAGAGATTTTCCGCGCTATGATTGCATTAACAGTTAATAATGAGCTTACACAGAAAACCAAGCATTAGATTAATTTTCATACCTAAAACATTATTATGGACTACTTTCCAGGAAGTGAATCTCAACTAGGCATGGATAATTTCACGGATATTGAATCTACGTTTCATGGCTGAGTGGATTTATGTTAACAAGTGAGCATTCTGAGTCAGCAGTGAATATATGTACACTTTTGATTGGCTCCCAATATGGGCAGCCATATTGCACACAGTGGAGTGTGTCCAGTGTCTAGGCAAACAATAGGATTGTGGCTCTAGATTGTGACAACTGGCGTGACCAGTGTCTAGACGATTCAGTTACCATCATAGCAGATTACACACAAAGACTAGTATTCAGGTGTAACTATGTCAATGTGTAGCACCAGCCTGTATGGGGAGATCTCTCGGAGGCCAATCTCTCACTTGTTTAAGCTTAACATCTCCATTTTCTTCAGAGTAAGAGTTCCCTAATGATAATGGAGAAGTGGCATATGCTGAAGACGGCATCTTGGGCTCATCCTCCACATGGACCTGGTGCCTATTAAACTCACTAATGTCATGTCCTAATCTAAGCCTCTTAACCTTTGCACGATGGTTCTTGAACCACAGCTGGATATTTTTTGATTCCAATTTAGGAAATCGTTGGCGATATTCTGATCTGTTCAGTTCTTCACAATATTTCTCTATCATAAATGATGAGGGGTGAGTATCGTCCAAAAACCAACGCTCTAACTTTGGGATTTCTGAGAGTGGATCGATGAATACACGAGTACGCTTCTTTCTTTCTCTCTCGGCTGCGCTGGAGGAGTAGCTGCGTGTTGGGATTGCTGTAATACTGCCATCTATTTTACTTGGATAGTGTTGAGCGAAGCCATGTGGCATAGGGAGCCCAAGGTGATGTGGGGACATATGAGGTGACATATGAGGGGACATGGCCTTCATACTGGCTGTGTACTGCGACATGAAGGCCATGTTCAAGGGATGTTGCAAGTGGGGGTAGGCTGGCATGTGGGCAGGTCTAGGTGTGGACGAAGCTGACTCTGAACTATCATAACCATCTTCATCTTGTTCTGATCTAACATCAGGCTCTGATTTCACTGATGGAGATCCAGATATCTTTGTGTGGTTTTCATTACAGTCACCAGGTGGAGTTTTGAGCTTATCATCAAATTCCATAGTTTCATCTCCTGTAGCACGAACCTCAGCATTGACATCTCTTACTCCATTGCACCTATTGTCGCTATCTGTACTACTAGGTGAGCTGTTGGGGTCAGTGTGTTTATCAGATTGTGGAGTCATTCTCAGGTCTTCAGCCTCTTCTTGGATATGACTTGGGGATTTCCTCAGGCTTAGGTTCTGCGGCACATCATCTTCATCACTACCTCGAGCGGCAAGATCTGCACTTTTTCTTCCTTCTGCCTGCTGGGCAGACCATCTCTGCTCTTCACCCAAGGGGTTTACTAAGTACACAGCATTACGATTAGGTAGCTCTGGGATACCCACTGGTGTACCAACTGGTACTCTCATTCCCTCGCTCTTAACTCCAGCACTAGCCTCCTCCTCTGGATGGCCCTCTTCATGTTCTAGACTGTCATCGATAAGTTCATCATCACCACCTTCCTTGTTTGCACGTCTATGAGCAGCACGTGCATTCTTAAACCAATATATGATGTTGGTCAAATCTAGAGGTTTGCGCTCACGTCGTGAGTCCAGCGAATTGAGCTCATTCAGGTAGGCCACCATCTCTGTGCGTGAGGGATGCTGATTGACTTTAAACCATTGTTGAAGTCGTGGAATTTCGAGATCAGGATCGAAAGATGTGCGAATGCGCTGTTTGTACAACATAGACAATGTGCCTGGAGAATGGTTGCTGTGCATCAATGACTCCATAGGGGTAGATGCTGTGGGAGTTGATGTGATAGGGTTGGTCCTAGGGCTGGTAATGAGGCCTAGAGGCAGAGAGGGTGCCACGGGGGAGTGGGTGGACTGTGGGGGCTGATTGAGCAATGTCTGGATAGTTGACTTAGTGCCGTTTGATTTCTCCAATTGTGATTTGTACCAGATGTCAAATGCATTTCTTGCATCTTCTGGGAGGTCCTGTATGCTACCACCTTTAGAGAGCATCTGTAGTAGCTCCTGCAACACACAAACATAATATACATGTAAAACTTGTTAATGATTCACAGAGTTACAATATGAACTAATAATTATTAGCTGATGACAGTATATTTTTATCCTAAATATTTGTGATTCCTTAGTTACAGTGTTTCATTTCCAAATCCATAAATAAACTTGCGATTTATAAACACAGCAATTTCCCTTCATCGTACAGTATAAGCAAGCAAATCTGTGATGATATTAAAATTGTATTATCTACATCACTGCAGCTCATAAAATTGATAGTTTGTTATTTGAGCATTTGGAATATATCAAATTTTTAAATATAAAAATTGTACATACCTTTTCTATGGGGCACCCTGAGCTGCCGAGGCTGGAATGGGCTTGTGATAGCAGTAACTGCAACAACTTATCCTTCATCTCATTTGAGGATGAATTCAACTTGGTCCGACTGAAACATGGAGTTAAACACTCAAATCTAACTCACTTCACTTTCTTAACACCTAGTTGTAAACACTCAGTGGTAAACACGTGGTTTTATTGAAACACTCTCACAGTTAGTAGCTCAATGCACACTGAATCCAAAAATCGTGTTTTTGCCTTGCGAGTTTATGAAATCAATTAAAATTTACAAATAATACAACGGAGCAACACGGATACACAATACAGTCTTGTAGATATCACAGAAACATGGTCTGTTAGGTAATTGACCCAAGTAAACGAATTGAGGGGCATAACATTCTTAAGGCAGTGGGGCTTAATAGCTACAAACAAAACAAAAGAGTAGTAGAAGCAGGAATAGGGGCCAAGCACAAATTGTTGACTGACTGCTATTCATCTAATATTATGTTACCAAAATAAATATGTGTTAGTATTAACTAAAAGACACTTCATGACAAGTGATAATTCCGATACGCTTTTGTATAGAATATCAACCCCATCTAATGGTAGTAACTCATACTAACCTACTAAGACGTATGCGAAGAGATATAACATTGGTGAGGTCTGCAAACATTTCTTCGACATTCGCATCTGGACGATCTGTTATCATGTCAAGCGTAAGAGGTTTCCAATTCTTCACTACTATTGCACCTGAAAATAAATTTGTTTATTTTTCAATTATAACACAAACATGTACAAGCAAATCAATTTCCTATAAATTAAACTTAAATATGTCTATGAATTTACTAGAGTAAATCTTTTAATAAAAAGTATATACTGGTTCAAGAAATGCCAATGATGCAAATCTTGCAAATAATGATGTCAATCTTGCATCCCATGATGCGGGTTTTGCATTATTTTCTTCAAGTATCACATCAAATGGTTTAACTTTTCACATGGATGCAGTATGGTCAAAATTTCGACACAGAAATATTTCCATAATTAATAATGCTCTTATCATTACTTTATGACATGAGACATGATTTTATTACTGAAGAACATCTAATGCTATCATGTTTCAACCCTATACATGAACCATTAATAATTTCATATATCACCTACCTTTAGCTGAGATTGCTTCAGTTGATGTATAACCAAGTTTAACTAGAGCTGTATGAACGACTTCTCTAAAGAGTGTCTGGGCTGGTATTATGGCATAACTGTCCACCTCTACGGAGGGTGATCGGGTATCTCCACCCTGCGGTTCTCTCTCTATGATGCAATGAACCGGAATAGCTTTGCCTGAAACCACACAATATTAACAAAATAAAAAGTTGTTTTATGCCAATAGATGGCACAGTAATCCGTCTGAAAGCAACTATATACAGCTCTGACTCTTCCTTCCTACTCAAGGTCACAAAACACAAAATCCGTAAAATAAAATGAAATGATAAATGAATAAAATAACAAGAAGATGATGACGAAAAATTGATCTAAATAAAAAGCGTGCCACATAATGTGATAACATGTTTCATTAGCAACATTTTCTTATGATAACGCATTATATACAAATAACATATACTGCTAATAAGTGATAAATGTTTTAATTATTATTATCTTTCTTGATAAATGTAGTACAAAATGGAAATGTGGGTAGCAAATATATTGCATTATTCCAAAGTTATTGTGAAATCACAGGATATTGTGTCAAAATAAAAATGGTATTTTTGGAACCAGTAGAAAAATTAAAAAAATGTTTTCACTAATGATCCAATACATAATGGCCAGTCAATTATTCAGAAAGTTTGATTTGAACTGATCTAAATATGGAATAAAAATAACATCCTATAATTTATATAATAAAATTTAATACATAACTTATTATGCAAATAAAAACAATTAACCTATTAAAAATGGAGATATATCCAACTCACAGATAATAAAAAAAATTCATATCCCTCATAAATCATAGGATATCCTTTAGATGAATGGTTAAAATGTAAAGAAACTAACAGACATCAATTTAAATAAATATACAACATCATATATTTAAATGATCAATTTAAAGTTAATATCCAAACTGTTGTAAATCATAAAAAATATATGTTTATACTGTACATGAATTCATTTATGGCATTATATAAGTGGCAAATGGGCATATTATCTTAAACTTTAAAATGAAATGTTCATATTAACTTAATGTTATGTAAATCGTTAAGAGGTTTTATGGTATTTCAAAAATAAATCTTGATTAACAGCTAGTTGATAGTAAGTGAACTGCACACTTTTATTTCCCTAACAGTTCAAAATGACATGGCTGATTAACAATACCAATTAGTGATAGAATTTTTTAATTCCTATAAGCTTATATGCTTTGCCTTGGGATTAATTTTTACGATTAAAACTGATTTTCTTCCTCAAGAAAAATATCTAATATTAATAATATACAGGATGTAAGATTTACCAAAGATTTTTTAATGAGATCAAGCAAAACTTACAATTCACACTTAATTATAGTGGCTATAATTTACCTCTTGTTAAGAGCGATTATTAGTGATTTGAATGCAAGATCTCATGACATACCAACTGAGAATGAAATTTGCAAAAGTATCTGCTAATTCCCTAGCAATTTTAAGACAATTGTATAATCCATGAGTTAGTATGTAAATAACAATAGCATGTTCCAATTATCTACAAAATAATTATCTTAAATTACTATGTGACAATCGACAACAAGAACAAATAAGAACATTTAATAGATCAAGGCACGTGAAACTTTGCAAAGTTAAAAACCTTACAACTTTTAATAAACTTAATTCCATTGTTGCTGTGTGTAACATAATGTCAAGCCTTTTTTGATAATAAATAATATAAAATTATACCTTTTCCTACATCTCCTGAAACATCTGAAGGTGGAGATGTTTGTTGATATAAGTTTATCATTTTCATATACTGATCTTCTAACTCCCGTTTCCAAGACATTTGACTGAGTAAAATATGTGTGTTCTCCATGTTTAAACTCCTGACAACTAGTGACTATATGGCCCTGTGTGTCTATAATACGGTCATGTTTATCCTAGCGTAGCGTAATGCACAATGAATAGCAGCTCTGAGACTACCTGTTGCCCCGCTGAAACCTAAGATATAGATGTGGCACACCTCAAGAAACGTTCTCCTGAGAAAATCTCTGCTTCTAGTCTCTTTATATATACTAGTCTACTACGTAGGCTGTCAAGGTGATAATGAATGCTTTGCTCTGGGAGTTTGCCTAGTTATACCTGATAACACTAGATGTCTCTATCAAGCCCTATCAACCGTCCCACTCAAGTCTGATTCTAGTCTATACATTAATATTAGCCCCTCAGTCGCATCAATCATGCCTTTTATTAGTAACCATCCAATATCAAAGTTAGACAATTTTGATTAGCCACTACATCTGTTCAATGCTTTAATATTAATGTAATTACAGTAATTATAAACTGATATTACCTTTTGTGAATTACACAGACTGTATTGTTCAATAAAATATAATCATTTTGCTTCAAATCCAAAAGTAAGGAAATATTTAAAGCAGCCTGTCAATTCAGTTATGCAATCTAAATTTTAATTACAATATCAGAGTCTGGCACTTCTTTATTAACACCTTGGTATTTAAAAATCCCTCAAAACAGAATACTCGCCAATTCTTAAAAAATTCCACCGAACTGAAAATTACAATTTAAAAAGTAACTTACTTTGAACATATGTTTCCAGCAACATTTTTGTTTGAATTTTTTATTACAATATTTTCTTTCTCTTTGCTCTTATCTTATCTGATTCTTTGATTGATCTGCTGAAGCTGCATAACCAGAACTTATATACAATATTGAACAATAATCCAGAAGTTTAAAACTAAATACATGGTTGTCATTCTACTTTGTGTTTGCTAAATACATTAATTAGCCTTGGCAGTGTTTGGAAAATGCTTTGTTTCAATGGATCATCTTTTTAATAATTGTACAGTTTGTCAGTTTGTATAGATGTGCCACAAACTGTTAAACAGTTAATCAAACTTGCATGTCTAGGAGACTTTAGATCATGACTGAGTTTGTCACAAATGCTAATAACAGAAACAAAGCCTGTGCCAGAAATCCAGATGAATTCATTTTCTAAGATTAACATGTTTTAATGATTACATATGACACAAACTGTGAACCTGCTAATGAGAAAGGTTGCATGCTAACACTGTTATTGCTTGGAGATTTAGGATTTGTTATCAAAACACAGGTGGTTGAGATGATTCAAGAAAATATATTCTAAAATGGCTGCCAACAGCGATTTGTGATGAAATGAGATTGTAAATGCAATTTTTGTTAGGAAGTAATCTGGGGCTAGAGAAAGGATTAGCGCCGCGGAATCCTATTACGGTAGTGGCTAAGTCACTACAGGGGATTACCACATGTACAAAAACAAATTTGCTTTGAACTCATAATCAATAAAAATGGCGGATATGCAAGATAAAATCACCGTGGCAACTCTTCAATATGTAATCCTCAAATATTGAATAATCCTCTTCGTAAGATAATCACTTCTGAGTTAGATTGGGCTCATCGCTCGGGAAGGGTTCTTGGTTGTAGAGGGGCCTAGGTACCATGTATCTGTCATGGCAAACAGTGGCTATGAGCATGATAAATGACCTCATAATGGGAAGTTTATTCCTTGATGAGCTCCTCCGTGATTATATCCTAATCCGACATATAGTATTTAAGCTTAACGAATGGGCCAATGCAATCAGAATAATGTTTGATTTGGTGGGGGATTTCCAACTTGACTTTCGTAATTTCTTAGAGTAATCTTTCCCGTGTCAGAGACGACCCATGATTCCGAGAGATTTCTTAGGGGAAGTGAGATTAATTCCCGACTCAGAAAGTCAAATCACGAGTGACTTAGCACATTATCTATAATCTTCTATGTGATGTAAAATCTTAAATAGGATCTAAATTATATCAATCTAAAAAGTCAATCGAGATCATCAAGCATTATTTCAGTTTTAGGTATTTTTAAAAGTTTACTTTCTAGCTTTACTAACTTTGATTGAAATTCTATTAAGCCTCAGAAACTAATTAAAAAAAAGGATGAGCCGTGCTGACAAATCAGTTTCTCCATTAATCATGATAATACCAGTATGTACTTTATCTTGCACTGCACACTCAAACATCATTATCTAATAGCGGTCAATTTCTGTTTTAATTCTCTACAAAATAAAATAAACACACCTTTGTTGTATCTTTGAGTGATTTCAAAATGTGGAAATGATAAATCTCCGGATAAAACCATTAGATGATAGCAAATTCCAACTCAATGTTTATATATAACGAATTATTTTTACGAAGAGTGTGGCAAGAATGGTTGCTTTTGCAAGCAAGGAGGTTAATACCTTAATACGCTGTGCAAATTAATCTACTATAATCTTCTTAAAGTAATCCTCTTAGTAGAAATTATTTTGAAGATTCACCGTTGGATCTAGATTAAAATTTAATTTTGTAGGATTTAATCTAAGATAGATAGATCATGAATGAAGAGGGATAATGAGAGTATTAGAGGGGGAATTAATGATAAAACAAAGGCATATGACCTTGGGGCCCAGGTAACCCGTAAATCATCTGTCAGGCCCTTATCAAAACCTTTAGCACACCTCACTTAAGATTTTCCTAATATTATACTTACCAACAGGGGCAAAGATATTCGACAAGAAGTTGCTTTAGCTTTTACTTAATTTTTGATATAACATTCCGAGCATGTGCTAACCTCTCCAGCATGCATATATGTAATTCATTAGATTGCTTACAGGCTATGAGATTATTAAATAAATGCTATGAGAGATTGACAATATTAAATCCTTAGTAAATGTCAAGAAAAGATAAGTTCAAAGAGGATGATTGAGAGAGCTCACAGGGCATCACAGTTATAACTCTGCAATTCATTCCTCTGTTTATCGCAGAGATAATCATTAAACAAAATTAAGATTTTGAAAAAAGTTCATTGGCTGTTGGATTCAGAGGGTATACATCCATGGGGTTTCTATCCCTATTTCGATATATCAGAATCGACGATTTATGTAGAAAGTAAAGGAAACAAAATCCATCTTTGATCTTCTAGAGACTTTCTAACATGCAGGGTAAATCAAAGTTCTTCACTCGGATCACACTGATAATACCCGCTGCTTTATTCAATAGTAATTTCGCTTCAAAGACCTTTCATCAATTAGAGATTTTATATATAAAAAAGATTAGCAACGTAAGTCTGGGGGCAAAAGTATAGAA